GGACAATGAGAAGAAATTACAGTTTTAGAGGTGGGAGGAAAAGCCCAGCAGAATATTCTGGGGGAAAACCCATGTTGGCCAAGGGTTAAACCCGGGTCACAGCGGTGGAAGGCGAGGAAAGTACCGCTACGCCAACCTGACTCCCCATGAATGAAGAGATCAGTTTAGCGATCAGGAACCCCCTTACCCTTGACCACCTCTTGGTATGGGCGGGGAAACAATTGTGAGTTTACAGTACCTAGATTTTTTTTCGGCCAAAGTGCCGACTTCAAACACTTTGAAGCTCCAGTGAGCTCATGATGCTCATGATGCTTCACGAGCCCAGGACCTCCACTCTGTGGGGTGACAGATCCTTTGCTGCAGCGTCAACCCGAGTGTGGAACCAACTCCCTCTGGCTATCAAATCATCTCCATCCATCACAACATTTAAGACGAACATAAAATCTCACCTGTACAAGCAAGCTTACTCTCACAACACACAATCCTAACTTGACTTTCTCCTCGAGCGCCATGAGCGCCTTTTTTTGGCGGATACCGGCGCTTTACAAATGTTCTTTTATTATTATTATTATTACTTTATTGCCACATTAGGCCACATATTTGGGGAAAAAAGTGTAAAAATTCGTCCCTGTGTGATTTTGTTTCTGTGAACATCTAAACAGGTTAATTAACAGAATACTTTCACAGTTATCCTAAAGTAAGCAAACTAAATACCCGTACAAAAAATTACAAAGTTTCAGAAATAAAACTGTTTTTCTACCTACCTACATGTACCATGCGCATATAATAAGGCATTACAATATACACACAGTTTATTTGGGCCTATATGTGCTGCCCTGGTTTTTCAATGGAGAACTTGAGAAAAAAATGCACGAGAGAGATAACAAAAATGCATGAGTGAAGTCCATCTCCTGTGGAGTTGTATACTCCAACTCACATCCTTGGGTTCTTCTTTGAAGTTCTGGAAAAAAATCTTGATGATGTTTGCGTGAGAGTGGAAGTATCCTGGAGGCCTACGTAGCATGCTGCGAGAGAGTCAAAAGTCAGGGAAAGAAGTCCCACATAACCAGATTTATCTAGAAAACCTCCGTGGGGTCCCGTGGAATCGAAGCGTCCCACAAACAACCTGTCTCGTATTATAAATCTGCAATTTATGAGCGACCTAGAACTTGGTAGGGAAGAATAAACACCCGCTGTCTTTAAGGGTTTTTTTTAAGTAAAGATTTTTGAAATGTGTACAGATTGTCTACATGGTAAAGAACAGAATCAAGTACCCCACATATCTTGTTTTGATGAACATATTGAAATAAATATAAACTTACAATGATTTAAAATATCTGAGTGATATAAAAGTAAGAATCAGTTCTCTAATTTCCATTATTTTGGGGGGAGGGGTGAAATATAAAAAAAAATTGTTTTATTTAATTAATAAAGCTCGTCTGCGTTCCCAAATAACCACATTGCAGGGACAAATCTAGTCCTAAAATTAGTGAAGACTATGGAGTCGGATGTTTCGTTCCAGCCTCAAACATTGTGGTCTGACTCCACAATCTCGGTAATCTCTTATTCACGAAACTATTTCACAAACATTTGCAAGTTTTATTCAAAAGTTGCACTCTCGTATTCAGTTGCACAAATTTAATTCTACTATACTTGAAAATAAGCGGGGAGTGTGGCCTAGTGGTTAGGGTTGGTGGCCCGTGATCAGAGGGTCGGTGGTTCAAATCCAACTGCTGGTCATATGTTGTGTCCTTGGGCAAGCCACTTCACCCCACTTGCCTCTCTCCACCCAGGAGTATAAATGGGTACTGGCATTAGCTGGGGAGTAAACTGTGATGGAGTAGCATCCCATCCAGGGGGAATAGAAATATGCTGAGTCGATTTTTTTTTAATTTAAAAGTTTATAAAATGTTACTGACCGTACTTTCTTCATGATCTTCACTTACTGTTCCTATTCTTGGCATTTGTTTCTCATAGTGCTATTAATGAGAAGCACCTGAGAAAGTTTTCTCAGGATTTTTTGGGTGCAAGACCCTTGACCCACAAACTACAGGTGATTTGTCTGATATTGTTCCATGTGGCCAATTCAGAGTTGATAGTGATGGGATACCGCAGCCAATTGCGTGAGAATCAATCTTCAGTGAAAATGAATGAAATCTCACGGTTGACTTGCCTCAGTTGCTTATTTTCTGACAAATTCTCTCGCTTACTGTTTGTTTGTGGCGTGGAAACATAAATACTGATGGTCGTTGAATTCAGGCAAATAAATAAATGCAACTTTGCAGAAGTTATTTTTTCCCACTCAATTCTATCATAACACTTAAAATCCAATACGACATGTCTACAAAAACTGTGACACATTGAAACACGCACCGAAATGCTGCTGTCTTTGATATAAAAAAAAAGCTGAAAGCCCTGCACCAGAGACATCTGCTGTAAGTACATGTACTTCAAGCCCCTTCTTTTTAATTCACACAAAAGAAAATCATCTGTTTCAAGGTTGTGTTATTTTGTCAACAATCAGCCTTGATATTTACAAAAGTTCGGTGTACTACGTGCTTTCATGAATGCAGTGGAATTGCACGGTATTGTGAACTTTCAGTTTGGGTAATGATGCAGTTACATCGGTAAATGAATCACCGCGAGGCTTTTTTTGTACCTGAATAACTTACGGTCATTTAACTGGAAAACCGTGTGCCTGATAAAAAATATGTTCGCTGCAACGACCTTGCCAGTCACGACTGATGGCTCATCAATTGGCATGGTCTAAGCTGCTCATGTCATATTTTAATATTTTCAAAAATATTTTTGCAAACATGGGATTGATCTAAGGCCTCATATATTGATACAGTGCCTGACAGGTGTAATTTAAGAAACAACGGGAATACCGGTGTAGCGTGAATATCTGACTCCATGAAATGTGGACTCATTGGTAGTACTGTGCACGCCTGAGTACGATACTATGCTATTTTTAGGATCATTTCGGGAGAGTGACCTGTCACGTGCGAGGGATCAACCAATAAAAGGGAAATAGGGGTCCGATTTTCATAGGAGTCGGATTTTCATGTGACACCGGTATTGACTATTGATAAATAAAATGGTCAGTTGACTTTAAAGCTTAGGAATATACAACATTTGCTTTTGGTGCAATTTTCAGAAATAAATGGATTTGGAGGATTAGTGTGCTATTAAAAATATTGTTAAACTAGCTTGTTTCATGTTTTGGGTTCGGAGATGCTGGAAAATCTAAGAAAACCAACCGTATTCTTGTAGTCTGGTTCCCTGAACCCACTTCAGATGAGACGTTGCAATTTATAGACTTTGGGATTGTGAGGTCAGAGAATCAGTCTAGCAGGCTTGTACCCCTTCACAGATGTGTCATCAATTGCAAAGCAAATGCAGAATGATTAAATATGAACGGTTAGGACCAGTTTTTTGAGAGGAAAAAATTGCCAGTTTTCTCCAACGATGTTCGGCTGACCAGCATTGGAAAAATACAAGTTTTCTTGAAAATGACATTGTAAGAATGGAGTAAAAATGGAGGTGTATATAGATCTGTGCATCAATTTAGATGTGGAGCTTATAAGGAACACTCATCACCACGATCTGGGACAGTGACAAGTCTAGAGGGGGGGGGGTAGGAAAAGTCTTTTGGATAAAGTTGGCAATGTGCCATGGATATGTGCTTTATAAATCCACCGTTATTATTATATTGAGTGGGAAAATGTAGCTTGCCTGGTATTTCTAGCTATTAAGGCTGAAAGTTAATTTGGGTTTTTATGTGCGATTGTTAAAGCTATATGCTTGATACATAGACACTTAAGTTTGGTAACGATTAACTATAGAAGTGTCTATGGGCGTACACCAATTCACCAGTGAGTTCTCTTTTCAAGAAATTTAATTGAAGTTGGTGAAATTTTGATCAGGAACTTCACAAATTGAAAACAAAAAATGCTGGTATGTCAAATTGTGTTTGCACTATATTAGCTGAAATTTCTCTTTTTGATAGCACTCGGTTATTTTAATTGTTGTAGCCTTTATTTGTTCTCTAGGGCAGCCTGATTAGCCGCAAAATATTTATACTGAGATAGGTTTCACAGGATTGCTATTACAGGGGCTGAGAAGTGGCTGATATTTTTTAAGTAAACTGTGGAGCTCGACACTTGCTTAAGCTAGCGTCATCAGATTTGAACTTTGTCCCCTTCGATCAAACAGTGGTGTTTAAATAAGTTTTACAAAGTTTCAGGAAAAAAAACTCCAGGGGAAAAGATCCGGGTCAACCTACACCATCAATTAATGGATGTTGCTAAAAGTCAGACAAATTTGTCAAAGGTAAACTTGTCCTATTAATACAAACACCAGTCAGAGACAAATTATATGCTTATGAAGGGTCTATTTCCTAAACGCGATATATCCATTAGAAAAGGGGAAATATTTGCACAGATCTGAAAATTTAAAGAAAAAAAAGTTCATTTTTTTTTACTTAATTTTTTTTACGAAATTGTGTACTAACAGCTGTTGAAAGAGAATTTGGGCGGCCAGGAAAGAGCAGATTCTAAGGGAATAAAATGGCGTATATATCACATTTTTGAAACAAAGTCTTCGTATAATGCCTTTTGTAACATTAATATGAGGTACGTAACATCTACAGAAAATTCATCAGCTTCCCTTTATTTATGACATTTTCTTAGGGAAACGATGAATTTCTACCAATGTCATCCCATTTGTATAATCTTTTTCAAATTTGTATACATTTGTCACAGGCAGATATACCTATTATTGGTTTGACCTCTCCCACCACCCAGCCCCTTCGCCCCTTCTCCCCCCCCCCCCCCCCCCCACTGCTTCCAGAAAGATTTAAAGAGAATGCGACCCTACCAATCCTAAATACTTACCCTGGTTGTTTTTTTTTAGTCATTTCAAATTTGTGATAACGATTGACCATTGAGGTTAAAACTTCCATGTTGACTTAGTACACATCTTCATATTCTCGTTCACAGACCCACAGTGGCAAGACACAAGAGTGCAAGTTCTTGAAAGTGGAAGCAGTAACAAGTCGAGGTAAAATCGAAAAGGACTTTTGAATTATTTTACCCAATTGACTGTGTCTAAGCATTATACTGTGTTGTGTAGTTGATGGTAATATACAACATTTGCAAACATCAAAACACAAAACTTCCAAATGATTATGAACCTAACTTGACTGTAAGCGAATAATAGTCTCAAGCATCCTGTGAAATCGTGACATCTGGTGTGCTGTCTTTTTCAGGAAAAGCGGAATTTTTGTATCAATTTCCAATGACGGTCGGCCGACCATCGTTGGAAAAAGAGTTACTTTTTTCAAATACTACCCCAAAATTTACATTTAACTATAGTCCACATTTTGTTTGCAATCGGTTACACATCCATGAATGGGTGCGAGCCAGCTATCTGGTTCCCTGAATTGACAGATTCCCAGAGGGTGCTCCGTAGGGTCAGGGAACCACTACAAGAATAGTTTGTTTTCTTGGTTTTTCCAACACAAAACTTTAAACAGGTCAGTGTATCAATATTTGCTATAAAATGCTATCCCCGAATCCATCCATTTCTGAATATTACAGCAACAGCAAAATGTTGTATGATACCTTTAGTGTTTCAGTCCATCACAATTCTTGTCAAAAGTAAATCGCAAGCCAATTCACAAGTCCAGTCACAAGTAACAGTGGTTGAATCAAAGGAATATTGCCACAGTTTCTTTGAACAGCTTGTGACCTGGGGCCAATTTCACGGCGCTGCTAAGCACAAAAATTTGCTTAGCACAAAAAAGTCTGGCTATCCAGCAGGTTACCAGCCAAAATGTATATTGCTCGTGATTAGTATTCAGCTATTGTTTGCTTAGCATGAAAATCACATGGAGGTTTGGCTGGAAACCTGCTTTTATAAGCTAGACTTTTTTGTGCTAAGCAAATTTGTGTGCTAAGCAGCGCCGTGAAATTGGGCCCCGATTCAGGACTGGATGCTTATTGTTGTGGATTTGTGAGGACTTGTGATGGATTTCACTACATCACTTAGGTGCATAACGTGTCTTTCCTTACCGATGGGTCATCAGGCCTAAAAACACACAGCAAGTGAAATACACTTGATATCTAGGGCCTGCAATCAGGAGTTTTGATTGACTATATAGGCATATTTTTCTTCAAGACGTACCCTGAATGGAAGCAAGGGCGGATCCAGAACACAATTTTGGGGGGGGGCCAAAAAAAATGTTGGTCCCCCAAAAAAGTGAGTAAAAAAATTACGGCGTGGGGTTCGGGGCCCGCTTAAGGGCCCCGAAAATTTTTGGATTCTAGATGCTCTGTGGTGCGATCTGAGGCAATTTCTGACCACTTTAACCAATGTTTTTTTGAGGAAAAGATGGTGGTGTACTCATTGTCTGCCTTTATTGCAATGTCACATAAAAACATTAAAAAATGGTTTCGTTTTTTTGGGGGGCCATGGCCCCCTTTGGCCCCCCCTGGATCAACCCTTGAATGGAAGGCGACAAAGTATAGGGGGCTGGCTTGAGTACTTTGTTTAACTTTAAGGTTCCTAGACACCAACCCCCCCCCCCTATCTCACTGACAGAACTCCAACAAGAATTCCATGAAATAATCTCAAACAATAATTCCCTGTACTTCGTCAACTGTCATTACAAGCCAACTCACTTTACGCTACTACCAAGTTGTCACGGCCATCCCTCTGTTCTTGATCTTTCTGAAGGCGGAGAATACTGTTCCAACCCCCTGCAGCCACTGTCTGTCGAGAATGAGTCACAGCACCCTCCCGCTGCCAAGAATGTCCAGGCGAGCTACTTCACGGCACAGTATGTGTCCGAGGAACCTGCAAATGATAGGTTCGACGGGTCGATTTGGAGTGGTCTGAACATCACATTTCAACTAGGCCTGGAAGGTAATGCATATTGAATCAGTATGTGAGCAGTTCTTTCTGAAACGTTTATAGTCCCGAGTAGGCCTATACCATATTTGTATTATGTCATGTTTAGAGGGACACTAAGCACTTTGGAAGCTGTGTATTTTCATCCAGTTTCAGACAGGGGCACCGGAGGGAGGTGGGCTTTTGAAAAGGTAGTGATTTCCCCCCCCCCCCCACTACTTTTTGCCGGGGTAGTCAAACCAAACAACGGTTAAATGTCATCAACTTTCTTCCATTTGCAGAAAGTGTATATCATGTATGATTCGTACATATGTATGAAAAGCTGTCAAATTCAATTTGGTTGTTAAATTATTAACGGTTTAGTGAAACATTCACCGAGAAGAGAAACACAGGGGAAAGGGTGCCCCTATACAGCAACATATGAGGTGAGCCTCTACCCTTCCCTTGCAACGTCACACGTCATGCAAAGGCATAGTTGAACAAGCAAGGGACAAACATGTCTTGCTAAATTAGAGTTGCATGAAGTACAGTGGACCTTTAAGCGTTCTTTCATATTTTACAATAAAATATGCTTAAAAAAAGTATCAACAAGTTGACCAAGTTACTTTCTAAAGTATCAACAAGTCGACCAATTTACTTTCTAAAGTATCAACAAGTTCTAAAGTATCAACAAGTTGACCAAGTTACTTTCTAAAGTATCAATAAGTTGACCAAGTTACTTTCTAAAGTATCAACAAGTTGACCAAAATACTTTCTAAATCATACGATAAAATTGATGAAATTTTTCTTTTTATGCTTTGCATTTTCACTCCAATTTCAGCTGCCGGGAAAGTCACAGGTGTTTTACTCTCAATGATAAGTGTAAGCCCTGATTCAAGTGTCAGCGTGTCTGACAAATCGTACGACAAATTGTACTGCCGAGTTTACAACTTTGTCCATCCACTCAGCATGGATGCTCTGCTAGATCAACAAGGCAAACCAGTAAGTGTTTCAACCAGTGGGGCTTAGCCAGGGTTCTCATCATGGCAGGGGGGGGGGGGGGGCGAGAAGAGGGCTGGGTGTTACAGTGGGGTTTGGGGTGCATCAATTTCTGTTGAACCCATTCATCGTGGTCACTTATAGGACTAACAAATTTCCGATGGGGGCAACTTTGTGGTGAGTTTTTTTTATGGGGGTATGTACCCATCCCCCCACGCCCCTTCATCCCCCCCACCCCATGCTCCTCCCCCCTCCCACCCCATGCCGCTCCCCACGCCCGTGTTTTTTTAATGCAGCCCTTCAAAATTTCCAATTTAACCATATTTTTATACCAACCTTATATTTTCATTTTGTCTTTTTTCAAGAGTATTTTGGTGCTTTCTTGGTTTGTATGCTTATGCAAAGTTAAACATTCATAGCAAAAGTGTGATGTCATTTGAGGCAGCAATGTCTATGTTACAGCTATTTTAGCACTGAAAGTTGCCTGAATGTTGGATATTTTGCTGTCGTGAAGTTTCTCTTCTTTGGTGATTCGTTGTAGTGTCAGTACATGGCCGTATAAGCCAATGAGCATACTTTTTTTCACCATTTTTTCAACACCACTACAATTTATATCACAATTGCTGTAAAGCTAATTTTAATCATGTTATTTTTTAAAAATGGAACAAGGGTTAAAAAACAGCAATTTTGCAGAGGCTATGTATTTGTTTTGTCCCAAAGTTCATTTCTTGCTTATCTTTATGGCATATAAATGAAGTGCAGATTTGTGGATATTCAAGAAACTTGAAAGCACTTGAACTTGAATCTTTTACAACTTTACCGTCAGAAAAAAAAAATGGGTCATGTTGCATGATATCTGGGCCCACACCTGTCGTGCGACTAGTTTAAAAGGTTATATACTCAAAAGTGATTGTTGAGCGTCGTTAAGTCGCACAAAGCGTGTGCCGATTAGCACTTGTAGACTGGTCTCTGCACCCCTGCCTCTGACGCTGAGAATGAAGGAAATTGGGTAACGGTTTCTCTCGTTGCTAGGCGAGACCTCTTCATCCCCGGTATGCCCGCTTTTCTTCACAAGTGTGAATGGAAAGCCTGTGGACCAGGGAAACAAAGCTCTTTTCAGTTTTCAAAAATAGTCCACTACAGAATCTCCTCAAGTTTGTGTACAGAGTCTATTGGGAACTGAGAACATCTGTTAACACTCTTGACTTTACGAATAAAACTTCATTAAACTCTCACATCTATTGATCTCCATTTTTTTTATGAAAGAAAAATAGCTTCTGTTTTTGCAGCCAATGTATACAAGTAGGTTAACAGTTGGGGGGGGGGGGGCAAGTAGAATCCCCATGGGCGTCACCAGGATTTTTTTCTAGAGGGGGGGCAAAGCACATTCCCCCCCCCCCAAAAAAAATCATTGAACTTTTCCAGCATATTCTTGATTTACCATTTTTCGAGGGTGGGCAGGGACATTCCCCCCCCCCCCCCCATTAAATTAACAGCAATATGACGTCGGGCCTCTTTTTATTTCTTTTTTCCATTTTTTTCCCCTCCTTTTTTTCCTTCTTTGTTTGGGTGCTTTTTCGGGGGGGGGGGGGGGGGGGGAAGCGCCCCCCCTTTTGCCTCGGCCTCGCGACGCCATGGGAATCCCCCTTTTTTGTTTAATTTCTTTCTTTTTTCTGCTCACTTTTGAATGCCTACCAAGAGACGTTTGTGCTGTGTCTATCCACTTTAAAAAATATTCTGTCGCCTTCCGTCAAGATTGTATTTGTTTTGGTTTCCCTTCAGTTGCAGCTGTACTTTGATTGTTATCGCGGCCAGAAACCAGGCATGGAGTACGAGTACACAGTGAGAACTCTGCCAGTCTTAGACACATCTGGGACAGATCCTAACGACACCGCAGTCACATTTCGCTACAGATTTCCTTGTGAGTAAAAGATAGTTGCAAAACTCTGTTTGCCAGAAAGTTATCTGCAGGCCCAATTTCACGGCGCTGCTAAGCACACAAATTTGCTTAGCACAAAAAAAATTTAGCTTATAAAAGCAGGTTACAAGCCAAAACTCCATGCAATTTTCATGCTAAGCAAACAACAGTTGAATACTAATCACAAGCAATATACATCACATGGAGTTTTGGCTGGTAACCTGCTTTTATAAGCCATACTTTTTTGTGCTAAGCAAATTTTTCTGCTTAGCAGCGCCGTGAAATTGGCCCCAGAATTACTCTAACCATTTGAGGACAAAAAAATTAAACTTCTGTAAGCTGTATTCGTAATTAATAAACTGATGGCATGTAGGTTTTTCAAGAAATTTTCCGTCACTTTTGTATTGAAGAAAAAAAATTAGTTTAAAAAACTGCATTCATAATCTGTAGGCTGATTACATGGACCATTTTATATTTTTCAAGTAATTGTTCATATTTTTTTCGATCACTTTGAGGATTTTGTTATTTTTCAAACAATCAATAGAACGTCAAACAAACAATGAACATTAAAACAATAATAAATCATTAATTTCCATTTTTTTTTGGCCATTATCATTCCAGCATGCTTCACGATTCCTGATGACTACTTGTGCCGAGAATCTGTTACAAATCGGCGGCCTCCACAAATTGGTAAGAACTGACAACATTGTCATCACAAAAAAACCAAAATACCCAAAGATCAGAGCTTATTGAGGCTCGCTTATTTTGATAAGCATCATTTTTTTATGATAAGCAGACATCTATAAGTAGAATGAACATTTTAGCAGATTTCTAGCAGAATTCTGTAAAAAAAAATAATTCTAACGGAAAAGTATAGCATTTTGTTTTGAACGAGGTTCAATTATAACAAACAAACCTTTGAAGTCGAAGAATCTGACTTGAAACTCAAAGTGTTTCAATAGGCTATACACCCTTAACAATTGTGCAGTGTGGTAAAAAAAATATCGCAATCAGGCTCAGTTTTTAACGCCTATTCTTCAATTTAGGATATATCTTAGGATATTTTTAGGAAATTTTATTTAAAACAAAATGTAATTACCAGTAGGACATTTTGAAACATTTGCATGTGATTAAAAGTTGTTATTTTGTTTAACTCTAGGTGATTTAGCATAATTTTTGTAACATCTAGCGTAATTTTGAAATTCATCTGGTCACCCTGGCACTGAGTGGTATATCACAGTTGTACAGGAAAATGGTCAAAGGATGAAGACTTGAAGTAATTTTTTTTCTTCTTTCTTCTTTTGCCCACAGCCCTGTGTTCCTATTGGAAACCTCAGTACTTCATTGTGACGGCCAACTACAGTGCCCTTACCATCTTTATGGAGCTAGGGCCCGAGGAGTGTGGCTTTGATTCATTTAGGTTTGCAGCACACACGCCAACAAGTGACTTGGGTAGCATCGTCCCATGGGACAATGGATTCACCCAAGTTGATGTGGTAAGTTAGGACGGGGTCTAGTTTCTTTGTTTAAGGAACAGCTTATAACTCAGAAAATTTGAATGTTTTAAAAGAATGTTCTTTTTTCAAGACATAACCGAGATGGGTCATGAGGGAGACTTTCCCATAGACTTTTCCACAAAATTGTTCAAACTTAAATGTTCCCTAACCCAATCTTCCCTTGTCCTTTTCCCACAAATTTTGGTAGTTTACTCATTAGACCACGAGCAACAAATGTAGCCTAATTGCAGTGGTAAAATTTTGCCTCTAGGGGGCTGTGTCATTAGGGAGACAGTTATGTGTCGCTCTAAAAGCCGGTGTCTCCGAACTGAAATTACGATAATGTGTCTCTCTAGTGGTACATTTAGTATACTATAGAACAAAGCTATTATAATATAAAACAATGATGAATATGTGATTAACAAAGATTTCAGAAAATGTTGGTGTAAAGGCAATTTGTTGAGACCTGAGACAAAAGAAGAAATCGCCCCCCCCCCCCCCCACTTAAAAAGTAACACTTTCTCAATGTGTAGTCACTAGATAGTGGGGAAAATAGGGGAAGAAATAAGCATGGATGCCCACATAGCGCACTCACCATCTACGTGATAATGCGATCTAATAGTATTGAAATCCCATCAGTGTTGCCAGCCCAGTATGGAGGTGGGACATATTTACGCGGGGAAGGGGAAAAGGGTGGCCTGGACATCATCTAACACTAGGTGGGGCTGTTCATAGTCGCAGCTTTGACGACAAGAGCCATTTTCATTGGGTTTTTGCCATTACTGACATAGGCCTAATTATTATAAAGCACTACGTACCAAGTGCTGAACAGGCCAAAAGAATCACAAGCTGGCTTGGTTGAGACTCGAACCCAAAACCTCCTGCTTACTAGTGCAGAGCTCTCAAACGCGAGTGTCAGGGTGGCCAACAAATTGGGAAGGGGGCAATGCACACCCCCTTCCCCCCAAATGACACACTTGAGCAGTTTTACCTTGAATCAGTATTAAACCCTAGCTTTCTATTTTTGTGTCGCCAGGCTAATACCTCCCACTTTGAGATCTTTGCCTACGGCAGGAACATCACCTACATCAAGGTGGGCCTCAAAGATGTCAGTGCTGGCAGACGAGTAGTAATGGTGAGTCTGTTTGGTTTAATTTACTACCCCAGATCTGGAGAAAACTCACGCTGCACATTTATGTCTGGATACTAAAACTAGTTCAGTGCCTAATACACAGGCATGCAACTGGGAAGTCACACAAAAAAAGAGGAAATTCAAATTTTTCCCAAGACTTTGTACAGTGTTTTTCTGTTTTCAATGGCACACTTGGGAAGTACAAAAAGAGGAAATCAGCTGATCCGAGGAACAGTTGCATGCCTGAATACAACAAGAAAAGCTGCACATCTGCATATTGAGTCTAGCCTAAGCCAATTTAAAAGTTAAGAAATTTAAAAGCCTAACGTTTTGGTCCTGGCAGGACCTTTCTCAAAGGTTGAATGACACTGGCACTGAAACAAACAAGAGGGGGATACACAAGCATGCAAGGGCGGAGGGATAGACACATAGGAGGGATTAGGCCGGGGGAAGGACCAAAGGAGGGCGGGAGTGGGTACAGATCAAAGGGGATTATCAAAGAAACCCAATTCTCTTAAAATGTAAATAAGATATAATTAAAGGGAAAATACAACATTTGCAAACATCGAAAAATAAAACTACCAAGTTGTTACGAAATACCTTACTAGGATGTTGGAGAATGACAGTCTGAAGCATCCTGTAAAATTATGGCACCTGGTGTGAAGTCATTTTCAAGAAAAATTGTACTTTTGTATACATTTCCAATGGTGGTCGGCCGACCACCGTTGGAAAAACCTAACTATTTTTCAACTACTGCTCCAAACTTACCATTTTTTTCAGTCCAATGTTTTTTGCTATGTGTTCCATGTTCATGAACAGGTACAGGCCAGCTAGACTGGTTCCCTTACCTTACAATTTTCCTGCATTTATGATCCATTTCATCTTTAGTGGAGTCAGGGAACTACTTGAACATTTTTGTTTTTCTTGGTTTTTCCAGCATTTTCGAACACAAAACTTCAAACATGTCAGTGTAATGATCTATTATACTAACCCCCAAATAGTTCATTTCTGAAAATTACAGCAAAGCCAAAAGCCAATGATGTTCATTCCCTTTGAAGGACAAAATGACAACATCTGTGATTATTGTATGGGAACTTATTATAATCAATTAAAATGGACAACGAAGGAATTCAAACTTCAATTTTATGTCCTGCTGACGACATATCCATCATTGTTCATTGAAGAAGAAAAAATGGAATAACTTTAAACTTTGTCAACCTGTTTATGATAGGTTGCCCCTTGGCCGAGTCAGAACACCTGCTTCAGAAACGATGGAACAGACAAGCCCTGCAGAGTCACTCAGTCTGCTGTTTTAACTGTAATTGGTACGTCCGCTATGTTTTTAATCATTTTCAAATGTACCTTGTTTATAACTGGAGGTTTGGGATTTACAAATGCTGAGGTTTACAAATGTAGAGGTACGAATTGCCTAAACTTTAACATTTTTGCAAGCAACTTCCTTGAACACTCTAAAATCAACCTTCTTGCAAGAAGCCAACAATGCAGTTTTTATACATTTACTTTTAAGAAATATGATACTGGCAAGATCGTAAAATCCCTCCAAACCTATAATGGATTTTAGAGAATCTTTGAGGGTAAGGCTCAATTATTTAACCCATTCACACTTGCATTACATTGTATTACATTGTATTACATTGTATTACATTGTACTACATTGTATTACATTTTACTACATTGTATTACATTGTATTTACTCCTTGATGAATCCATAAAACCATAGAGGGCCAGGGCAGTTTGGGGCGGTATAAGGACTTACAGCTTTGGCGAGGTACAGTGGCCAATGGATTAAAGGTTCATCTGTTTGGTTTGGGTTGTTTTTTTTGCAGAGAATCCCTGTCTTAGTGGCCCCTGTAGTTCCTTTGAGGATTGCAAGCCTAACGGAGAGGACTTCATATGTCAATGCAAAGCAGGCTACATAAGGGATCATCCTTTGTGTATTGGTGTGTATTCATTCAAATATCGTCCAGCATAATGTCTCACTTTGGAACTCCCTAACAGAACCTTGCTGTCCCCCTTCCTATAAAATATCTCAGTTTAAATGCAGTGTCAACAGAAACTTTGTCTCAGTATTTTTCAGTAGCATGCATCCTTTTTGTGGTTGTCCCGTGAATAAAAAAAAAGAGAAACTAAGGCCCCAAAAAAGTCTCCGATTTCTGGTATGCGCGCGTCGCCGTAGCCATGCACATCGGCAACATGAAAAAGATTTTTTTTTTCAATGTAATATGATGTCTCAAAACCGCCAAACTCACTGGTTTGACTGGAATCCTGCTTTTTTACGATCGAGTATAAGCTTTATGTGGCCTCTCTGGACTCCCATATATTTTTCACTAAATTTAGTCGGGCACCATTTGCAGTCATCAGTCGACATTTGAAGAAAAAAAAAGTATTAACAAAAAAATAGCCGTGTCCCCGCACCACTTTTGGGGCAAGCTCCATACCAGAAACCGGAGACTTTTTTGGGGGGCCTATTGCACTTTTCACTAAAAAATCGTCCATAGGCAGAGTGGAAGTCACAACTCAAATTTACAATCAACCAAACAATGTGTCAAGTGATGTTGTTCCAGACAAAATGTCTGAAACATAAACCAAAGGGTTTACATTTCAAACACAGCTTGGAATTTAAGGTCTGCAACCCAACAGGGTTCACATTTAAGATGCTTAAGTGGGTCTGAAAACGTGACCGATTCTGAACCATAACCTTTTTTGTTTATGTATGTTTCAGACATTATGTCGGGAACAAAAGCGTTTCTGGCATTCTTGGTTCATGCTGATGCACAAGTACGTGCAAAGGGCTACAATGTGCAGTGAAGGAGCTTGAATGTATTAAGTGAGATCGTTACACACAGATTTGAAATTAACAGCCAAGACATTTGAAACCTCCTCTTTTTTTAATCCTAACCACAATTGGGAGCACACATTCGTGTTTTACTATACTCCCGAGGACAATGCTTTGTGTTTCCCTTTGTTCTTGTAATATGACACTCTCCCTTAGACTTAGCACATAACTGTAAGATAGAGGACCGTTTTGAACAAAAGACCCAACTCCTGAGGACTGAAAGGATCTGTTGTTCTCCCTTTGTGTGTCTGTCCTCGGAGGTTATGTAGAACACTTAAAATTAGGCCCACGGTTTCAACCCCAATTTGAAGTTTATCTATCAACCCATGCATTCAATTGTTTGAAACACAACATTTTTCCAGAGAACCCATGCGAGGTCTTGACAGACGTGAATGGGACACTCACAACCTACAACCCATGCGGTTCAGGTAGCTGCACCATAAGCAGCAATAAGAGAAGCTATACCTGCAGCTGTCACGAGGAATTGGCATTTGTAGATGGAACATGTCGAGGTAAACCAAAAACTTTTGTTGCAGTTATACATCCATTTTCATACAATTTCTTGTATGCCTATAAAAAAATCAGGTTAAAGTGGATCATTTGTCATGTGTGCATTTGTTTCGTTCGAAGCAACAAAAGTGCTCAAAATCTAAAGACATGTGCTTAACAACTAACCTGATGAAGTTTTAGCTCAGTGAATAATGTAGATTCCGAGCAAACGATATTCTAGGATCCGATTTCAATTCAAAAGTTGCCGAGTCGTGTTTTGAATTGCGCCCGAAATCAGTGCCCAGGACACGTTCTCGTTTAGTCGATTGCAGCTACGCGATGCCATGCACTGAACTGTCGAATGATAGCAACCGCATGCGTGTGTGCGCGTCGTGTCAACACTTGCGCGCGCATCCATTCACGGTTTCGCCCAATTACAAACTAAATTTCCAAAAATGTGCCACTTGACTCATCTTTGGAAATGACTTTCTTTTGTTGTTTTCTTCAAAATAACAGCATACCAGAAGGACTAATTTCACAGGGAGTTTTAATAGTGCCATTACTATCTTTAAACCAAGAACAGTTTTGGACAATAATTTGGTCAGTTACTTTTTGGATAGCTGCAAATGATCTACTCTTCTTTTAAAGACCAGGTAAAGCTTTAAGTCAAAAACGATCCACTGTTTTTATCATGTTTCCCAACTTGTCCAATCTAGTCCACCCCTGCGTGTCCAACCCCTGTGGTCACCATGGCTCCTGCAAACATTCTGACCAATCACGGCAGAGCAGTGTCACCTCCGTGCCTTTCTCCTGCAACTGTGAATTCGGTTACCACTACGACAACGCAAACCAATCTTGCCAAGGTAATGCCATACGAGTTATTTCGGTGTTCCACGAGTGCGGAAACAAATTTATTATGAAATACGCCCACATCAAAAACAAACTTGCCTTCGTTGCAAAATTTGAAAAGCTGTCAAATGTGTAACAGACAGACAACACAAATAAACATGTACTTTTGTTTCCATTTATGCTCCTCTTTTTGATATGGAACAAGTAATTATTTTACTTTTCCTACATTTGTTGACCATTTGTCTAGTATCTGTTGGGACATTGGTAGCAGTGATCCTGACAAGTCTCTTCTCAGCTGCTCTTCTGCTGCTTCTGCTTCTCGCTTGGAGACGGAAAAGGAGTCCTCGGAATTTACTTCTCAAAGCCATGCCGTGTCTCAGAAATGGTTGGTAGTCCTTCACTTGATTGAGCCAGTCCACAATAGACCCTCCCTGTCAGTCATTCAAATAGTGCACATTGACCAATCGCATCACACCTTTTGGTCAGGTGATCACAGTAGTTCATTTAAACATGGTCACATGCACTGTGAGAAATGTGCACAAACCACAGGTGGGAGGGGCTTAACTTCATTTGCATACAAATGATAACTCATTTGCATAAATTTGGTCTCGGATGTGTGTTTTACATTAACAGTTGAATTTATTTCAATTTGTGGCTAACCCCTCCCCCATCTTCTGTGAACAAGAAACTCAAGGATTTTTTTTCATTCTACAGAAACACAGCCAAATGCATGGCAGGGGAAGTAGAAGAACTTTTTAACCATCTGTGATCAATCAAACAATTCAAACAATAGGGATTATTGGTGTGGCTGGGTTTGGAAGTAGCCCAGCAGAGAAACATGTCTACAATTCCCTCTTCAAGAAATGCAACTGTCTTAATTTGTTTTCAACGGTTGTCCATTTGGTTATAGATGGGAGTCCCAATGAGTGTTTTGTAGATCAGTCATCCTCACGGACACCAATCATGGATAGCGCGCAGTCTCCCGGTGTTTATCAGCAAGGTAGGATTATAAAGTAGAGCAAAGAAATTGACTGGAGCAGGGTTTGAACCCGCGACCTCCGGATTGCCGTTCCGGTGCTCTACCAACTGAGCTATCGGGCCTGTGTTGGTGGTTCCCCAATAATTTATAAGTCAATGATTCTCCAAGGGTGCTAGTTGGAAGCCATTTGCTATGTAGCCAGGGATCACGCCAAAAGTCACGATGCTAGGAACATCAGCAATGCTGCAAACTCAGAAAATGGCACTCGAAGATCACTCAGAGATACAGCTTATTTTAATAAACTACTAGAAATACCTCATTTGTTGGCGTCAGACGAATAAAATCATAGAGCATCTTGTTACATCTACCTTTAACAAAGTTCTGCCCATGGATCACAAAAAAAGGTGTGCGTTCTTTCAGCAAAACGAAAAACAATTCACACACATCCCAATGTGAGTTGTTTTCGTTTTGCTGAAAGAACGCTGAATTTTGTTTGTGATCCGTGGACAGAACCTTAAAGCGGTGGTTGTGTTAAAAATTCCGTAACTTGAAAAGTACATGAGTGATGTGAATGATTCTTGTACTGAAATAAAGCTAATGAATTGGGCTTTTTTATCCTAGAATTTGAAAGTGCTACATTCAGAACTTCACTAAAACAATAGTCCCGACATTTGGGTTTGGTTTGTTTTTTGACTCACCCTGTACTGAAATTCTTCAACAACATCGATAATATCCATCAGTCTTACGATAAGATGATTAAATGAATTCTTGAATACATGAAGAGTCGCAAGTCAATCAATATCCTGAAATAATCAAATACGCTTCCAAAAATCAACTAAAATTACCAAAGAGCAATATAAATCTAACCAAAGGATAGTACATGCTAACTGTGAATTAATATAAGTGATAATTATGGGAAACAATGAGGTGAAATATAAAAAGCTCATTAGCTGTTGAGGAACGTAGACAACGTGTTACTTGGTCTTTGACCAAAAACAGAATGACGAAAAGCAGAAAGCGTGTCGATTGGTTTACCAAACCAAGAGGGCGCTCACCAATTTTAAATATCAGAAAACCATTAAGTAATTTAAAAATAGATAGAGGGGGTTCGTATTGCAACCGTCACATACTAAAGAACTTGTTGGCTTTTTATGTTACTCTTCTTCTAGTGCCCGAGAGAACGGAGATCATCAAACCATTGAAACGAGTCAAGACGGTCCTGTTCAGCTCAGAGGATCATCCGCTCCATGATGAAACAGTCCAACAACTTGCCGTCTTCCTCCAAGAAAACTGCATGTGTGACGTCATACTGCCGAAGCGATGCACCCGGGACATCGCAAGGAGAGGTATGGAATGGATAGTGTTTTTGACGAAAAAAAGCAATTGAGACTTAAGTTGAAATTTGGACCCACTTAACATGAATCAGGATTTTTTGCGTCGGGGTGATATAAATCAAATTAGGTTTTGCCCTTCACCGACGTTTTTAAAGCTATAGTCCATCATTTGTAATTTGTGCATTTTGTTCGTTTGAAGCAACAAAAGGGTTCAAAATCTAATGAAGGATACTGAACAACTAACCTGATGAAGTTTCAGCTAAGCTTCAGCTGCACATTCCCAGAAAAACAGCATTCTAAGATCTCAATTTCAAATCAAAAGTTACTGAATCATGTTTTGAATTGTTTTGAATTGCAGCTATACGCGACGTAGCGCACTGATCCGACGAATTATAACAACCGTGCGCGCGTGTGCGTCGTTCCAATACTTGTGCGCGCTGCGCTGAATAACAAAACGAACTACTAATTTAAATATTCCTACGGTGCTTCTTAAGAATCACCGTTGGAAATGCCTTCTTTCGTTGATTACTTCAAAATGACAGCTTCCCAGAAGGAATAATTTCACAGGGAGTTTAGTTCCCTTACTATCTTTCAACCAAGTTTGTTTTTCAACAATAATTACGCCAGTTACTTTTCGGATGGCTGCAAATGATGGACTATAGCTTTAAACACTGTATACTCAGTGTGTAAATTTCACCCGAGTGATTTTTTTCCAACTTTCACTCGGGAGGTAACACACTGAGTATACAGTGTTTAAAAAACGTCGGTGAAGGGCAAAACCTAATTTGATGAATCAGGATGAACAGCTGCAAATGTGTGGATCACTAGCAAAAAGTTAGCCTGAAAATTTAGAATGAGAATTGAACATATGTTAACTTAATCATTGTCTGAAGCCTACAGCCAATTTCACGAAACAGTGCGCAACTTCAGAAGTGGCTGTGGCACCTTTCAGAGGTGAATTTATACAGCGCCTGAAGAAAACCCCGCCATCTGATTGGTGGGTCCTTGATCACGTGATTGGATTATTCGTCCCAACCCAGCCACTCACGGCCCAGCCACACTAAACAAAAATAGAAGTCCCTTTCCACTGTAAATGGAAGTTCCATCACACGGTCACAATATTGGAGGATCAGACCAATCGGATGAAATTTTTTCACATTTGGAATGGAAAAAAAATAATTTCATTCGGTGAGAGATGGGAGTGATCCATTACATTACACTCGGCTTTGCCTCGTGGAATGGAACATCCATCTGTCGCCTCATGAAATTATTCTTACCATTGCATTCATAAACAGTCATCATTTGTATAATAAAGCCAAGTAATTTGGACACGGCCAGAGTCTCTCTAGCAGTAGCTTGGTACTTGGTACTTGGTTGGTTCTTCTTCTAAGGACTTCCACAAGGGAGTATAACTAGGAGGCCAGAAACACCGGGGAAAACCCCTTCTCTGATCTTAGCGATAAGTGTTACTGGGTTCTTTTACGTGCGTTAGGCCTCATACAACACACGGGACCTCCGGCTTAACGTCCCATCCGAAGAACGAAGCAATAATGGTTAAGTGCCTTGCTTAAGGGCACAAGTGTCCGGGCTCGAACCCGAACCCACGCCACTGTTGCCTCTGAAACACCAGAGCATGAGTCCGGTGCTCTTAACCGCTAGGCCATGACACTCCAGTAGCAGTAACATCCAAGATATTATTTCATCTTCTCAGGGGTGAATGAATGGATAACTTCCATTCTGGACTGGGCTGATAAGATCATCTTGCTGTGCTCCAAGGGATCGACAGAAGCCTGGCGCGCCCATTCCAGCATCAGCCCCGCTCCTGCCGACATATTCACGCGTGCTGTGTCCTTTCTCCTAAAAGACAACACGTCCGTTGGTCTCCCCGACAACTGCTGCGTGGCGTACCTGGACTACTCCTCCAAGAGTGATATTCCGCCGCCGTTGGCCGTCGGCGCGGTCTACCGCCTGATGAAACACATGGATGCGCTGTTCTTCAGACTCCACGACATGAAGCAAGGCGCGCCAGAGTGGAAGCTACGGGCCAGCGATCTGGAAGAGGATAACTACGCCAAAGTGAGCCCAGAGGGTGCTGGTCTCTACCGCGCAATCCAACAGATGGGGGAGTTCCAAGCAGCTGAGCCCGATTGGTACGAGAGATTCCACAGTGTTCCATCATACAAGGGTGTGGAGTCACAAACCGACCTTGGAGATGACTCGGAAGTGGACGAAACAGAGTACAACAGCGCCTTGCAGCAGTTTTTGAGCACAACGGTGGTGTGAGGCGGTTGCTGTTTTTGTTAACTCCATTCAGGAACTTTAGATGGTGCTGAAGAACACTGGTTTTCAATTTTTAACTGAATGCACACAAAGTTGTAGTGTCTCAGCATGAGAGTACAGCAGCAGTGGCAGTCCCAGTGCCCTTATAAAACTGTGATTTCTGGATTTTCTGCCAACAAGGTATGGATCTCTCTCAATAGATCTCTCTCATAGGATGTCATCTTCGTAGGAAAATTATAACCGCGTATTTATCGCCATTAGGTACGTGTGTGCACAGTTTGCAAAATGTTCTAAACAGTGTTGCTCGAAATTTCTTTGAAATATGGTGCAGCCGATGCGCGTCACGACAATTTGACGCATAAAATGCCGATGCTCGTGGCAATCTGTAGGAAGTGACGTCATTTGAGAGAGACCTATAGACAGCTGAAACAATCTAGTGAGGCATTCCCGAATGACTTGACTACGGATTTACATTACACACGAGTCTATGTAACGGCTGTAGCCCCTTCTCATACACTCGTGTGTAATTTTTAGCCGTAGCCTTAGTTAATTAATTCACATACAGCCTCAGGTAAGGAAGTCTTTAATTCTGGAATGGGAGACAGCAATGAAATTCATACAGAATCTTCATCAACAGGGTTCATGAACAGAATTGCTTTATTCAACATATCATTTGTGCTCCATACTGTGAATTAAAATTAAGATTTCCCAATGCCGACTTATATGTAATTCACATAACTAAAATATATCCAACTTATAAATATAATTAAATAGTACAAGTGTTAAATGTTATTATTTATATCAGGCTTCCAGTGGTAAAACTAAATCGGGGTATTGTATGCTTATGAATAGTTTATACGCACGCACAATATACATGTCTTCTTAGAAAAGTTCAAATTCACCAATTAAACTTGTGTTTTTGCTAGCCATAAAACTTGCAAAAGTAGGTTAGTGGCACAGCAACAGGTTTGGGAAGGGGGGGGGTAAAACACCCCCATGACCCATGCAAGAAGGAGAGGGAGGGGGAACGAAGGAAGGGGTTGCTGTGAATCTGATCAATGCCCTGAACACGCTCTCTGCACATGGCCTGCTTGCATCTTGGCATGCTGTATAGATGTAGCTAATAAACCATCAGTCTTGGGCCGTTTCTCAAACCACGGCTTCGTTTCCATTTCATAGCCGTCCGGCAAATTGAAATCCCCCCCCCCCCCCTTCTGAAAAATTTCTTAGTACGCCACTGGCTTACGGTACATGTAGGTGAAAAAAAGGAAACAAATTCATTTGTCAACAAGAACCATAGATCTTTATCATGCTGCCACCATTTTAGTCAAGTTTCCTGTATCAAATAACAGTATTGAATGATAATTTTTTGGGCAAAAAGGAACCAGACTATCCAGCCTCGCTTTGGTTACCTTGATTTGAATGGGAAAAAAATCATGATGGCCACAACATGATAACAGTCTATTATGCCGAAAACTGTTGACCAACAGCAAATTTACCTATTTTGTACCAACTACTATCGAGACATGCAGTGCATACGCAGGCCGGCAACTACGAATTCAGAAAAAAAACGAGGAAACTCCAAACCACACAAGACTTTGCAGAGTATTTTTCATTTTTTATGGCTTTCATGAGAAGTAAAAAACAAGGAAATCAGCAGATTTGAGGAAAAGCTGCATGCCTGCATATGGTGTGCACAGAGGACCTACACTCAAAATCCTAGTCAGTTTACATGAGGTTCACTATTTCACTCTGCGACTAAAACCCAATTTTTTTTTTTAATAGATTTTTGCCTGTGGTTCATGGACTGATGGTCAGACATCACTATTTTTGGTAGCAACCAAATATATTTTTATTCACTCTATAGACTTTGTGCTGATCAAACTGATTGCAAGGTCAGCATTTTCTAGAAAAGTATTTTTCCATCTTGTTGAAATTTGTGTGACTCATGGGTTTAAAAAGCTCATTCAAATGTTTCATTATTGGCATAATGTCTGACAGCTTGACCAAGCAAGTTTGAGCATGCATAGTAAAAAGATTTAGTGTGCAGTTTGTATAATATAATATACAGCACAATTAAAACAGGGAATTGTGTTTGTTTTAATAGTAATGCACATGTAATGTAAAATGATATATTGTAAACATTGTTTTTTAGCCTGATATTTATTCCACTTTATTGGTTATTGCAAAACTTGCGTCGACAACAATATGGCTGTAAAAACCACGCCTTAGCAACTCCCAAAAGAAACACAACATTTTGTATACATGACTTCTCTTGAAGCATCAACAACTTTGGTTTTTTTGGACATGTTTTTAAAAGTAAAGGGTTAAACAATAAATGTGTACTATTTCTGTAAAATGATTGGATAGAATTTGCTTTAGCTAATTATTTTGGTAGCCAGCAGTGGGGTAATAGACGAGGAACAGTATTTCAGGTTGTTTTTTAAACGGGTGTATTTAACAGTTGCATTTTGGGGTTCTTAATGTAACAGCATTTGTTTTATTCAAGTTAACGGTATGGGCATTATGCAAGTACACGTTTTGGCGATACGTAAATTGTAGCTAGCTCATTGATATACAGTAATTCATACGTTTTAATTCATCCTCTACGCACATTTTGGGAAGCTGGTACAAATTCCATATTTTATTTCAAGTTTAACTCTCTTTTTTAAGTTAAATTAAAACCACTTAATAAAATGTTTATTCAGTACGTTAATAAATAAATGTAGTGTTAGCAACATCCTATGTCTCAACTTGTCATTGTGTTTCAGATTTTTGCCAAAAAAATCTAAAACCGATCACACGGATCGCCTCGGGTAAAGGCAGACGGGTTAGCAACAACAGCCGGCTAATCAAACGCTAAAATCGCGGGCCATCATGATCCTCACGTGATGTCCGTATCCGTGGCCATAGCCACTGACAAAATGCCCATTTCGGACTGGTTTTAGTTTGAAATGTACTGTTTTTCAGTCAATTGCAAAACTCAAACAAGTTGGGCTGGAGTTATAGCCTCTAAATTCCCAATGAACTCAATAAATGATTACCTTTAGACTTCAAATAAAGTAGATTTTTGGGTCCACTTGAGATTTCTGCTGTCCCACCGCCATATTTGTCCGTTTTGTTTTTTTAACGAACAACGCATGCGTGTGACGTACTTTCACCACTGACTCCACTCCACGAGCAGGGTCTGTGTTGGCTGACCCGGGTGAGCCCTGAGAATGACGTCAGAGCTAATCGAACGGCGCGGGCTGACCCATGTCGATCTGGGTGAGCTAAACTCATTCACTCATTCTGGACATTTATACAAGATTTGTAAAAATGTTCCCAGTCGTTACTTTGCTTACCTATCGTATGTCACCTCCGGGTGAAACACAGAAATTCTTGAAGAGTTTTGGGTAACTCAAGACACTGAACCGAGTTCAAGAGTTTACGTCGCAAAGTTTTCACAATCCTAAGTCTGCATAGCTGGGTCAAGGGTGCCACATTCTCTGCAATCAAAATGATATAAAATTTGATTATTAAATTTAAGAAAAAGTGTGTGGACTTTAATTAGAAATGTATTCATTTCCCGACATTTATTGCTTGTAGTCTGTATTTAAGATTTTATAAGATTCAAAGATAAAACCAACTCAACTCGCATGACAAATCAAATAATGTATAGTGTACTCTATTTTTTTTAAACCCTTGGTAACAACTAAAAAGAAATCAATCCGTTCAAGTTTGAAAGTCTGGTAAATAAATAAATAATTTTGCTTGCTTTTTATAGCCAGAGAAAATATGCAACGGCTACGGATGTTTTCTTCTCGGACGCACTGGAACATCGACCAATGAAAACAGCGTGTTTAGTTCATGAATATGCATGACAAGTAAGAGTATCCAATAGTAGTCCATATATTCTGCATACTGCATTTCTCCAACCGTGAAACCAACCTGCATGTCGTTGTAACATATCAGCAACAAGGCTCCCCTTGACGGCTCGGTCGATGGGACGCCTACCAACGTTATCGCAATAGTTGACATCTGCACGAAAGTCTAGAAGCAACTGGGTCAGTTCTGGGTTTGGGACAGAGGCCGCTACGTGGAGTGGAGTTTCGTGGATTTTTAGGGCATTCACATTCGCTCCTGGAGCAGACAGATTACATTGGTACAACATTTAATTCAACTGATATTTTATAAAGGCCAAGACCGAGGCCACAACTTCCGAGGCTAAGGCCGAGGCCACAACCGCAAGGTTGAGGATGAGGCCGAGGCCACCACTTCCAAGGCCGAGGCCGAGGCCAGCTATTAAAACACGTAATTTGATACCAAAACCATAAATATTGGACAAAACAAAAATTTTCCCGTGAAAATTTAATTTTCCCCTATACGTTGAGCACACAGAGCAGAATTACCATTCGTACATTTAATTAGCCATAATTCCTAAACCCTTTGACCTATAGTCATGAAATTTCTTGGGTATGTTCATGATGAGTTGCTCTATGCATGAACCAAGTTTAAAAACTTTCGTCACTCGATGGCCGAGATCTTCGGGGGGGGGGGGGGGGGGGGGGGGGGGGGGGGGGGGGGGGGGGGGGGGGGGGGGGCAATCCCCCCCCCCCCCCCCCCCCCCCCCCCCCCCCCACCCCACCCCCCAGGCTGAGAGATAGTCAAAATAACCCTGCCCTTTTAGGGTTAAGGCCCCGACTTGCGGGATAAACCTCAGCTATTACGGTCCAAATTCTCTGCTTCCAATAAAATCAACTTTTGATGCATGAAGTGTTGGGTTTTCCAACTTGGATGCGGTTAGGTAAACCCATCCTACCTGCTTTGAGAAGCATCTTGGCACACTGTACACTGCCTCTATGGCATGCTGCATGGAGGGGCGTACCAAAATGACCATCAGTTGCATCCACGTTACCTCCAGCTTGGATGAGCTCCTTAAGACATGCAACATGGCCTGAAAGAAAGACAAATGAAATTCCTTACTCATCTACCTTCAATTCAAAGGTAGGGTACATCATTGTCATTTGTGCATCTTTTTTTTTTCATTTGAAGCAACAACAGTGATCAAAATCTAAAAGATGTGTGCTTAACAATTAATTAACCTGATGAAGTTTTAGCTCAGTGAATGCTGTATATTCCGAGAAAACAATATTCTAAGATCTCAATTTCAAATCAAAAGTTGCTGAATCATGTTTTGAATTGGGCCTGAATTCAGCGTCCGAGACACGTTCTCACTAAGCCGATTGCAGCTACACGATGTCGCGCACTGATCCGACAAATTATAGCAACTGCGCGCGCATGTGCGTTGTGTCAACACTTGTGCACGCTTTGCCGAATAAAAAAACAAAAAAACTACTAATGGAAATTTCCAACGGTACTTCTTAAGACGCACCGTTGGAAAGGCCTTCTTTCGTTGATTACTTCAAAATGACAGCTTGCCAGAAAGAATAATTTCAAAAGGAGTTTAGTTCCCTTACTATCTTTCAACCAAGTATGTTTGTCAACAATAATTACGCCAGTTACTTTTTGGATAGCTGCAAATGATAGACTCCAGCTTTAACTGAAGCTTTTGTTTCACACAAACATTCCCATGTCCTTGTCCAGACACTTTTGTGTTAAGATGGGAATTGGAATAAAATCGTCCTTTGCATCAGAATCAGAATCAGTTTACTACCTCTTAAAGCAGCCTCATGCAGGGGCGTGGTAAACATAATGGGAGGATTGGTCAGTGCTCCGGACCTCAGCAGTAACCGGACGCAGTCCACGTCGCCAAAACTTGACGCATCACACAGTGGGGTTGAACTGTCAACGTTCGTGGCATTCACCTGATTGTCAACGAAAACAAGACCACTTCCTTCAAGAATGATTCTTGTAATGTATGTACAACTCTTTTTTATTGATTTTTGTGGGTTTTTTTTACTTCAATTTTAATAATTGAACTAAATACCTGTTAAAGCGATGCATAACCTACTTCTTTTACTTAAAGTATGTGGAATCATTTGCATTTTTTATGAGCATTTTTTTTGTTTGAAGCAACAAAATTGCTTGAAATTTCAGCTCAGTGGATACAACATGTATAGCCTCCATTTTGCGAAAACAGAAAACCTGCATATGGGTTTGGATTCTGCTGCTAACAAACATAAAAAAAGTTTGCCAATGGGCACACTTTTAAAAACTACATTCTATTTTTTTTTTTTCAGGATTATATCATTTGAGGTGGATTAACTTCACAGGGTATTTGTACCATACTTATTTTCACTTTGAACAAGGATTTTCTCATTAAATCCCTTTCATTATTCTTTTTTTTTTGTATGCTCAGCATTTCTTAGGTCCGAGTGCCGAAATTCCACAGACTGGATTTGAATCATCAGTGGCTTGACGTACTGCGCTTCACTGGGATAAGAACCGGCTGCAAATTCCAACTCCAGTCTTGAACAGAGCCTAGTCTAACCTGTGCCCCAGCATCTAGTAGCATTCCTGCGCATTCAGTACGTCCCTGGCCGCATGCTTCGTGGAGAGGCGTCACTCCGTCGATCGTGGAGCAGTTCACGATCGCGCCCTCCTGGATCAAACGACTCAGCTGGATCACATGACCCTCAAACGCAGCACGGTGTAGACTGGTACGCAGTCCTAACGCAAAGTCTTCAACTTTAGGAAGTCATGGGGCCGGGAAGGGTAGAATTGGAAGAACAAGTTAAAATAGTAAGAAACAATTTCAAATATGTGCTGAAATATTTTTCGATTTAAACAGTTGCCGACTAGCTGGTCTTTATTCCAGTGTCGCATGAAATTTGGACTCCTATGAAATCCAGTGCCAGTACTGTAGGTTGACAATCACAATCCTCACGAAGGCATTTCATAGTCCTAAATTCACACTACACCGGCACAGCTGCGTTCTGTGCCACATCACGCAGTACGCGCGATACGCACGCCAATCTCCATTATGAGGAGTTGTTTACGACTTCTTGCGAGAGGGCTATACCATATTAGCAGAGGGGTGTTTCGAAAAACATGAAACAAAATCATTGGAAATTTATAATTTTTGACAAGTTTGTTTTGACATTTGGACCGGAAAGTTTTGATTTTTTTTACCGAAAAGGTATATAGCGCCTATGAAGTCGGCTCGTTTAATTATCAAAATCCAGACTCTAACCAATTTTAAACATAGACTAGTGTTTAAAACTGGCCAAATACATTTTATTTCCTTATTTAATACACCAAGAAGTAAAATGTTAACATAACAGCACAGTTTCATACTTTGACCAATCAGAATAGAGTTTTCCATGGAGGGTCTGATTTAAGCAATCTGATTGGTTCAAAGTTTAACTGTAGATTCACAATATGCAAATGAACTGGTCTATTAGTAACAAATAATTCAACGACTGAAAAATCTGCATTCCTTGTGTTTATCTGATATTTGGCTCACCATCCATGACTACATCACCTCTTCAGGCTCTTGATAGACGGTGGCCTTCAAAAATCTTCAGCTTGGCATCAGCAACTTGAGTAATATGCCATGGATTTCCTGAGAGAAAAATGTCACATTTTTAACATCATGTGAATCAATCATGTGCATTTAGAAAGTCAAGCTGTTGTTTGTTCTGAACACATTTTATCAAGTTTAGACCAAGTAAAAAACGCACCAGTTGATCGTCCAGGTTTTTCCAAAAAGAGGAGGAGGCCCTTTTTATTTGATAGTTCTGGGTAGTTGTAGGACGGGACGCCCTATTATCGCGTTTCTCGTACGGAATAGAGATTGCCCACTAACCTTCCCGAAATGTCCCGTCTTTTGTGTAACTCTTCCTTTTCAAATTACAAATCTGATATGGTGTGGTTTCATCATTCATTCATTTTAATTTAGAAATTCGAACTGGTTTTACAAAATATATTTATGCGTGTGCGATGCCTGTGAAAATAGACCTGCTTTGAGTATGCGAACCGAGGTGGACTCCTTGTTACTCCGGTAGGCAGGAAGTGGTTTTTATAATCTCAACTTTCTTTTTCATAGTTAATGTTAAAAAAAACATCAGGCCTAGGCTTGTACTTCTAGGCCCTAGTTGATGACCACAAAAGTTAAATTATCTTCATAAAGTATTAGATTAGAAACTTCTGAAACACCTTTAAAAAAAATGTTATGCCTGAAATTAAAGAAAAAAGAAAAAGATGCAGCCTCAAAAAAGGAAGCGGGCGGGGACGATCAATTGCATTTTTTTGTTTTTTTTTTGACTTGGCCTTATGCACTACCCTTAGTCATTCGGATAGCCCCTTTCTTTCCTGGACCACGCCCACCCCTTTCGTTGAACACGCATTTTACCGAATTTACGTGTAATTAATGCTGAATAAAAACCAAATTACAGTGCCAGTTAATAATTTCCATGTCCAGCTCAGTCGTTTGAAATGCTATGCCATCTTAAGCATGTCAAATACATGAACACAGATTTTACAAGGTTTGTCATGCAGTTACGGAACGAACCAATGCATGCACTGTGCAGTGAAGTGCATTGCTTTGCGCGTGCTCATTTGATACGAGCACGCGCTTGTCTGTTTTTGAGTTGATCGGATACTTATGATGTCGACATTTGTTTTTGAAGTATTTAACTGTCGCTATTCAAAGTGACGGTGTGGACGGTGGTATTAAACAAAGGCCTTGTATTATGCTCTGTTTTTCAAATGCTCCATCTATACCTATTTTGAAGCAAAATTTCCAAAATTTCCAAAATTTCAAGGTTAAGTGACACAATTGAACGGTACTGAGTAGAGAAGAGGGTCACCAGCGCTGCGTAGAATTATATGCAGAACAAAATTATAAATTATCAAATTGATTTATTCTAGACAATTGACACATTGCGACAATAGTTGTGTGTTAATGAAGGGTAATTTTTAGTACTCGAATAATATAGATCAGGAGGGGCACGTGGAAGGGCTCATTTTCGGGAGGGGAACTCAATGGATTTTAAACAGTAAGTAATGTTTTCTGTTCTCTGGATCAAGAGTTGGGGCCAAGACTATAGAGTTAGGATCTGTACATGATTCTCCAAGATTGGTAAGTAGAGGGCGCTATTTTTGAGCATGATTGTTTTTTAAAAGGACTGTATAAAAGTACACGTGTGCGGTTTTTGCCTCTGGCATATCTGGCCAGATTGATATTTTGATTAATTTTGGACACCACCAAAAACCTTTAAATTTTTGCGCGCGAGCTCATTAATATTGTGTGAGTCACCGGTAATACTGAATTAAGAGGAAGTTTGCGGCCTATACTTCGGATATATTGTAGAAAATGTTGATGGAGATCAAAGTATTTGTGACTTGTGGCTTCAAACTCGGGGGATTTCGTTAACAAAAACAGTGGCGACGCCAGACTCAAAAATGGGGGGGGGGGGGCAATTGGGGGGAAAGGAATATTTGGGGGGGGGGGGGCAGTCAAAATAAAATCATAAGCCTGTGTACGCGTACGTGCGCGTGCCCATTGTAAATGGTCCGGAAATAAGCCACTAGCGCTAGCGCAACTTGAAAGTGTACTTTTTTAGTCGTTTTTATGAATGAGAAATGTATCAAACCGCAGAATGGTGTATGTATAAATGTACGTGTGGCGTGTTTTGTCTCAAGTACCAATGTTTAATACAATGCTTACATTGGCCCAAAATGTGTCCACATCTTATGAATCTGAACAGCGAAGAAAATAAACATAATTAATCTATGTGTTGACAAAGTGTTGGGAGAAATTGTGTGTGTGAGTTGGGGGAGGGGGGCATTGACTTGGGGGCAAATGCCCCCATGCCGCCACACCATACTGATTAGGGTGTACTGATTGTATGGCAACCATTTCAACTTTTTAGGGTACTGAGTGTGGTTTGGAGGCCCGGGGAACATAAAATCAAATTGACGTGGTAACCCCTAGATAAATTGAAAAGAAAAATGTCCTGGGTGTCACAATCTTTAATTTCCATCGGAAAAACCCTCGCCTCCTAGCGTGCTCCTGATCCTGAGCGTCTTTTGTCCGATTTGGTGTTGTTTTCCATGAGCGCGTATTTGGTGTAGTGGATTAACCTGCAAGTGCGAAACAATTTAAGGCAGATTGTCGAGGGGGTTCACAAAATTAAACAAAAAACACATAAAGGCCTTTAAATTTTCATCGTCATCATATTGCCAAAAAGAGATCTAGTAATCTTTCAGAACTATCCTTGGCAAAAGAAATACAAAAAGTTAATGCGGGCGGTCCGCGCCGCGCAGGCGGTAGTATAGTAGCCTAGTTTTTGAACAGCGCCCTCTATTTGGTCATTGATACATGTACATCACAGTTAAATGCTTCAATTTTATCAACAGCAAAGGTATCCGAAAAATCAACATCGACCATTGACCTAGCCAGGCCGCCTGCACCACCTTACATACACATGACATGACCTACCTACACAGACGTAAATGCGTACTGCATGTACATGTACTGTGACAAAAATGCACACGCAATAAACAACTAGAACTGTGTCATTTGGGTGTCGGAATTCGGAAGGAAAGCAAGAATTCTTTCGGAATATGTGATCATTTTAGAGTCGTGTTACTTGAAGAAGCCTTTTACCGAGATGGCTAATCTGTTTGAGAAGCTGAATTTTGCGGCTGCGCCGGAGAAAGTCGAGTGTAAAGAGGAGGAAACCTCGAAATCGGAGACTGATGTTGTTGAAAAGGAAAAGAAGCCTATGCACGCACAGGATCAGGCTTTGGGCCGAAGCTCATTACATGATGACACTGAAGACGAACGAGAACACGTGGCACAGTCCGTGAAGCCAGAGACTGCGCCTTGCCTGTCAAAAATTTACCTTGAAGGAGCAAGTGGCCATAATGGTTCAAATGGTTCTAATCCTGTCATGCCTGTACAGCCAGAGAAACAAAATGGCTGTTTTGGTAGGCCTATGCCTGATTTAAAGCAGCTCGCTGAAACTGAGAGCAGACTTGGAAGAAACCGGCCCGTGTCATCAACCACCAAAGAAACAACGCCTTCACTGGCTTCAGCCTCAAGTGTAGACAGTAAGGCTCCAGAAACTCTTGGCATGGCCAGTTCCAGCTTTATACCGGTGACTCAAAAACCTAATTTAGCTCACCAATTTGTTTTGAAAACCTCCAAAAGTTTTGTAGATGAGGAGAACGTCACTCGTGTGCCAGAGTCACCGACATCCAAATTAAAAGCAACGTCAACAAGAGATAAATTGGGAGATATTTCTGGAGGCGAAATGCAAAGCAGTTGTCCGATAGATACCAACACGACCAAAGACTCAGTTACACACACAACTGAAGCAAACAAATCCGTTGATATCGAAAAATCAGCTGAAGAACGTTTATCTGTGCAGCCGTCTGCCACAAATAATGGATTGAAACGGCAGTTCAAGCATGAGATTGATGAGAAACCACCAACAACTGCAGCTGAGCCTGTCAGCAAAACTGGCAAAATCCTAAAGAAATCCAAAAGTGTGTCAAAAGGAGACAAGACAGCCGCCAAAAGGGACCATGTCAAGATGAAACAGGAACTGCATAGCGAGGGCGGACACAGGAAGATCTCAAAAGCGGCCAAACGGGAGAGGAACTCTGGATCTGCGGATGCAAGGGCCGCGTACTTACCTCTCAGCAAACCATTTGTCATTCCACGCAAGAAGGCAAAACAGGGTATAAATGGAAATCCCTTTTCTGACAGAATTAACAAAGTTGCGGAAAGAATGTTGCAATCCGATGCTACGTACTTCAGCAGTTGTGTACAACTACAAAGTCTATGGAGAGTCAAGAAAAGTATTTCCTAACAAAATGAGGATAAGACATGAATCTTGGACTGAGAAACATTTCCACATTTGTTAGGAAATACTGAGGGAATACTGAAGTGGCGTCAGGTTGCAACATTTCTTCCAATTTTTTTTTGTCTGGGCGTTTTGGGAAAAAAAGCGGAGGCAGAGTTTTTTACCAAGATATTGGATTTTCCAAATTCTGCCATATTCTCGACTCTTTTGCAGATATTTTTGTGTCATATAGGGGCCGTCACTCTGAAAGATTCCCATATCTGGCCATCACTAATTTTGCCCTTTAGTGACCTATCAGCCGTCAGAAAGTGCTAATACGTCCTAAAAAGTCAAATTCAGCAGGGAAAATATTGAAGAATTTACTGAGAAAACACTTGGAAATTTTCAGACCAGTCTCATAGGGTTTGTGCACAGGGTGACAAGGTGATGGCCAGATATGGGAATCTTTCCGTCACCCTTTCTACAAGATAGTAAACTTCCATGCAAAGCTACAATTTTGCCGGAAGCATAAAAGACAAAATGTTTTGGAAATATTATTATGTATGATTTAAACATTTAAAAAGCAGGCAGTTTGACAAAAGGGAAGTGGGTGGGGCTGGTTTATTTATCTTTTGGCTAAGCAAAAATCAGATGAGGATGAGTGACGAGAAATAAACATTTCTATTTTTGCTGGTAATCAGTTTTTTTTTCCAAGCAACCCTTTCACTTCATTACCATATTTATTTATTGACTTGGCTCTCTGCAGAACCAAATTGTTTGCTCAGTCATGTGGAAATCACTAGAGCAGGAAAGATGGACCACAAGTTGAAAAATCACTTTTTTTTCTACTTTATTTTCACTGTCAAAGAGTTATTAAACTCAAAAGTACACTTTTCTGTGATGTGAAATTCAAGACCATGTGTGCAAACATTAGAAAGTTATGCCTGTTATTTAAAATAGTCCCATTTATCAAACTGTTGGCCATTTCATCATATAATCAACTGGCACTCCATACTTTAAATTGTGTGTGGATACTTCTCAAGCAGTTTTCTGCAATGTTTGTTAAAGTAAAACACTGCATAAACTTCACTTTTAAAAAGATCTGAAAACACTTTTTCGGCTGGTATATCGTTGATGTATGGGCGGCAAAACCTACCAATATGCCAGCTTGTTGAAAAGCAGTGAATATATCTGGATTGATGGTGTTCTGTAAGGAAAGGATTAACTGGTCTCTAAAACTTTGGACTCAAAACCGAAAGTTACATTGGTAACTTCACTTACTAGAATTCTCAACTTTTCATCCTGCGTTTGAACTCCTCAGGTCTCTTCCAAGAGGTCTCCCTGCAATCCAGGGAGTTTCTGAAGGACATCTTGCCAATCGTAACCAAGCAATACCGCGGCAAAGACGCAGGCAACCGCTTTTCTTTCACCAAGGCACAACTCATTCACAACGACGAACTCACCAAAACGGTATGTTTCTAACCCTGTGCAACTTTTTAAAAATTTGACATCCGTTTGAGACTGGCCTTACATTACGATGAACTTTTACTTTGAAATGTTCCTCTTCAGTTTCTTGAGTGGCGGAAGGAGATGAAAGAAAACGAAGGCAGAACGGAGAAGGAGTTGACGGAATCTTATGCTTTTATAAACACCGACAGCAAGACAGCAGTAAGTTTCTTTAATTTTTTTTACACTTGTCCCCCAAGATTCAATTTTATTTATGTTCCTGAAAGGTAGAGGTGCATTGGGGCAGGATCACCTCTGATCATTAGTCAATCATTAGCCACCCCCCCCCCCCAAAAAAAGTCAGAGAGATAAAAAAGATTAGCATTCCAGTCGAGCCAAACCAACGTATTCCTAATTTTTGTAATTAGTTGTAAGTTCGACGTTTGAAATAGGAGTGACTACATGCCCAAGATAATTAAGGAGTGCATGACTATGTTCCCCAATACCTATGTTCCCCAACCCTAACCCTAACCATCTAACCTTAACCCTAAGGATTTTGGGAAACATTGGTATTGGGGAACATCGGGTAGACCCCATATTTAAGTACCCCCTCCACAAAATGAACCTTCAAAGTGCACCCGCAAGGTTTCCGCTTCGCATATTTTTGTTGAAGTCGTCGGAGAAAAGGTTTAACAAGCTGAGTTAAGAAATTGGAAAGAAATATCCTCTCCTGTTGGTATCTTTAACCTGTTACTGTCTCCGTTGATTGTCCATAAATTGTAAAATCCAAAGAAGATTAAAGTTTCAAGAGTTGTTAATTTGATTTTGTTGTTCCTCTCCCCCCCCCCCCCTCCCTCCTCTTAAAGGCTGAGAAGATGTGTCAAGACGGTTTATTTGCCTCTGGTGGCCATGTTTCACCACTCGGAAAATCTAACATGGGTGAGTGTACATTGTAGTGTTGCCGTTTACTGTCTTTGTATTCATTGATGGATAATAAAATTCCCATTGTAGGAATAAATTCATGTGTAAAGATTATAGGATTGTTAGGTCAAGGGCAACCAGTGTGCAGTTCTGGACTCATTGTTACTGCAGTAAATATTCCTTAGCAAACTCCTGTATTCGGCTAAAATAACCTCAAAACCAGTCAAAAGCATTTGTTTTATTGCATAACATTCTGACTGAGCAGTGACTGTTTTTTTCTGAAAAAAATGTTTTCAGTGTTTTTGTCAATTGGTCTACAAAACGTGTTATGAACTATTTGTAAAGGATGTTGATCGGAAAGAACATTTAAAATTAAGATATAAACATCCACACAACTATCCTTTAAAAAATTGGGTGTTTTTGAGTTATTTTTGTGCGAAAATTTCAGGGTCTACTTTTGGGACCCCCAAAATCAGGCTGTTCATGCTAGTTGTGATTCAAGCCGTAAAGTATTTGCCTTTTGCGGACGTGTAAGAAACCACATTTGTTCATTGGTGCTGTGTGTAATTTATGTGACACACACAATGGTATTGTACATTGAATGAAAACGACAGGAAAAACGAAAGAGTTCTCGCTTGTGTCCATGTAAACAACCAGGGTTTTTGTTGTTGTCTTTTCTCAGAAACGGTAAGACATTAGGTTACTTTCCTTTCAACTTGACCTTTTAAATAGTGTGTGTAAACGATCCAAAACATTTCAGGACTTACAGTGTAGTGGCCTTTAATTGTCCAGTATCAGTGTTAGTTCACTGAACCTGTTTTGCCAGGAAAACTTTTACTTTTTGTTCACACCTATGGATGGGCAGTTTCTATTGTATGGTATCTATAAAAGTCCAGGGTCAAAAGTTTTTTTATGCAACAAAACTGCTGTAAAACCGGTTGTTATAAATAATTGACTCCACAAAAGTCGTGCTTGACTGGACAAGAGTGAGGTTGCTGGTCCATAGCACTCTTCAACAACAATGTGATAATGTCTCCCCAAACTCTTCCCTGTAGCTAGTAGTGGGCCAAGGTGGAAAATGAAGTCCAAGGAATGTAAATTGACTTGTTTGTGCAGGGTGTTGCTGATTACCTACAAGCGGATGAGCTCTTAATTAACCCTTACCCTACTTGACCCTCCAATGCATGCCAATTGTGCCTCAAGAAAATCTCCTATGTTTTTTGCATGGCCCTCCAATATCTGCCATGTCATTTCAAGGGTAACTGGACAGGCACTCCAATACATGCCACAGAGAACAATGAGAGTCCTCTGATAACAAAGTGAGTGCCCCCAGCTGGTCAGTATCAGGCACCCTCCAGGGCCTCCAACTCCTGCCAATTGGAGCCTTCACTGTTAAGACTTGTTATCTGCCAAATAACTGCAGCTGGAGGGCATTGGCATAACCAACAGACATGCAGTAAACTACCCTCAGAGAGTAAGGGTTAATCCTCTCAATCCTTGCAAATTGTAGTGGCTGGCTGCTCATTATGCAGGGTTTTGTACATTGTGCCTTCTACAATTATATGACCCTAATCCCCCAATGTCCTGTGGCCAGAAACCCTGCCACACACAACACTTGTAAATGACATGCATGCCCACTGTAGCAAGATATATCAGGTCAAAACTCTCAAGGCCAAACTGCCGCCGAATCTGTGGTCACGGAGTACATGCAGCCAGCAGGATACAACTGTGGCATTGTTCAATGGGATTAGCTCTCATTGTTTCAGAACTGGCCGTTTATGCACTTGTGTTGATAGCTAATAAATGTATCAAAGTGCGCAGGACTTTTCCACCTGATGCACTGTGTCTGGCTTGGTTAAGGTTACGTAGGGTTTGCCTGTAGGCCTAAAGCATAAATCCCAAGACATGTTTGCCTCGAACTCTCTCAAATCTGCTAAAAGCCAACAGTTGAAAACTGGACCACAATAAAACAATTACACATTGGTCGCCAGGTTTTTTGTTTAGTCTAATTGTGTATGTATACGTGTACATATGTACAATGTATGTAGCCAAGCTCTACCTTAATGGCCCTGTATAGATCTATCAAAACCCTGCAAAATCTATGCTAGGTGTATACTTCAAGTCACAAGAAAATACAGAAAAGCAGAAATACGCCTGTATTCATCCAATTTCAAAGTCCCCATTCACTTTAAAACTTCTCACCCACCCTTTATTTGACAAGTACAGGTACATTCATGAGCAATTCCCTAAACTTCAATGTAAGTCCAACCACATGATGTACAGGTCGTTCAAAGGTACTTTGGTCTGTAACTTACTCTACTACTCATTAGATGTCACATCATTTGTGATCACATACACTTTTCCTACAGCAGACATGTACGTCCAAATTTACAGAATTGCCCTATGAAGTTACATGTACATGTGCGGTACCAGGTAGTTAGAGAATACATGTACCATGCCAAAACATGACAAAATCCAATACAAGACATTTTCTACATATGTACGTTTAATGCAAGACTGCTGAACTTTGTGTATTAAAACCAGCTAAGACAAGGGCTTGACTTCCTTATTCACAAACTACATGTACTGTACATGTACATGTGTGCCCTATATTAAGGCTACAATACTTGAGCTGTATACTGAGAGCAAAGTCGCATCCCCACAGAATCGTTGATCTGGATCACTGGCTATATAAATCTGTTCAATCTGAGTTCCCAGAAATTACAGGTCTTCGGTGCGGTTGAATAGGGACCAGGGTATTATAAACAAGAAACTACCGGTCCAAAGTGTCAAACCACAGCAAACTTAAAGTAAACATGCTTTCTGTGTTTCCATCTGGTTCGGTTTGTTTCCATGTTGCAGCAGTCTTGCTGCAACTTTTCCTTGGGTGAGCTTATTTTCTTGTTATTCACTTTGCGCTTGTGCCAATAAAAATTGAAAAGCACGTACTGTACATGTATGTACAAAAGTCAAGGTTTCAAGCTTCGAATTTCCTCTTTTTTTGTAACTTCCCTGTTTTCACATGGTCTGATCTATTGTAAGTTGTGTTATGTAAAACTGCCTGTAAACCCCTTGCCAAGTCTGCTCATGGGATGTTGGCTTATTTACTTTCATTTTATGTGTTATTAGACTCTAGTTTTATAAGTACAATTTTAAATTATGATATTTCCTGATGCTTGTCTCGTGATATAAACTTTGTTTTATTTTTATGCTCTAAATATAATTTGAACTGATTTTATTTGTTTTTGTTTAACTTTAACTTGGCTCCTTTGCGAATCATTAGCTACTAACTTACTACAGAATAACATAAAATTAATAAAAGAATTTTTTTTACAGTGAATTTGTTCTTAGGCTATATTGTGATACCTTTAAAAAAGAAAAGTTTGAGAATGAGGTGAGGTTGTGGACATTAAGTCACCCTGTGTGAATCGACACAAATGGGGTCAAATGTCACACACCTGACCACAGTACTAATTGAAGTGAGAATTTCTACGCGAGCTCATTAACATGAAAAGTGCCCGCTCCCAACTTTTTTGAAAAAGGAGAACGTTTGGCTTAAAAAAGGTGGGATTGTGTAAATGTAGCCAAGGATCAACTCCCTGGTTTTTGGGCTTCCATCTGAGGGCAGGCTTGATAAAATTACGGTTGAAAAAACAGGTCCTACTTGCCAGAGAAAGTGAAGGGATGCCATTTGTAAAATGGCTGCTTGCAGGCTTGGGAAGTATCACTTTTCGGAAGGCGAGTTTGTTTTGATGTGAATATTTAAAAACGTATTTGGCTAACCCACCAAATTGAAAAGAAATGGAAAGATGAAGGAGAAACCCAGTGATGTTGGGTTGCATGTTATTTTGTTGATTTGTCCAGTTTTCAATGGGGCTTGAATTGGTGCATTGCACCCCTCATGGGCCTTATTCAAGAGTCGGCCATATTGAATTGAACACTAGGTAAAATCTTCATTGTTGGAACTTGCGAAGAGAACTAAAAGCAATGACATAAAGTTGATTACACATTATACCAGTCTGCTCTGATGAATAATTTCAAATTTGTGATTAAACATACCCTAACGTTTTAGGCCACAAAAAATGAAAGTGAGGCTAGAATGTATAACTAGTCTGGCACCATCCCATTCAACAGTTCACAATTAATAAAACACTTTCAGAGAACCGGACCAAAACGGCTTTCCCGAGAATAAGGTCCATGCTCACTCACCCCTCATCAAGGCCACTCGTCGAAGTACAGAGTATGTAGGCCTACTGGTATGAACCCCTAAGGCATTGTAAGGCACAGGTACTTATTGACTGAATCACAGAAAGAGTTTGGCATTCCACCATGTCCACATTGTGACAACTCAAAAGGTTCATTCGTTTTTGTCATGGTTTTTTGTGTCAACATAAAAAGCATTCAAGAGCAGAGTACATGCACCTCACTCTTAAAGGCAGATTGATGCAAATCTGGCTCCAGGCACAGGTGCAAAGGACCTGTGAATTTTTGTGATCAATTTAGGAACCTGATAAAAACTTCAAAACTTCAAAACAATTTTAATTAAAGATTTTTTGGATTTTTTTTTTTTCGGCTGTCCTTTTTCCATTTGTGTTTATTTAAAGGTACATGTTATAGAACTAATTTGCTTTTGCTGTAATTTTCAGAAATGGATGGTTTTTGGGTTTAGTATTTTATAGCAAATATTTACACTGACCTGTTTAAGTTTTGTATTCATAGATGCTGGACAGACCAAGAACAAATGGTGAACGTTCTTGTAGTCTGGTTCCCTTCCCTTCTTCAGATGAAACAGCCATTAATAGACATCAGGGAATTGTTAGGTCAAGAACCAGACTACAATGTAGCTGGCTTGCACCCATTCTCATCTACATGTGTTACCAATTGCAAACAAAATTGCTGTAAATTTGGGGCAGAACTTGGAAAAAGGTCAGGTTTTTTTCCCAAAGATGGTCGACGGACCATTGTTAGAAATCAACACAAAAATCCCTCTTTTCTTGAAAATGACAGCAAACCAGTTGCCATGATTTCACAGAATGTCAAGATTATTCTTTTCATGAGATGAATTGCATCAGAGATTATTGTTCACTAAGCTACAGCCAACTTACATTTTTTCCACAAATGCAAGATGAATTATTGAGTCAGCCGCCTTTCCTTGTTTCCGGTTGACCGCAATAAAAAAGAAATTGAAATTTTCCCATTTTGTCCTTGTGGCGTCAACTGCCTATCGTATTGCATTTGAAACTCATGTTTTGTCTCCCCTAGCAACAGCGACACAAAAAACTCAGCTAATATTATCTGACTAGGGTTGTTTAATTTAGCTTATTACTGGACTTCTCTCCTTGGAAGTCTTTCATGCGTGTAACTGCAGCAAGTGACACGTGGCCATATCATTTTGTTCCATGTTATTTTGGTTTCACGATTATGCACAAATTTTTACATGTACCGGTACTACATCTTCATGAAGATATTTTTTTAAAAGGGAATATACATCATTGGCTTTTGCTGTAATTTTCAGAAATGAACTATTTAAGGGGTTAGTATAATAGATCAAATATTGTTACACTGACATGTTTGAAGTTTTGTGTTCGAAAGTGCTGGAAAAACCAAGAAAAACAAAACTGTTCCAGTAGTGTGGTTCCCTGACTCCACTAAATATGAAATGGATCAATTTACAGATGCTGGAAAATTGTAAGGTAAGGGTACCAGTCTAGCTGGCCTGCACCCATTCATGAACATGTAACCAATAGCAAACAAAATTTGGACTTAATTAATGGTAAATTTGGAGCAGTAGTTTTTACAATTTTTTTTACAAAAATACCATTTTCTTGAAAATGACTTCACAGCAGGTGCCATAATTGTACAGCCTGGATGATTAAGACTGTCAGTTGCCAACATCCTATTAAGGTTTTTTGTAAAAACGGGGTAGTTTTATTTTTCGATGTTTGCCAATGTTGTATATTCCCTTTAAAGACCTGCTTGTTATATAATTTATTAACAAGAGCCTACCAGTTTACAATGTAGTAGTGTGATTTTAAACAAGTCTGGACTAGAAATTAATTTAATTTCTTAGCAGTTCAATGTCTCACATAATGCCCTGTAAAAGGGACACTAGGTCCTGAAATCCCTGACAATTTTATGTTTTGGATTGTTTACTTACCGGTAGCCTATTTCAAACACCTGGTTGAAAGGAAACCAACCTATAATGTCTTACCGTTCCCGAGAAAAGAAAAAAAAAAAACCACTTGTTTACATCGGACATGACGGAGTACGAAGACCTTTTTCGTGTCGTTCGCAGTGTACGATATACATGTTGTGTGTCTCGGGAACAGCGGTGACCAATCACCAATGCAAAAAAAAATGGTTTCTTCAACGTCCGCAAAAGGCGGACACTTTACGAATGAAATCACAACTAGCATCCAAACAGCTCGAATTAATGGGGTCGCAAAAGTGGACCCCGAAATTTGTTCTCGCACGCATAATACAGGAATAACACAAAAACGCCCAATTTTGAAAGGATAGTTGTGTAGATGTTTATATCCTACTTTAAAATGTTATTTCCTATTAACATCATCTCGTTCAAAGCGCGTTTTGTAGCCCAATTGGGCTGTTCCAGGACCTAGTGTCCCTTTAACTTACAGATGTGTAGTAATATATCCTTTGTTTGTTTTGCTGGCCCAATGTTTGTGTACTGATTTTGCATCACTCTTTTTGTAGCATTACCTACTTTTGAAAATCAAACAAATCCAACCTCTTGATTACTGCCATATTTTTTATTAATCTTTTTATTTTTTTCTCACAAATTTATTAAAAAAAATAAAATTATTGTAACTTGCATGAGTCGTGGAAAATTTTAAGTAAATTGAAACTGAAATTGATACCAGCGGAGAGAGTCGTCAAATGACATTACATGGATCTCTTGCATGCACAGTGCCGGTACATGTCATTGCCAAAACTCTTTTTATTCTGTTTTTAACAGCATTGATATTTCAAGAGCCACCAATGAATGTATTTTTTATTTTTATTTGAACATTATGATTTTCCACGGCTAAAGGATAATACACGTGTACATGTACATGTACATTGTACATGTATCGTAAGTAGCATTTTCAGACAGTATCGGAAATCTAACCTCAGAATGGGTCCCAACAGAATCCAACCACAATTCTCCAACCTAACCAACTTCTGAAAAAAAGCTCTCCATCATTCATTTATTTCCATGAAGAGATGAATTCCATATATCTCTCACCACATTTCCTGAAAGTATCAAAACTGTTAACCCCCAGAGCATATTGTACATTTACAGGTCGAGTCAAAAGAAAATGACCAAATAAGAAAAAAACATGTGTAAAAAAATATGTAGCTCGCCCCATTTTAAACAAATAACATACCAGTAGGGATAATGTTTAACCCCAACCCCTTGAACACTTTTACTAGAAAGTATCCCGAATCCACCAAAATCCACCATTTGTGTCATGCACAAAACTGTTGGTGTCCTGAGTCCATCAGAATCCACAAGCGAGCCCATTAAAATCCACCAGTGTATACCTCGTGCACACCAAACATATTCATACACGTTAGTCATTTGCCTCTGAAGAAGGCCTTGCTAAGGATAAAATATCAGGCCATTCTAATTTTTTTATTTGTATATTTCAGGTCAATCCTGTCAGTGAGCAGTTTGCAGTAGTTTTATTCATTTTCGTGTATCAAATTTGAATTTTTTTCTTGTATTTTTATAGGTGTGTATCTCTCCCGGTACTCGGACATCATTAAGAGGGACGGATTGGAGTCTGGCTACCAGGGAATTCTCCTCATCCTAAAAATTCTTAAGGTGAGAGCCGGACAGGTCAAGGGTCACATTTGAGATCTGAGAATTGTAAAGAGGTCAGGTGGCGGTTATGCATTTTTAAAGTTTTTTTTACCATGAATTTAAGAAAAACCAAAAATTTCATGTTGTGTTGGCCATTGATTTTTAAATAAAATGCCGAATTTTCAAAAACTGTGAGTTTTGCTGAAAAAAACCCAACCGATTTGCCTTAGAACTGGGTTATATTTCTGACATGAAATGTAGGCCTACTGTTTGTGTTATTACAATGAAGCACGGCATCAATTACAAAACTGCTGCAGCTAGTGAAACGCACCCTGCAGGCAAGTGAACAAAAGCTACTGAGCTCTCTTTAGAAAATGGATCCCCATGAAGTAAAATTTGATGGAAAATACAGAATAATCCTACAGAATAGTAATTTTTTTATTTGTACACGTGTGCGAAATGTAACTACCGTTAGGCCAGAGGGCAAGTAGTGGAAATCTTTTCTGTTAAACCTGGCATGATCCTTGACCCACTTCTCTCATGTTTTGTCTTACTTCCCATCCACGTCTTACATGTACATGTATTTCCCGTCCACGTGTACCAATGTTAGCCCATCTTTCCGTCAGTACACGTGGCAGGAAATCAGCCAAGCAAACTGAAAAGTAACCAACCTTTGTACAACCAAAATGCAAGTACAAAGGCTACAAACTTTGGAGTAAATGATTCACTTTGTTATTCCAGGGTTGCGTGCGGAACCCCAAAAATACTTAGCGCATTGTTGTTGTACTTGTACTTGTACTTAAGTATTTTATTGGCACTCGTACTTGTAATTTTACTGGGGGAGGGGGGGGGGGGGGACTGCTACATCAATGTAACTCTCTCCATGAATTTGGCCAACTGCCAGCACAGGAAATTGATAGGAAAGCGGATATTAAAAATCTAAATCACCCAATAAATTTAGGTTCAGTGTTTGTGCATGAAAAAAAATACCCATAAATTATTGTATCCCTATGGATTTCTGCAGAACTTCCTTTTATTTTATGCTGTATGCAATTGTCACATGGAGGCAGTTGGAGGATTTTGCAGGGTTGGGGTTGCATCCTAGCAAATAATGCCTAGGGAGTTAGGGTTAACCCTTACAAATACCAAGGTAACAGAAATGTCACAATTTGGACCCTCAATTAATAGAATATGTTAACCCAAGTGCATACTGTACATGGTATGTAGCATTACCAAACTGTTATTGTGCAATCCTGTGCAGATCATAGTTCAGATTTGGAAGTTCATTCACACACAAAACGAATGATAAACGAATGATAATGACTACCGGTACAATGTATGTACATGCAGAACAGTCAAATTTTTTTTATCAATGGCACTTTTGTTGACTGTGGGACCTTGAATCAACAAAACAGCTACCGGTACACTTACAAGCCCATGCACTCGTTTTTTTACATGTATGCCGAGGGTCAAATGTTCAAGTTAATCAGCTACACGTTGCAGCACTATTGGTGGGAGAACAGAATGTGTGCAAATTGGCAGTAATTAAAATCAGCGCGGTTGCTTTTTGGGACTGAAGTCGACATTTGCAGCGCACGTCAGTTGTCAACCGAATGGTTCTCAAACAAACCTCCCTTTAAAAAAATACGACAGAGCCATGAATCAGAAAGAGAAATTTGTTCTACATGTACAATGTATGTCGACAGTGAGTGAGTTGTACATTATGTAGGATCTGATTTATAAACATAGGCCTACATGTTGTAAAAGTTAAAAAATACTACTTTTGGGAATGAATATAAAAAAAAGGTCTGGCATGCACATTTATCCTATTGAGCTGCAAAAGCAGAATTTACAACCATACAGATTCGCAATGTTATGTTGCAGTTAAACTACATGTATAGTCGGGAGGGGAAATGTGCAACAGCTTGCATAAGAAGAGCCACTGTGTGTAAAATCCTAGCTCCATGGTAAAATCAACCCTATTGAACTCGAGTGGAAAAACAACTTTGTACATCAAGCTTTGTACAAATTCAACGTTTTAAATTCCACTTGTACAGCCTGTCATATGTACAGCAAACTACAATTTGGTGGGTTATTTTTAACTGGTATGTCAAAAAATAGTTTTGATAAAATTATCTGCAGTACCGGTACATAATATTTGCACAGGTGTTGGCCAAAAGTCAAGTTCTAGTGTGAATGGTCTAAGTTTTATCAAGCACGAAAATGGAATGTGCACTTTGTCATTATCTCCGTGGGATCCATTGTAATTCACGTGTGAAGTCAGTTGGAAAAAGGCACACATGTAAACAAATAGTAGCAGTTCATGCATGCAAACATTAATTAACCCTAACCGCCCTGAATCCTTCAATCCTCCTTGCCAAAGTGGAGGAATTTGGAGGATTGAGGTTACATGGCAAAAGTGCGTTACTGATTTCGTAGGATGCACTTTGTCAAGGTCGTGGGCCAGACCCTGTGTTGTTATTGCTCAGCCATGCATAAATATAGGCCTGGATTATGCTTGAAATCCTCCGTACTGCTCCAGGATGTCAATGGCCAAGCCTTTAACATATTGACGGTCACTGCCGCAGGATTCAAGCAGTGGTCACCCCTCCACGGACAAATTTATTCAAGAAATAATGGAGGAATTTGCAGGATTGAGGCTATTTTCCCCATGTGGCCAATTGGAGGATTTTGCAGGATTGAGGCTACATCCTAGCAAAAAGGCCAAGGGAGTTAGGGTTAATATAAACATTCTCAATTTCTTCTGAAAGACTTCTATTTTTGGAGAAGCTCCCATGAAGTTGATCATATTGTAGAAGACGTCCTTATGTAAACCCCTCACACCACCAATCCCGAACACAACCCCCACCCCCGACCCCCGCAATAATTTCGCACAAATGATTTACCTCTGGCCCCCCAAACATTGCCTAAAAGCCGACATTGCTGGCGCCGCTTGTTTGGTAAAAATATCAATCACACAATGAAAGTATATGTAAACCTCCCCCCCCCCCCCACCCCAGCAATTTACCACTGCTTCACTGATTCCCCAGGTCACAAGTTCAGCAGATGCCCTTAGCAGACAATATTCATGTACTTTGTATGATTTTTTTCTGGTTTTATTTACTCCAGGGTCGGGTGAAGGCCTTACCAGTCAACTACGCCAATGCTCTGGAGCCTACCCCCAACTACGACAGTCATGTAGCCAAGTCTAACGTGCTAGATATGACCAAGCTAACCTCTCTGCAAACTCCGCTTGCGTTTGATGCTACACAGGTAAATAAATGAATGAAAAAGAAAAACACTAGAAAAATAACTTATTTGGAAACAGAGTTGAAGTGAAGTTAAACACAAGTCATTCTGTCTTCCAAGTCAATTAGAAAACTGTTAATGGACTGGGATTCTTTGACAATTATTGTAATTGTTTATCCAATACACACTCATGAACTCACTTTGGGATTAGACTTGTGATGGAATTGTGACTTAGCTTGTGATGGACTTCTGATATTCTTGTGTTGACTTTTAACTTGACTTTTGAACTTGAGACTTGAGCCAATTCGGTAGATTTGACTTCATTAATTCACTAGTAGGATGTAAAGGGAAAAGAAAATAGAATTTGCGAGTTTCTGGAAAGTTTTTAAATACCCAAACAACGAATGAAATTAAAAAAAAATCTCTTGAATAATTATGTTACATGTACATGTAAATTTTAAGTGCATATTAATCTTGATTGTTGAAAATTATAAATGGTCACCATATATTACCTTAGATTTCGCCACCGAGCAATGAGACCCAAACCTAATTGATTACTTAAGCAGGTGTAAACGTAACAATACTACCTGTTGTCCCGCATCAGTGGAATCATGTTTATCTTCTCCAGGCCTCTTGGCATAATTAATTGGCGGAGCGATGCACTCGTATTTTCATAGTAAATTAGAAACACAATATGCCAATGTTTCGAATTACCAATTTCCTCGTCATCAGCCTCTTCACATTTTGATTTATAGCAGTATCGATAGGTCGTGTGTTTCAGTCCCAAATGAGCAAGCTTGTGAGTTTCAGATGTACGTCAGCAGGGGAAAAAATCCAAAAGCAGAAAAGCTTACATCTCCTGGATGGAAAACTTTTGTTCAACGTCGGTCATCTACGATAGTAAACATTTTTTACAAATGATTAACCCTTCTATGCAAACATACATTCTGTAAACCTTTCAGTAATCCTGTCAGTCAAAATCAAACAAGTGACTGTTTTCAACAGTTCAGAATTCCCATAAAGCAGGATTGACTGGCTGGGACTGTTTAAGTAACTTGATACAGCTATGCTCTGACTCCGGGTGAGTGATACAACAGCTGTGGCCACAACTTGCCTGCTTTGTCTGTTGACCCAGTTTGACTAGTCACAGTGCTTGCTTGACATATGATCTGACTGCTGGTGACTAGCCTTTGTTAAAGGTATAGCAGGGGAAGTGGAATTGAATTGTGACTGTCTGTATAGCAGGAGGGTTAAAGGGAAAATACAACATTTGCCAACATAAAAAAATAAAACTACCAAATCATTTTGAAATACCTTGCTGGACTGTTAGTGAATGACAGTGTAAAGCATCCTGTAAAATCATGGCACCTGGTATACTGTCATTTTCAAGAAAAGTGGTATTTTTGTATCAATTTCCAACGTTGATCGGCCAATCAGCGTTGGAAAAAACTGGCTTTTTTTCAAATACTGGCCCCAGTTGACCATCGCACTTGTTTGCAATCGATTACACACCTATGAACGGGTACAAGCCAGCTAGACTGGTACCCTGACCTTACAATTCCCCAATATATGTAGACTGCTCTGTTTCTTCTTAAATGGAGTCAGGGAACCAGACTACAGGAAAATGATTGTTTTTCTTGGTTTTTATAGCATTTTCGAACCCAAAAACTCAAAAAAGTCAGTGTAACTATATTTGCTATATATTTCCAACCCCCCAATTCCATCCATTTCTGAAAATTACAGCAAAAGCAAATGATGTATATTCCCTTTAATAGATGATTACTGTTTAACCCTACTTGTGGAAAGTCAATATTCAGAGCAATGTGTAAAACCTGTAAAAACCTTGCAGGTCAGTTTCAGGTGAAGGGAAAACTGTGTTAAACAAAGAGTCACTGCACAAGAAAAACAGCACTGTGGAGAGCAGTAAAACGTGACCAAATCTGCCTGCTTGCCCTGAGCTAAACCACACAAAAGGATTGTGCAGGGATTTGGAGTGTTATCCATACTCCACAGAAGATTACCACAAGGGAATTTGAAATGTGGGTGCTATTGCTAATTCCATGACCAACAGAGGTTGCTTAATGTAGGCTGTGAGGTCTTAACTGTTAAAAACAGTCACTTGATTGATTTTTGACTGTAAGGACACTTATGCACAGGATGTTTGTTTGCATAGGAGGGTTAAATGATTTGTTGGTGTGCCTTTTTGTCCCTTTGCATTAGATTTACCTGTTTGAGTTTGGAGACTTGGAGATGAGCCAACGGCCGCGTCAGATCTGCCCCTATGCAATGGTGAACTACACCTACCAAGAACCAGTCAAGCCTAGCCCAGCCCCCGCCCCTGCAGCCAACCCACCAACACAGTCAGTGCCTCAGCAAGAAACACGGTCAGTTATAAACCTGTAAACAAACTGGCGTTTCAGGCTCACACCGAACCAAAACGTAAATTTGTTTAGGACAGGTGAACTTTACATATTGTTTCCATTGACTAGATTGTGGAGCCACTCTGAACAACTGCAACAGTTCATCTTTTGGTTTACAATGTAGTTACTCCTGACTTTTCAAATGTCAAACTATTCAAATACTTCACTCTTTAGACGTTAGATTTATCACAGCATATATCAGCCAATTCAGTTTTGAGGTACATGTACTGTAAGTCCTCAGTGTAGCATAACCATGGCTGTCCATTCATCGTTTGCATGTGTCATTTTCAACTTTTTTCAGTCAGTGTTGGTTGGGGTCCAGATTCAGTGCTGTTGTAGTCTTTCATTGAGACATGGGTATTCTATAGACCAATCTGGACACAGAGTCACTGTGCACTAAAGGCGGCCCCCACTAATGGCAGATGCATTCAGCCATTAATGGGGGCCATCTTGAGTGCCTTGATTGGTCAATCTTTTCCTCTCTTTTTTTGATCTTGGACTGACACTGTTGCATGTACCAACTTGTTTTTCACCTCATCGGAATGCACAGGGATTCCTCGGTCCAGGGTATACCCTCTGTTCACCACCACCACCTCCACCAACCCAGCATGCCCCTACTCTCACTGCCTGTCAGCACCCACGCCAAGCCTGATGCACCGCTGAAGGACCAAGGCGCGCAGGACAGCGTGGATAAGCCACAGTCAGCGCCACCACGTGAGTAAAAAAAATAATAGAATGCTAGCGGCAAAGTTGTGGTATGTACGGTCAATCAAAAAATAATCGCAAGATTGACTTGTGATTCTGCGAATGTGCATGAAACGACATTCGTGTATTGTTGCTGTGTGTATTACATATATGTGACCACTCACAACGTGTACAGTTGATTGAATAGAGGCGGCTTGAAATACGTATGCTTATGTCGCAAAATGTCCGCTACGTCCGATGTAAACAACCAGGGTTTTTGGTCTTTTCTCGGGAACGGTAAGACATTAGGTTGGTTTCTTTCAACCAGACCCTCGAAATAGGATAAGTAAACAATCCAAAACATGAAATTTTTGGGGTTTTTTTTTTTGGGGGGGGGGGGGCATTTTAGGCTGTAATGCCACAAGCTGGTCTTAAAATATTCACAAGTCAATCAAATCAATAACAAGTCAAATCACAATGAAATCACAAGTATTAAAACACGGGAGTGGACAATGACAGAAGAATGTGTCTGTCTTAATTCCTTTGAATTGCTTTTGTTTGACTTTCGACAAGATGACTTGAAAGTTACGGCAGATCGACTTGTGACCTTTGTGATGACGTGATCAACTTGTTATGACTTGTGATTGACTGACTTGTCACTTATGATTTACTTGTGATAACTGGATGACATCTCTGTTAAGCAGTTAACAGACAGGGACTCATGAAAAGATATAAATAGAGAGAGAATGTGCCCCTCCGATTATAATTTTTTTATAAAAGTCTGTTTCCTCTCTGAGCGATCCCCGAGTGCTTTTTACCAGCTTTGCCATACTGTTACATAGCTGCCAACTATTACGAATTTTTCTTAATTATTACGAATTGTTTGTTAAATTACGAAAATACGATTTGCCACTAAAACATTACGAATTTCCCATTTTCTACCTAACGAAAAAAAAAATACTTGTAAAGTATCGTTTTTGACCGAAAACTTCTGGCGAAATGTCGCGATAATGGATGGACTGGTGACAAGTCTAATAAGAATGCAGTCAAGCACCTGATAGACATCAATGCAGTGTGCGCTGTGGAGTACTTCAGGACCAGACTAAAAATATTTTTCAATGGTGTGTCATTTGTGTGCATCTCGTGGATGTGTGGTTGTGTGTACTGTATGTGAGTACTTTTCAGTGACGATCGTGAGCACATTTGGTCGCTTATTCCCGGGATGAGACCCATCGGTGCGAGATTTTAATCATGGAATTTAATAAGAGTATGGTTGGAATAATTGGTAATAGAGTTTGAGTTTGTCACAACGTCCAGAAAAGATAAATCAGCATGCGTCAAGGTATGTTGGTGGGATATTTCTATTGCATACGGTGGCCCTAAATCATTGTCTGTAAAACATGATACGAACTCGAAACTCCACATCGATGGCATGCATCTCAAGAAAAATATGCGCACGTTATTATTGTTATTATTTATTTGACTTCAACAAACAAATACAGACATTAAAAAAAAATTAATAAAAAAAAAATAATAATAATTTTTTGTTGTTGTTGAAATTACCATTACATGTAACAATGTTGAATGCCATTGAAACGAAATAAACAATGTTGAATGCCATTAAAAAGTTGTCAATGCTGAAATACCGGTGAATTTTTAAGTACCGGTGAATTTTTAAATACCTAAATTTAGGGACTCATTTCCAGTGGTACCAGTATTTAACTGGCAAACGTCCTTGAAGTCTACCATCAGGTTTTGCAGACAGTCATAAAATTTGCATGAAATATGTAATCGTGAATCATTAAATAATACGCTACACTAGACACACATAATCCACATACCGGTAATATTACAGACCAGGAAATAGTGTTCTTTTCATCATGGCTGGATGCTTATGTACATAACATCAACCAAATGCTACAGGGATCATTTTTGAGAAACATGTGAATTGCAGGAAAAGCAACCAGTTCGCCAACAGAAACGTCCTCAGGATACAAAAAAAGAACATTTATAGGTATTTTAAGGAGTAGGAAAACGTCTTTTTTGTCTTTTAACTTGACCTGAAACGTTGATGACAAGGTATTTTTAGAGATGTGATCAGAGACCTATAGTTTCAAATAAAAATATTTTTTAAGGCAGATTCCCTTGTTTTGAATTGAACGGATATTTTAAGCCATTCTGTGTTGTTGATGTCCCTTAAAGTGGCGCGGCCCCCAACACGGCGCACTTTGATTTTTTTTTGCCTCTAGTGTCTTACCAGCACAGGCGTTTTACCTCAAATTTCACAGTAAGTAAAATGCATCAAGCTCTAAACATTCCTGTTCATAAGTTGCGAGTTTACTGACCCGTTACAAAGTTAACAGAGAAATTTTATTTTGGCTTGATTTTGTGATTTTTTTTTTTTAAGTGCGCAATGAACAATTTTAAAATGTTGCGGCGCCCAAAATATGAAAAGTAATCTGTTGAAAAACTTGTAGTTGTGGAGAAAATAATGTTTTTCAGAATTTGCCAGCTTTAAAAATATTTTTAAATGTTAAGTTTGGACTTTCCAAGATTTGTTCAAGTGGGCCACGTTATGGAACACTTGGCTGATTTGTGCCCAATTTCCAGACGCCACCATTTTGAATATCTAACCAAATTCCTCAACAGTAAACATTACTAAAGTAACAGTATCAGTATTTATCTGAATGAATTTGAAGTTTGTCAACAAAGAGGTTTGGCAACACTGCATGAGGAAAGCCGAGGGAAAAGTTGAAGTGCGCCACGTTAGGGGAATCCACTTCCAACGCTTCGTGTCTAGTACTACAGACAATCGAGAACCTGCGGCTGTGATGTAGACCAACACAATAGACCTTTATCATGCTGCCACCATTTCAGTCATGTTCCTTATGTCCAATAACAGTACTGAATGATAGTGTTTTTGTGCAAAAAGGAATCAGACTATTTTTCCTTCCAGCCTTGCTTTGGCTACGTTGATTAGAATGGGAAAAAATCAAGATGGCCGCAACATGATAATGGTCTATTACAGTGTAGAGATTCTTGCATTTAATGAACCTTTTAGTTTTACCTCATAGAAGATTGTGTATAAATAATGTATTCTGTTTATTTACTGACTACCATGCATAAATGAAGAGAGACATACAAACACTGACAAAAGAACTGAAATGGAGCACTGGGGAAAAATCCAGGAAAAAAAAATTAGGGGAAAAAGTACAAATACCCGTATATTGTTTATAAGGCTATAAAGCCATGGTCTTTTACTGATGACTCACCACTATGCTCATGAATACAAACGGTCACATAGCATGCAATCACAAAGCTGTCTAAGTTGCAACTGCACAATGTAGGGTCCAAAGTGTGACATTTGTCTTGTCACGCTTACCTTGGTACTTTGTACGATTTTTTTATTTGTTGGCTATTCATGATCACTCTTGGAGGAGGACTGCATTAAGCAGTGCGTCATAGTTATAAAACATCGATGTCGGGTGTAACACGGACAGAAAAAAATGGACCCCAAATTTATCGAATGACTCGCATACTGACAATCAGAATCAGTTTTAAACTGCCACACTATGCATTGCCAAATTCCTTCACCAACTTACAATAGACACACACAGTACCTCCCCAAAAATGTGCCGGTATGACTTGTGGTGGGATTTAACCCCAGAGTTTTAAAACTTTGTAATTCCACTATTTGGTTAGATTTTGGAGACCGGATATTCGAAACCAAACTGTAAAAGACGGAATAATGTCATGGGCTGTTTAGTACCAGCACGATCTTTAATCCAAACGAGAATTTTGATAATGATTCGCTAGGCTGCTTTTGGGATAAATGCAAAGGATCATAGTCCTTAACCCTAACGATCCCCAACCATCCAAACTTCAACACTGGTTTGTTGGGATCTGTTGGGATGAGTGCTGCACTAGTAAACTGACTGTGCTTTACATGGGATTAGGCATACCACAAATAAACAGAGTCCAACTGTTTATGTGCACAGTTTACCATATGGTGTTGCAAGGATGAGGAAAGTTCTAGAAAATCACCCTAGGAATCTGGGGTTATTACTAAGACACATTGTACAGGTTGATATTCAGCACACCAGCGGGCATAGTGTTCTTTCATATTCCACTTTTCCTTAACAGTGAAATATTTTTGTTATTGACTGATTCAGTGTTAACAGCAGGCACGATACTTTTCCTATTTTCATAGAATTTTCTATTTTGTTTGCTCCGTTCCTCTCCTATTATTTTCTCCAATTTCAGCATTCTTCACTGTAGACGTTACATTTTTGGGTGTCTGCTTGACAATTTTTCATATTTTCCGGAGAGTCATATTCATGTATCATGTTTGTAACAGTTTTTTTTTCTTTAGTTGCAAGGCTGGTTCCTTTGGAAATTAATTGCAAAACAAACATTTAGTGATGCAAGATCTTTAATAAGAAATTAAAAAACGGTGTATTAAATGAGAAAGATATTAAAATCTGTCAGTGGAAGAGGGAATTTTACAAGCTAAAGTCTTGATTTATTCGTAAATTCCATGCATAATATGGTGGATTTTGGCTCTTTCCCCTCCACAGTTACTCAAATTGAAGCCCTGCGGGAGAGCCATTACATCGTCTGGGAAGGAACTCTGACGGCCAAGACAGAGCCTCTCTGCTCAGCCAAGATGGTCTCCTACACGTCCCCTGTCTTGCCCCAGAATCTGTGAGTTATCAGTTGATGATCCATTTGCAACCTTGTATTGGTAGAATTCACAAATTTGCCCTTCTGTGCTCTGTTTGTACCCATTCAAGAATAAAATAAGATGACAATTGCAGCGTCAAGGACATTACAAATCAGACATTTTTACTTCAGGAGCTCAGTGATTAAACCTGAAAATATATTTTAAAATTAATTTGGCCTGACGTTGCGAACTTAGCAAGTTCTTCTTCAGAGGCTAAAACAGAAATGACAGAGGTACATACATTAACATGGGGGTGCACACAAACATGCAGGGCTGAAAGAAGAAACACAAAAGGAGGATTAAGTGGGAAAGGTGTAGAAAGATGCAGGGGAGGGTGGAGAAGAACTTGCTAAGTTCGCAACGTCAGGCCACATTAATTTTAAGATTTATATATTTCAGGTCCATCCAGTCAGTAAGCAGTTTGCAGCAGTTTTACTTTTTTTCATGAAAATATATTTGTCAAATCATGTACATCCATCATGTTGTATTGGGCAAGGAGATTACAGACTAGGAGTTTTGGATCCTGTTTCTGAATCATTAATTAATTCCATAATGCAAACAAAAAAGTACATGGATAAATTGAACCGGCACAATCAATTTAGCTACATGTATGCACGTGAATGCATTTACCGTGCAAAATTGCAATACTTGACCATACTTCTGTTTTGTTTCCGACAACTATGGCAAATTTTTAAAAATGCCTGACATCTCATAAATTATGTAACCCCTATCATCCATAAAAGAGGTGTTGCTTCAAGAAAAAAGGGAAAATCGTAGTCCACAACATAACATAAAATTTCCACTGATATGGTTGGGCTTGGTTACATCAGTCAATGGTATTTTGATCCTGAAACAAAAAAAATATGAATAGAAAACCATCCAAAAATGACAAAATCTAAACTTTTGTGGAGTATGTATTGTCAGAGTTGATTTGAAGTCATGAAATTGTAAAAAAAACCACTAAACTTTCTCTGACTTGGTCCTCCCCCATGTTACCTCTCCTGTTTCAGGCCAGCCATCATCAACTTCAAGACGAAGATCTCATTTGCCAAGATGCACACCTACTTTCCGTCGGGCATTTTTGCAAGTGGAATACCGCTCACCTCCAATATCAGGGAAGGTATGGAATATATTTTCTCAATTCTGCTTTTTTTTATTCTATTAAACTGAAATATGAATGCAAGTTCGAATGAACTTGACCATTGTTGACCCCCTCTTAGCAATTGATTGAGCAGATCTTGTTCAAACTCTCGGTTTATGAAAAAAAATCTGATTCCCCCATATGGCATTTCAGAAATCAATTAACAGATCTTGTTCAAACTCTTGGTTTTTTTAAATCTGATTTCCCGATATGACCTCCTTTCAGAAATCAATGGAGCAGATCTTGTTCAAACTCACCATTTCTTCATATCACTAGCTTTTTCAATCGGATATTCTTGTGTAGCACAAATGCAAGAGTACCGGTATGATCCTAAATTTGTAGATATTTAACAGTGCAGCTGTTTTTGGTAGTTGGGTCATTTTAAAGTTTGGGGCCCACTCATCCCCGTCCCTGTTACATTTGGAATCTATGATTGTATAATTCTGATGCACTGCTTAATGCAGTCGTCCTTTAAGAGTGATTATGAATAGCAAATTACCTACCCACCAAATAAATAATAATTTGAAGTCATTCTTAATGATATTTGAATGGCAAATTACAAAGTTCCAAGGTAGCAGGGACGGGAAAAATATCACACGTTGGCCCCTAAACTTGTAGAGTGACCGATTTGTTGTTGATATAAGTATTTGATGTAACAATCTTTTGTTTTGACAGTATGCCGAAGGAACAAGTACGTCGTTTACTGTGAGCTCCAGCGCAACAAGGAATCCACTAAGCGATACACAAATCTGTTGCAGTTCACGATGCTCAATCAAGTGGTGCGTATTAGATTTTGACACTTGTGATTAGATTTAAGCTTTGTGTAGGGATGAAGTATACATGTATGGACTTGGGAGAACTTTCACTCAGGAGGTAACACACTGAGTATACAGTGTCGCATTTTGATTTACACGTACAATAGAATCCAGCTCTGCTTAATGCCTTTTTAATCGCAGGTTCTGAAATGCCGTCTTGAAGGCAACGTGACGATGTTTGTCCTTCCAACATCCACGCTGTCTCACGAACTCGGTGTGACACGAGGTGACTACCCAGAGACGCTGCACGTACTCTTCACATCCCATAGTCCCATGATTGGCCACATCACAGGTAAAGAATCGGAATCATTTGGACATGTTTGGACTTTTTGTGATCCAGAGTCACTAGAGAAGCTTCTGCAACATAAGGGGTTACTGGTGAAGTAATAAACTCCACACAAGAACTGCAGACAGAAGGCCACATTTGAGGGCTCCATGTGCAGCACACACAACATGGGCATACACTCTTGTTTTACTATACTCTCGAGGACAATGCTTTGTGTTTCCCTTTGTCCCTGTAATATAACACTCTCCCATAGATTAAGCACACGAACCTACTACAGAGGACCGTTTCCAACAAAAGACCCAACTCCCGAGGACTGAAAGGATCTGTTGTTCTCCCTTTGTGTGTCTGTCCTCGGGGGTTATGTAGAACACGTACAAACTGGTTTGCACACGCATGGTCCAAGCACACAATACTTATTTCTCCAAGTGTACAAATGTCTTGAAGTAGATACCTGGTGTATGGCAGTTGTGTGAACAAGTTGCATCTAACTCTGTTCCTCTCTCTTTGTGGCTGTTAAGTGGGTACTTCTTCATGGAGTTCATTGCAAACAAAGAATGCGCACAATATTTGAGCATTTAAACACAAACTGATGCCAAAATTTGCACAGCGAATTTTTCAATTTCGGCCTATTACAGGAGTGGTTAGTAACATTTGATGGAAGTTTTTTGGAAGACTTATTGGATGGGATTACGATTAGGATGGGAAATTAATATGAAGTTTGTCATCCTTAAGAGGGTTACAAACATTTTATGCCACTTCCTGTACAACATCCTTTTCTTTGTGCCTGTTTTGCAGAGAAAGGTGTCTACATGCCCCCAGGCAACCTAATTCAGTCCCCCGTCCCAGATAATCAACTTTTGGAACACAGCAACAACAAGCAGCTGATGCTGCGCATCGGCCTGCTGTCTATGTTCACCAGACAGAGTCACGACCTCAAACGCCAGGCGGAAATCAAGAGTCCTGAGTCAGTCAGCCAGGAAACGCTGGTTCAAGGGGCGTCGGATCCCCAGACGCCCCTTGCAGTGGACCGCACAAACACTGTGGACTCCAAGAGCAAGGTTATCGACTACCAGCATGGATTGTTGTCGAAGGACCGTCCGACACCTCCAGGCGCTCTTGAAAGGAGCCCCTTGCCATCCGAAGTCCTGAACATCCATCCCATGTACAAAAGTCCCGCTTCAACTGTGGACATTCAGAAGGATACAGTGCCTGAAGCATCCCTTCATCCTATGTACAACATAGCTGAGACCTTACCTCAAGCAGCAGTCACACCTAAGGAGGGCATGTCCAAGAAGCATCCCCATCCTGTCTGTAGCCCCCAAGCCCAATTGCAGTCACCTTACGCCAGTGACGCCAGTCAGGAAGAGAATGTCCACCCAATGTACAGCCAGCATCTGGAGCCAAACAGAGAGGACCAGAAGAGTCCAAGAGCAGCCTTGCTTGATCCTCGTCTCGCTAAGAAGCAACCTCTTGGTCCTAATAGGAGTCCAGGAACCTCAAACTCGGGTAAGAAAAAGTCTGTAAGTTTTTCTGTCTTGTGTTTGAGAAAACCCCTCAAGGCTTGTAAACACTTGCAATTAGCAAAAATGAAAGGTAGAACCACTTTACCACTGAGCCCTGTTTCATGTCACTGAGAAGTGATCTTGGATGTCTGTTAGAAACCCTCTCTACATTTAAGTTGAATGACTCGACTACCCCTCTCCAATTTACTGTTCTTATTCCGATTATCAATGCCTATTCTCAGAAATCCAACGCGAACCACCCAAGGTCTCCCGTAGCAAACTACCACTTGGCAGCATTCTGGACCAGCAGTCGGAGATCACCAGGCTCCAGGAGGAAATGAGAGTCCTGAGACGGCTCAAGGACACCTCGGCTGGCGACCAGGCCCTTGAAGAACGCTACAACGCCAAACTGACCAAGCTCCAGGACTTCCTGCAGGCACTTCGCAAAGAGAGGAATCGCCTGAACCAACAACAGGAGGTCAAGCAGGACCAGACTCAGACAAAAGAGGGAGCGATGAGAGGGCAAGCTGCAGGTGATCTACAGGCAGGAGAGGATAAGGTAATATTATCGGAAGACATTGGTTTTCCTACCGGCTGCCATGACTCGAACAGGCCAGAAGACCCTTGGCAAGCCAAGTGATTGAGTGGTTTAAACATCTTTGCTAGGAGGTCATGGGTTCGAGCTTATGAATTTTTTTGCAAGCTGTCAGACAGTACTGAATGAAATTGTACTGGTGAAGGGCAAACCCAAATGGTAAAAGTAAAAGAAGAGACTTCGATTGAATCATTTCCAGAAATTGTTTCTGTTCATACTTGTTGCAGTTCTTGAGATATTTTTGAGTTATTGTGAACATTTTCTCTAAAGGTACAAGGGAAGCCAGATGTATTCTCCACTCCAGAGGCAAAAGCTTTCAAGCCGTATACCATTCAGAGCTCGCCCCTGGCATCTGAGATGTCCAAGGACTTGCAAGAGTCGTCAGTGAGCCCAGCTCTGTCCTCCAAGGTCATGGACGTTGTGCAGCAGATTGCCAAACTTCCTGTTAAACCCGCCCAGACTAACCCTGAGGTTTCAATAGAGACGCTGAAGGCTGTCATTGAGAAAGTCTTGGTGACACCATCTACGGGTAAAACTGGCGGGGAGGGGACTCCTAGATCCGTTTCAACATTTCCAGTTTCCATCCCTTTGAATATGCTGTCTTTAAGCAAGCCATCGGGTGACCAAAGATCTATCAAAGAAAGTGGCGATGCTGAGGCTGTAGAAAGAGCCTGCGGGGAAGTGTCGCAGAACACTGAATCAGAAGGTGGAAGTAACTCACTCGAAGAGGGTAAAGTGAAACCACCGCCTAATCCATTCGGCGAAGCACTGTCTTCCATGGACCATTACAGCCAAACTGAGAGAGCCTCCAAGAAGCTCAAAAGATCTCACAGCAAAGAGTCTGTGGAAATGGGCGAACTGGAAAGGAAGATGGAATCTGGAGATATGCCAACTCAGAAAGCTGATGGGAAGCCTCTCAGCTTCACAGACAAATACAACAAAGAGAGTCTTTCACTGGACATAGACCTTGCCAAGAAGGCCTTACCTAACCTGGAATCTAAAGCAGGGGACATGAGCTCGCCCATCCGAGGCGCCTCGGAGATGAAGGCCTTCCTGAATGGTGGTGTCGCAGTTGCTAAGGACCGCATTACGAGTGCCACAGACATGAAGAGCTACCTGAATAAGAAGCTACAGGAGGCAAAGAATGAGAAACCGGACCGTGCAAGGAAAGGAGGAGCTGGCTCCGCAGCACCAAAGCGGGGGAAAGTGTCTGGGAGCAGCAAGGAGCGAACGATTGCAGAGATTGATAATGAGATCAGGAGATTGAACAAGGAAAAGGAACGTCTCAAGACACAGTATGCACGGAAAAGGAACTCCAGTGGTGGTATGTACTCCGTCCTGATATGAATGGCTCTTATGCTGTTTCACCAGAGTATCATATTACCATTAAGACTAAATTATTAATAGATCCATTTAGAGTCCTTTTAAATTTGAAATTTATAGATTGAAAATCTCATGCCTTTTTACTGAGAGGAAATTCAACAACTTTTGCTCTGATCGGACTTTTTTTTATATTTCAGGGAGTAATCCTGATAAACCAAAGAAGCTCCCATTTATCCAGTCAGTGGACCTAAAAGGCCTTGGACGCATACCTAAGAAGAAAACCCCATCCCCAGAGACTGTTGAAGGTACTTCTTCCACCTTTTCAGACCTCTCAGAGACATCCGCTGAGAAGACTCGCCCCAGTGTAGGTAGTGCCTCAACCGATGTTCATTCGCACGGCACTTCAGAAGGGAGAAGCAGTCAGCCAGTCGGTGTTGGCCTTGGAGCACCAGAAAGCATCCCAGGCATACCTAATTGTCCGATTGACAAATCGACTTTCAAAGTTTGTGCCAAGGAAATGCAACTCTCCGGCGGAAAAGAAAAAGAATTGTTCGTGTCTGGACAGGACGGATATGGGAGGACATTGTACATGATCGCACTGACTCGAAAGTTCCTACAAGGTGGGATGAAGGAAGAGGAATGGTCTGGCACCGGCCTCCAACACTGTGTCAATGATATACTGCACAGAGGATCCAGGTAAGATCCATTTAACTTGAACTATAAATTGATGGGTTCAGGAACATGAAAATCTAAAATAAAAGTTTAGTGTATGGGCTCTAGTGCGTGAACAAGAGAGGGCGCTTTTGTCACTACTTTCAAGAGCCCAGTGTATGGGACAACGGCTGTGCGCACAGCCTTGCAAACACATGTAATTGTGGGGAAGACCTTTGTTTTCCTTCTTTTGTTCTCCTTTGTTTCTGTTGAAATTCCAAACTCCATAGTCTTTTCCTTATGGGGCAGATACCGGTAGATTCCTAAAGACTTGTCTTGTGGGGTCTATTGTCCCTATTGTGCTTGCTGCCCCTTAAGGAACCATTTGTATGCATTTTGTTTTATTCTGAGTGTACACAAAGCCATAGCATCTTTGCGTGAGCGTCAAGCATTGTTGGCAATGCATTGGACTCTCTCTCTCCCAGTGGTCTTCCCCAACTCTTCCTTTCTTACCGTTGCGGAGCCCATGGAATATGTCTACAGTGTTTTCATCTTGTTCGGGCATTCCAGCTTCTGAATAAATTAGAGAGGAAGCTAAAGCCAGCGATGAAGATGAACATCTACATGTACCTTTCCTTCTTGTAATCTAGAATAGAGAGAGATGTAACTGATTCATAACTAGTTCTCTTTGCATAATTTGGTCTTTGTGGTGAGCTACATACATGTAACAGCAATCACAGCTTAAAATCACAACTCCGGTCACCAGTATTTCGATAAATAACAAGAAGGAAAGTCTTTGACACAGTTGATGTGTAAATAATAAATAAGAATTGCGCTTATATAGCATTTTCAATCGTATCAACAATCTCAAAGCACTTTACAATTATTACCCCGTTCATCAGGCCATGGAACCACGCGACAGCCGATATCAGCGCTCAATCGGTCCTCGACCCTCACAGGTACCCATTTATTCTCCTGGGTGGAGAGAGGCAATTGTAGTTAAGTGTCTTGCCCATGGGCACAAACACCACCTTCCTGGCAGGGTTCGAACCCACGCACCTTCGTACATGAGTCAAACACTGTAACCACTGGGCCATGGCATTCTGTGTGTATATCTTGTGACTTGACTTGGGACTGAATCGAGACTGAATCGGGATTGACTTGTGATGATGTGATGGTGTGTGACTAACACGATTACAACTCTGGCTAACAGTACATTAAATGAAAAAACAAGGTCTGCACTAGTATGCCGGAGGTCATGGATTATAGTCCCACCTGTCAAAGGTTATGAATTTTTTCTGGCAAGTCCTCGGACAACTCTGAGTTTTAAGTGTTTGTAAAAATGCTCTGATGCAGGGCAAAAACTAATATTAAAGTTTCTGTTTGGATTTGCAACATGCCTTGATTTTCTCTCAATTTAGATGTGACAGTGCCGTGGAGACTGAGGAGGAGAGATTTTTCAGTCAGAATGCACTAGCAGCCGCCAGAACGGTCTTCACCAAGCAGCTAGCAGTGGATCAAACCATCAGGCAGGTCAGTCGAGGAACCACAAGGGTATCCCTTACAACCCAATGATCATCTGTGTCATCTGCAAATAGGCAAAATGACATAGTGTTTTATCCCTGATGAGTTCATGAAATCAAACAGAAATGGGGCTGCTTGTGTTGTCATAGCTGACATGTGCCAAAAGCTTTATTGCAGAAATAATCAAACGGTTACTTTTCTGACACTTTGTTACAGGTCACCGAAGATTACCAGCAGACAGTCACATTCAACTCTGATAAAGAGTTTACCACAAAGCCCGAGAGCCTTTCAGATGCCAAAGGAGATTCCAGGCCTGCTTTGGATCACATGACTGATTATGAAGCCTCCAAGGGTCTAGCTGAATCTAGCGAAGAGATCTTGTATGATGAAGATATGGACCTGGTTGCTCCTGAAGAGACTGTGATTGAGCTTCCAAACCAAGAGTTTGTGATGGATAAGCAAGTCAGTCCCACTGAAAAACCAAGGGGCACTGATGAGGTGGATGTGCCACAAGAAGGTCCAGAAGCCATCTCTGGAAGCCTTTCAACTAACTTGCCAGGAGCCACCACAATCCCTGGCCTGGACATTGACCAGAAGCCTCAGGAGTCTAGGGAGCTAGACAGGACAGACAAGCCAAGCAGCAAGGATGCTCTGGTGATAAATGATGGAGCATGCTTCTTTGGTGATCTAGAAAGCGAAGAAGGAGTATGCGTCAACTTTGGTCTTGAGGAAGGCAGTTTAGCAGGTAAGTTTCTTAGCCTTTTAGATGGTTTACTTTATCAAATCAGTTCAATACCCATTTCCAAAACTGCTTTTCTTTGGTACATTTCAGCCTGCTCTTTCTTTTCCAACTTTACTTTCTGAAGCTATTGTCGCATGCATGTAAACAAACTTGGTTGTCCTAAAAATGCTCAACAGTATTGCTTTCAATATATTGCCATCTGCTAAAGCTTATATTAGATCCATATTACAGTAGCTACACGTATAGTCCAGAATGCCCTGCATTCTACCTGCATTCTGCTTGAGTAATGACCCAAAAATTGATATTGCTTAAACCCAGCACCAAATTGTGACCGCATTTACAGCAAATGTAAATGTGAATCCGGAGTCGGCATGTAGGAAAACAACATGGTCGGTTTTCTTTGCAGTGTCTTCCAAAATGTTGATGTTGCCTTTATTATACCAGCCAAGAAAGGGAAACTGCATTCCTCAAGTTTTTACTTGGTTTTTCTTACTGCCTGCTGTTGTCAGTAGACATGGTAGAGGGCCACCTATAACATATAAACACTGCTTATGGGGACATAGCTTGGTGGCGTGCTGGCTTTGTCATGTGCACTAGTCAAGCAAACTTGTACATAATGTGAACTGGTATCTCATTTAAGATGGGTGGTGATTGTCTATTAATTTCATGTACATGTTATAACAGTTCATTAGACCTTGGATGATGCTTGGCAAACGAGAAGAACATGTAATTCCAAGTCGGTATTTTTTTATTAGGCTGTTTCAGATCATTTAAATGTACATTTGTAAATAGGTTCGTCCTCGGTGTACCTGACCAGAATATTCCATTTCTTGTGGAAGTCCTACCGGTAGTTTACCTCTAATATGCATGTAACCGTTCCCAATCAACCTTCTGGAAGGAAACATACATGTATGCTGAGGAATAACCCCAGCCAAAGTGGCATTTTATGTTTTAAAGAAATATCTTTACAAAAGGTTTTTTTAATGCTTGTCAAGTATTTGTAAATATGGAATCTGTGGAAATTATGTTGAAAGTTTTATCCTCCACGGTTATCCATACATTCTCAAATTCATAGGGAAATGCGGCATGAAGCTTGTACATTTCGCACTTACACGTACCCGTACATATTACATGTACTTTTAGCTTACATTAGTAGGTTCGCAAAACACACTTAACTGACAGGATTCAAACGTGTTTGGGTCATTCCACACTAAAGGGGTGCAAAAGTGTGACATTGATTGGGAAATGAAGCAGGATAATAATATCAAGTTGTTTGTCCTCTTTTCCACTTGTATCCGGTTCGTTAGTGTGACGTCATCTGAATTCAACCATGCGTACTTCACATGGTGTAGCATAGCATGAATGGAACCGGAAGTTAACGCAACTCGACATGCTCGAGCATTTATCCAATGGGCGCTAGTTATCAGTGGTGCGTGCGCGTGTATGACGTTTATACTAACGAACTGGAAAGTCCCACCCCATTGTTAAGGATTGTGCTCACCAACAATTTACGCATGTAAGACTTTTTGGGCAGATTTTAGAAGATATACATTTTATGTAAGGAACATGGACAGACAGTTTTCTTAACCCTCCCTCTCTCAGTGACAAAATGGAGAGAGATATATGCCCTATATCTGTCAAAATCTACTGGGTATCAAGTGACAGGTTTTAACAGTTTTGTAAAAATGGATTCATATAGGCTATCAGCCTCGGTCCCAAATGTTGGCCACCGGTATCAAATGAGGGGAATAATCGTCATAGCGATTTTTGGCAAGGTATACACCTCCAGAGTTGGAAAATATGTGATAGCATTGCAGCGGTGGCAGCTTTTTGGGTGTTATCACCATTTTTTTCAAAATGCTTGTTCCCACTCTAGGAGCGGCATACCTTCTGCATGCGCAATATAACCATTTATGCCCTGATTTGATACTGACCAAACACCAGGCTGATGGCCTAATATTGGTACATCACGATTTTATCAACTGAAGGTACCAATGCTTGACTGACAGAAATAGCTACATGTGAATGGTGGGTTTAAGTACTGCTGAGTGCCTGGCAATGATTGATTTAATTCAGTAATAGTGAAGGCACAAAAGGTTCATTCATACATATCCCAGCAAAACAAAGGCATTGCCCTCTATGCATAAAGAGTGTTAATATTGAAACAAACTTATAATCATTCCCAAAGATTGTCCCTTTTCATTGTTATCCCTACAGGACTGTTATCTTACCTAAAAACCCAAATTATGTACCGGTTCCTTTTTTTTTTTTTTTTTTTTTTTAGACACCACAGGGTATTACGTGCAAAATGTTACATATGTAACAAGGACAGAAATTTTGTCCCAAATTTTCTGTCCAAGTTTATACAAACATTGTATATAAACGTCTCATGTCAAATTTGCAGTCAATTGTACCCCATTAGTGTGGAAAGACCCACTTGGACTTTAAAAAGCTTTCGTCATCAGCGCAGCAATACCATCTCATACATCTGCTTCAAGCTTTGCACAAGTCATAAAAGCCAATTGCTTAAAGGCCTACATGTAGATACACTGTTGTCTGCTTCTTGCATTTCATTTTGGAATTCAAAGGAAAAGGATCAGCTCATCATGCAGCCAAATCTGTTTCGGAAAGCTGGAAAAATAACAGTACAATTGTTTGAATTTCATAATTTCATAAGTCAGACCCAGGGTCCACTTCACTTTGGTATCCTCCCTTTTGACGTTCCCAATTACAGATGAAAAAAGCCCTCCGGACCCAACACCTGATTTACATCCACCAATAGATGATTCTCCCATGTCTCCAGAACAGAAAGACAGTGAGGGTATCAATGTAAAGCTTGCTTCCACTGCGGAAGAAAACATTGAATCCTCGGATAGATTATTGAATGAGAAGGCGTTTCCGTTAGCTAGCCCAACATCGCCAGAGCCAGAAATGTCCAAAACTGACCTTCTAGAACAGTCCAAGACATTGCCAGAAACAGTTCTTTCAAATGACAGCACAGATACCACTCAAACAGTTGAGGCAGTGGACAGGGACAAAAGTCTTGTCAAAGATGCAAGTCATAGTACAGACTTGATGTCTGAGGCTATCACAAGCAATACGAAACCAGATGAGCAATCCAAGGCAGATGACTGTCCAGTTGTTGAGGTGTCTACTTGTGACAGTACCACAGATGAGCAAAGTCTCAAGCCATCCTTGAAATCAGACAGCAGCATGAAGGACTCTAGGTCCTCCCATCGCCACCATCCCTACGAGAGGAGGAGGGATCAGGATGAGGAAGAAGGGAGGAAGTACAGTAAGCATCTTGCTGTCCCAGAGCTACACAGGCTGATGCAGAACTACACCCTGGCTGCGTACAAGAACCGGAGAAGGAACCGGCATACGGCAGAGGCTAAGCCTGACTTCTACGACAGTCCCAGGAGCTCGCCGGCCCGATTCAGGGACGTGTCCAGAGAGTTCAGCCGTGGGAAGGCCGAAAAGAGCAAAGAGGGCAAACAGGATGTCAAGACGCTGGCTGAGAAACAACAAAAGAAGAAGACTCAGCTCCAGGAATTGGAGAAAGAGTTTGTCAAGGAGCCAGGCAAACCTACCGGTAGAGGAGACATGACGGAAGAATCCTATCAGGTTGAAAAGTGTTACTACGAGGATCAGGTGAGACAAGTCAGTCATCAAGATTTTCAGAAACATCAACAATGAACTTCTTTACGACTCAGTTGAAGAGCCTTCAAGAAAATTGCAATGCAAAGAATATAACTCCACAGGAGATGTATAAAAATGATATTTTACGGTGAAGAAAGACTTGTCAAACATTTTAAAGTGTGGAACTGTACCTCTAAGTCTAACCGTCATTTTTAAATTTACTGAGGTAGCCTTTCGCATTACCCAAGAAAAATTCATCCTGAAAAAACAATGTGAGTCAATTTAAAGAACCTCTTGATTATGGGCAATATAAGTGATTGTATTTATTTGCAAAGCAGTCACAAATAATCTTGTTATCTTAGATACTGCACACAGCTGAAGAGCTGTTTTATACTATTGGTGTTCAGTTTTCTCACACCATCTGACGTCACTTCCTTCACTCACTACTATTGTCCTCTCCTTTCCATAAACCTTTCCCCTTTGCCCTTCTCCCTTTCCCCCTTTGCCCTTTCCCCCTTTGCTCCTTCCCCCTTTGCCCTCATTGGGTCCAGGTGGAGGCTGGTCGTCATGAGCGATCCACTCAAGGCCGAGTTCCCTCGTCCAACAGGCAAGCTTCAACCAGTAGTACGCATCATGCCCCAGGCAATACCCTTAGGCATGCAGTCTCAGTGTTGTGTAACCACTCTGTGGGGTTTGTGTCACATTTTTATTAATTTTAACGCTTGTGTGTGTTTAATCTATCGCTCATCTTGGTGTCGGTGTGTTGCATGTGAGCTTTTGTCTGGATGTTGCTACAGGGGTCATTCTATAATTAATTTAGTGTCCAAAGTGTGACAATTTTCCTGTCCCTGTTACCTTCAGTATCATTAAACCCTCCCTCTCTGGCTGGCAATTTCAATAAGGCCAGCCCAGCAGTCAAAATACATCAAGTGACTGTTTTTAACAGTTGAGTGCTCCCTGCCTTCATAATGCAGGATTGACTGGCTGTGATTGTTATGAAACCTGACTATACTTTGACTGTACAAGATTGATAAGCCAGCTGTGCCAATCAGTCACCTGCTTTTGTCTGTTGATGGAATTCGACTGTCACAGTGCCTACAAAAATATGATCTGACTGTTGGTGACTAGCCTGTGTAAACGGAATGGCAGGGGAACAGGATTGAATTTTTAACTGTTTGTGACTGATCAAAAAAAGGAGGTTTAAGAAGTTAATTTCAAACGATTTTTCTGTTTGTCGGGTGAAGAGTTTGCCATTTATAATAACTATTGGAAGATGATGGCATAAAGAAGTGCATCAGAATTGTACAATCATAGATGTCACATGTAAAAGGGATGGAGAGGACCCCAAATTTATAGGATGACCCATAAGTTTTGGTCAATTTCATTGAGCTGCAACTCCCCAAAATCTACTTGCCAGAATTGTATACAAGAAAAGAAATAAAATGCTTTTCGCAGTTTCCGAAGTTGATGAAGTTAAGTTTGTGAGCATGAATTTGTTTTTGTTCAAATGTGTGGCTTTAATTTTATATGGTCAGCAATGAGCAAATATGAAAAAGATGTCCACAGTAATTAATGAAATATTAAGGAAATTGTAGCTTATTGCCAGTTCTTGCTTAGCAGTGGTGTCCGGCAAGCAGACTTGATTTTCAAAGGAAGAAAACGTTACTTAGCAAATCTGCTACAGAAATAACAGCCATTTTGGCAATCTTGAGTGATGTATAAGCAGCTCTTTCAGTTGGCCCTTGCTGATGTTGCTGTGTCTTCACCTGTAATGAACAACAAACTGCTGTGGTATGAAATGCATGCATGCAGCATCTAGACTTGTTGGCCTTATGATGCCATGGCACAGTGTGTTCATGTGTGCCACTCTTCACCGCTAATCTGTCACTCGCACAAATATTCTGTTTCTGCTTGATTTATTTGATCAGCACCTTGCCCTGCTTTGTTCCCACAAAATCACAGTTAACTCTAATATGTTCATTACTCAATGCAGTTTAATGCCTGATTTACAGTAAATAATGGCATCAGTTCTGTAAATTTCAGCTATTCTTGGGGGATGTACCATTTTTGTTCAAATGCAAAGGTTGCTCCTCAGGTTAAGATTTTGCGTGGAGGAAGCTTCCTATTAAATTGCCTTGCAAGTCCATTCACGTTATTCAACCATATTCTGCATCTTTGTATTTTGATATGTATTTAAAAAAAAAAAATTATTTGTACATTTTATCCAATCTTTTTCCAGTAACATTCAGTGTTTATATCACCCTCCAGCATATGACAGTCCTGTTTCGAACTAACAACTTTTTTGGCAAAATCCACAAAATCCAAAATTTGAAAGGTTTTTATCAAACTTTGGTGCAAGCTTTTTTTTTTTTTTTTTGCATTTGGCACGAGTTGTCTTTTGCTTTGGGAGATCACTTGTTCGATTAGACTTGTTAGAACTAGATTAGTTCGATCAAGAATTGCTACATTTTGCAGTGTCACAAATAAAAACTACTCATTGCATTACTACCTGTCATCTTTTATTTGTGAAAAAATAAAACCATTGCAAAAAAGCTTAGGCTCAGCTAACACCATTTCCCATCCTATTTTGTGTACTAACGTCACTTTAACTGTGTAAAATTTGTGAATGTTTCATGGAACTTACTGACGGTTTATGGATAAATAATTTACTATGGTCGAATCTGGGCTTGTGGTCACTGTACACAAATTGAGACCCCCTTCAATGGAGAACCCATTGTGCATACTATTGTACAAAGTAAATGTGCCCCTCAGCAGATTATCTAAATATCTAGCATAATGCGTTCGCCATTGAAGGGGGCCTATGCATGCCTGGATTGGTCTATATTCAAACACCGTTAATTTTATGAATTCTGTGATATCTACCATCGTACATACATTTTTGATAAGAGAAACATTCATCGGCAGACAATGTTTAATAGGAGACTTTTGAGATATTGGTGGCAGCAAACTTACTGGTCCTTTGCAATTGTTTATGTCATGTTTAAGCTGAAGCTTGCATGCTCAATATGACGAAAACAATGGAAAAAGGGCCATTGTGTTTGCTGCCACCAACGTCTCAAAAGTCTTCCATTGAGATCAGCTCAAACTTAAATCAGTCGTTTGAATTCTTAAAGGGAAAAGAATTGACTGAATGTAGTTGCCTTGGGTAGGAAAACAAACACTGTATAAATGTTGCAAAGAAATGACCATAAATCTTGTTTCTCTTTATACAGTCCAAGGAGAGGTATCCCAACCATCATCCGTAACAAGTCCAACAACGCGAACATGCCAAATCACAACAGGCGGAGGGGCAACAATCGCTTCGATAGACACCCAAGCCAGCTTTCTCCCCAGCCGCAGCAACAGCAGTACCTACAGCAGCAGTGGCAGCAGCACCAGCAGCAGGAGCAACAGGTGTTCCAGCAGTGCCAACAGTTGCTCGCTCGGCAGTTCCAGCAACAGTCAAATCAACAGCAGTTCTGGCAGCAGCAACAGCAGCAACGGCAGATGTTCTTACAGCAGCAACAGCAACAGCAGCAGCGACAACAGATCATGCAACAGCAGCAACAGCGGCAGTTCCAGCGCCGGTACCAGCAGCAGGCTGGTAGGGGTTGGAGGTGGTAGTCCAAAGAACCAGTTTACAGAAGGGGGGTGAGTGTCTATTAAGTAGGATTTTAATCTCGTCGCAAGTTGGCAATGTCTCAAAATCATGAAAACTGAGACTTGGAGCCTTGTGACTGACCAGAACTATTGTTTTCTGATTTGCCGTTATCAGGGGTAACCAGTCACAACACATCCCATCAGCAGCCAACCAAGATTTACAATCACAGCCACCACTACCAGACCATACCAAGACAACGATGGACAACAGGACAGGTTTACCTGCAGGCCTTGTGCCAATCAGCCATTTCTATCCAGTCCAGACCCAACCAGTCGTCACTAAGAAAGGTAAGTCATCAGTTGGAGAATAAAAATTGATGAAGAATCTGAAAGCCCACAACGAAAAACCTGGCATTGAAACTGACTCAAGAATTTTGAAGAACCCAGGTTCAAGTCATCAGATTCTGCTCCTTGTTTATACTTGATTTCTTCATCAGTCTTATTCTTAAAGAATAAACAGTGATGTAAAATCCTAATTGTTTAATCCAGGAAGTGCATGGTTTTTGCATGGGGTGTTTCAGACAGGGGAAACAAATTCTTGGCAATTATATTGTCTGCGTACTTTTGGACTGTTAAAGTTGATGTGCAGTTAAAGGTGACACAAGTAAAGATACATGTATATCATTCAATCCTTACGTGACTTTAACCTGAATCATGGTTATGACTTGGATTTATCTGTGTCCTTAATTATTTTTCTTATAGTTTATTATTTCTGGACTGTTGCAAACTGGATTTTCAGGTTAAATTGAAACAAACCATGAGAGTGAATGTTCATTAGCAAATTATTTTCTTAATCTAGCTGTTTTGACAACAATCTGAAGAAGCCCACATATGGCATATGGACATTTTCACAAGTCACCTGCATAGCTTTCCCTCTTTCCCAAACCCGGAAATTGGCATCACAGTTGAAAAAAAAAAAATTCAAGTCTTTGTTTGTTTCACCTTCTTTGTAGAATCCTGTTTGGTGTCGTTCTCTATCAATGCTGCTCGTGATCCAAGAATCAGAAGGCAACACAACCAACAACCACTGACGACACCTCAAACGGAGCCTATCAAAACATCTGAGCAGACAATAGTTAACTCCTCTGCCAACAACACCACACCATTAACACAGAAGGAATCCAAAAACAATGCACCAGTAGTAACACAGAACAGCCCAGGTGCTTCTGTTTCGTCCATAAAGCCTCCAAATTTGAGCAACAGACCAGCCAAGTCGATCCTGAAAGGAGGGGCCCAAAGACCTCCATCGCCTGTTACTGTTGACAGAGAAACCAGATCGAGCAGTCCCTCTTGCGAGCAGGTCTCGGACGCTTCTTCAGATGCATCAAAGAAGGTGAAAATCAGTCTGTCGCAGTATAAAGGGAAAGCTGATCCCAGAGAAAAAACAGCTTCTGATGAAGTTGAAGGGTGTCGGCAAGAAGAACAACCCAAAAGCTCAGTGATGCATGAAGCACAACCCGATGCACAATCTAGGCAAGTTGTACTTCTGCCCGCGCATGAAAATATCAAAGTCACAGTCACTGGAGACTCGGAGAGAAGTCTTGTGCTAGAGGAAACGCAAACTAATGAGGATAAGCCAGGCAGTAACAAAGTTGACTTTGATGATACGCATTGGAATCGCAGAGATGCCCATGAAACCGGTGAAACCTCAGTTGATTATGCTTTACTTTCAGAGGAGCCGTTCTTAAAATCGAAAATCAGTAACGACACGGATTTGAGGGTTGTTGTTGACCATGCAGGTTCTGATGAAACTCCACAGAGCTTGTCCCTGTCCAGTGCCTTATCATCAAATGCATCTAATATCCTAGCTTCCCAGCCAAACCTTGTTATCACTGTTCCAAGAGATGACACACGAGAAGTGATACCCAGTGGACCAACAGAAGATGGTGTGTCGCATGACAGACAACTCACAGTTGATGAAGGTGATGCCAGAGCGGCAGAGCCGCCAGAGATGAGCCTTGAAACCTTGATAACCATTGCTCAACTTGAGCTGGAGGATTCCATTTTCAACATTGCGGCAGATGCAGTAGAGAACACCACATCAGAGCAGACGAACATCAAGGAACACCTTAACAAGCTGTCGCCAAATTCAGTTTATCGGCGACTCCAATCCGTCAAGTACGAACTGGATGCGTTTTGGTCAGAGCTGCGTAAACTCAACCTGCCAGATCCTCTACGTATAGATGAAGCTGCACCCACTGATCCTCGCAGAAACAGGAAACAACTGCAGAATGGAGAACTTAATGGGAAGGACCTGACTACCCAAACAACCAATGATGTTCTATCAGATATTACATCAAAGCTTACTGCCTGCTTGAGGTCACCTAGACTGCCAAATGAAGAACAAATCAAAGTCTCATCCTGTGTATCAAAGCACCTCCCAAAGTTAGCAAAGCTTGCAAAGATGACCGGTCCTCAGATAAATGGGAAATCACCAAAGAAGCCACTCAAAAAGTGTAGCCCGGTGGATGAAATGATTTCAGGACTTCAAGAGGACTTTCACAGACGAGTCGAGGATGTGTGTCTCAGCGCAGTTGAACATTCCAGACCAAAGCAGAAAGAAGCCAAAGCAGAGTCTGAAAGTTTGGTCTTCTCCTCGAACACTGATCTTCTGAGCAGAATCCAGCAGATGTTAACAACTGCTCGTGCTCAGGCATGTAAAGCGAAAGGGAACTCCAGGGAACCCAACTCTAGAAGACCTGACGAAAGTGGTGCTTCTGATAGAACATGTAAAAACCCAACTCCTCCTGAACCTGAAACTAACCACAACCAGAACAATAACTTATCTGAGATGTCATCTGAGGATAAATTAAAGAGAGAAATTGAGATTGCAGAACTTGTGCAGGAGAGATTACCTTCACCTTTACCTTCAAAGATGGAACCTGATATAATGCCCAAAGTGGTTGAAAAGGAGAACGAGGTCCAACACATACCCAAAAAGAAAAAGTTGACAGAAACAGCAAGATCTCCATCATCACCTGAGATGAAAAGTGCCAGTTCCTCTCCACATGCCACCCCAGACAGCGGTAAATGGGGCAAGTTCAAAATGAAGCTTTGGGGTAAACGACCGACCAAGCAACGTAAGACTATGAAAGCTACTTGGGTAAAAGTAGAAAAACCTAAGGCTTCTCCAGAAGAAGCTTCTGCTGAAATGTCTTCGACACAAGCAGACCTTGAGACAACTTCAGATGATGCCAAAGATGTGGATATTAAGGAGGACACGTCAGATGTCAAGACAGATGAAAGCAAGGAACATAAACTCAGCAGTTCTGAAGAACGGGCCGTGGAAGAATTGTGTGCAAAGCTGCTAGGTGATGACAAAGCTTCCAGGAAAAAGGAGACAAGTGGCACTGGAACAATCCCTACCCTTCTGAATCGCACTACAAGTCATGCATCATCCATCTCCAAGGGTTCTTCCACCAGTATCACAAGCTCCAAGACTGCATCTGGAAGTACCTGGCAAAAGAGCCAATTGAAGCAAGGATTTGCTTCTCAGCCTGCTCAGTATCAGCATCCATACAATCAGCAAGGGCACATGCAACATGGCATGAACACAATGAATGCTCAATCTCAAGGGTTCCAAGTTACTGCGCCGTACAACTCCAATGGTGCAGCCTATCAGGGCTACTTCCAGCAGCATCCCAGCAACCCAAGCATGCAGCAGCAGCAGCAGAATAGTGCAGGCTACATGCAGCAACACGTTCCAACAAGTTTCCCAACGGGTTCTCAACAGAATCCTAATAGTGTTCAACAACAGTATGCTGGGTATGGATACGGTATTGCATCTGTACAAGGACCAGTCAATATGGGACCTGCTTCTTCAAGCTCAGGACCTTGGTCCAACAGTGTGACATCTGTGAGTGCCAACACGGGGCCTGGCCTTTCTAATACAGGACCTGGGACCACCAATATTGGACCTTCACAGACCAACAACGGACCAGGATCAACAATCATTGGACCAGGATCAAATAATCCGGGGCCTGGTCCAGTCATCACGGGATCAAACAACTCAGGACTTGGTCAATACAGTATGGGAAATGGACCTAATACCATGGGACCTAGACCTAACGCTATGATGCCTGGGCCTAACACTATGATACGGGTACCTGGACATAACACTATGGGACCTACACCTAACACTGTGGGACCTGGACCTAACACTATGGGACCTTCACCTAACACTGTGGGACCTGGACCTAACACTATGATACCTGGACCTAACACTGTGGGACCTACACCTAACATTGTGGGACCTGGACCTAACATTGTGGGACCCGGACCTAACAACATGGCCTCTGGACCTAACAACATGGGAACTGTACCAAACAACATGGATAATGGGCCAGCCAATATGATGCCTGGACCTACCAACATGGGACCTGGCCAAAACAACATGGGAGCTGGAGCTAACTACTATGGAGCTGGACTTTACAGTTCAGGGCCAAATAACATGGGATATGGCCCCAACAATATGGCCCCAGGATCTAACAACATGGGGCCTGGTGTAAATTGCATGGGTGTCGGACCAAACATGGGAACTGGACCAAACATGGGACCTGGACCAAACATGGGACCTGGACCAAACATGGGACCTGGACCAAATGGCATGGCTCCTGGAGCATACACCATGGGACCTGGTGCTTGTAATATGGGACCAAGACTTAACCTGCAAATAAGACAGCAGCCGCCAGTGCCAGGCTTGGACAGTGAAGGTAGGCACTCTTATTCTACTCTGAATACCAATGCAGCTTCTTACACTTACTCTCTCTCAAATTTCCATGTTTACCACTCTCAAGTATATTTCTCAACCCAATTAATGTCCACCTATCCTGTTGATCTAACTAGTGTCAGTGCTCCTGCAGTAGATGTTACTGATAAGACTAATCGTGAGATCCCTAATAAAACTGACATTGCTCCCACCGCAAATTCTGTTGCAAAATCCAAAACAAGCATTGCAGAAGATCTAATAACTGAAGATAGTGTCTTTGCAGGTGTGAAAGTAAGGTTAACAGGAATTGACAAAGACTTGATGACAGATACGATTCAGGGTAAGAGTTTTGAAGCTGATGTCAGTCAAGGCGATTCAAAACTTACCAAACAGCCGGAATCGGTGGATTCTATGGCAGTGTTGAACCTGGATGGCTTACAAGAAGCAGAACAAGATATACCTTCGGGTGTCTTGACTCCAGTTCCCTCCTCTCCCTTAAAACCAGGGATGTTTGAAGCTACTAACGGATGTAGACGAGAAAGTCCTGGAAACTTGTTTGAACCAGCTGAGGGAGCTATGGTTGGAACTCAAATTAATCCCCTTGATAACTTGAAGTTGTCTGAATCTCAAGCTTGTATTCCACAACTTTCAGAATCTTGTGTGACTGATCAGGCTAACAGCAACAGTGTCTGGTTTAGTGAGTTGAAAGATATCAAGAAAGGGTTTTTGCCAAATGTTTCTGAGACGGACAAAGGAAAACAGACTTATCTTGATAATGTTAGTATGCTGGAGCAACAGCAGGATGATGTTTCTTCTGAAACGGTGTCTAAAACATTGGATGGTGTTCTTGACGGAAGAGGTACCTTCTCTGTGTCTCAAAATGGAAGGAGAAATGAGGAGCAGGGTGAAAATGATAAATTACCAAAAGAGTCCAAAAGTTTTCTCCCTTGGGGTGTTGAATATGGTTTTATGAAGAGTTTCCTTGAGATTGGGAGGCAAATCCAGAAACCAGTTGCTGATTCCCCTACGTCTATGCCAACTAAGGAGCCATTTGTTGCAAGCAAAAATGATGAGGATGTGTCAAAAGAGACTGAAGTCCAAACATCGGAACTGGTTGAAGGCATCCAAAAAGTTGCCCTAAGAAGTAAATTAGACTCTAGCAAAGGTAGTTCGGTGTTTGAAACTTGTTCACCAACTGAGAAATCTAGTGAGAGCTGGCCTCAAATGGGAAGGAAGGATGTTGACAGATCCAGTGAGTCATTCAGCTACCAACCACATGGTGTAGATAGGGGCATTATGAATACCTTTCTTGATGACGGAGTGAGCTTGAAAAAGCAGAGAAATCCACCAACGTTTTCCAAAACACGTTCCCCAGTGAAACCCTTGAAAACGACCACAAGACAGAAGTCAAAACCGACTTTAGCTGAGGTGTTTACAGATGCAGATTCAGATGATTCCCAAAGCAACTCGGTTGTGAACTGTCCTGCTAAAAGGGGGGACATTAGGATTGTACTCCTGAACAAAAAACTCAACACAGACATGCGTTGCTTACCTGGAAAATCTGGTATCACATCAAGTTCTGTACCTGGAGGCAATGCATCAGTCTACCAACGTTCAAAACCTGTAGAGCCTAAGCTTTTAAGCCCTGCCAAAGCTGCAACCGTTTCAGGTCGAATCTTGAATGAAGCATCCCTTCCATCACAAACAGCTAGAGATGAAGATCACAGTACCCATGCATATGACACCGAAAGAAGCAAAACCGGCTCAGGCCGTGTTCTAATGCCTGTGTCACGTATGAAGTCCAAATCCACATGTAGTGACCAGCATACTAGTGATAATTCAACAAGGCCATTCCAACAAGTGGTAACATTTGTACCAACGGAAGATCTGCTGTCTCCATCAAGACCACCAATCCTTGCTAAGCTTGGTTCAGGATCACAGTACAGAGCTGAGATGAGCTCCAATCTTAGGACACCTCCCCACTTAGAAGAGGCAAACAAGCAACCAGGAGTGTGCATGAGCGGAACTGTGAGTACTCCTAGAGAGCTTCAAAAGACTTCCATACTCAGATCGTCAAGCTGTGAGCCGTCATTAAGAGCGTATCATATCAAGACAGCTACGTCCCCTCTGAAGGGTCAGGCAGCCACAGATGAACACAGTTCTCCTCTTACCCCTTCTCGAGTTGTTCAGATTGTTTCCAAAAATCTCAGTTCTGAGGATCAATCAGTATTAAGCCAAATCTATGATCGTGGTCAACAGGAAGCTACTAGTAACATAGAACAGTCTTCCCGTAGTTCTAATAGGATTGATGTGTCCGGCAGTGAAAGTCCAATAGCAAGTTCTGTTCTTGGCAAAGGAGAACTGAAAGTGAACACACCAAAAAGGAAACCACTAAGTCGGTCTGATGGTAGCCCTTACGGATGCAAAGTTATACCTGGACATCTGCTTGATGACTTCAGTCTGGAAAAGCCACAAGCAAGGGGTAGAGATCTTACAAGTTCAACACAGCCATCATCAGTATCCCGTGGAACTGTTGACTACAAACATCTGAACCAGCCACCTTCAACAGATGATCATGATGCTGAACAAACGGTAAGACATCCAAGGTCAAAATCTTTGCAATCTGAAGGGAAGATGAAAAAGCCTTGGAACAGACACGACAGGAGCCATTTACTGATGCCTGAACAGTTTCTAAGTGAGGTCCGACCCACGAAGCCCAACAGGGCACAATCTCTCTCAGAGGATGATACAGTGTTTTCCAGATCAGAAAAAAAATTGACGTCTGACACAGCTACTCAGTATAGGACTGATGCGCTCCCATTACAAGATGGAATTAGCCAAAGTCCTCCAAAGTCGGCAAGGGGAACAACAGAGCCAGGCGGGGGTAGTGAGAGGGTGATGCGTGCGTCTGGCAAGATAGCAAATTCTTCTTCAAGATCCTCTCAGAGTTCCAAATCAGGTCGTTCAGCAGACTTCAAGCAACTTCCAGGAGAGATTGCAATTACTGCCACCAAATTGAGAGATAAAGTCGATTCCAGTCTCCCAAAACAAAAGCAGTTCTTGTCTTGTTCTGATGATTATCCAAGAGGTCCAAAAGTTGTTCAATCCAGAATCAAAAAGGATATGAACAAATGTCATCAGGATTCCAGTTTGGATTGTTCTGAACTGCCGAACCAACCCCTTGAAGCAATCCCCTTGACAAAGGGAAGACTACATTGTGTAACTGTAAACCCTACCGGTACAGCTGAGAGCATTCTGGGCACGCCGTGGGCATCTGCCTATCTGTCAGGGACTCTGGATCCAAATCAAGATCCTAGCTCCTCCCCCAGACCAAAGCGTAGACAAGATGACTGGCCCCCTGGAGGCGTTCCCAGCAAGCGTCCCAGAATCTTGGCCAGTCCCAAAGTACACCCAGTGGATCAAGACTCCCCCGTTAATACATGCCACTCTGAGGTAAATGGTCCACCTGTTCTTGTCAGCACAATACACTGTTGGCCCTGCATGAGGTTGATTGCTTTCAGGCCTATACAAATCTTTGTACCTTCGCATTGTTCATAATTATTAGCATAACTATCACTTACACTGTTAATTTCATATCTGCACCCTTGCACTTTATAAACCTCTGTTGATTAACACTTCTCGTTTACGCATAACATATTTGCCTTGCAGGTTTTTTTCACAAGGAACCTATGGAGTGCTAAATATGTAAGACGTAACGTTGCTTGTTTCCATGAGCTGTTTGGAGATAGAGGAAGCAGCAACACCAGGCATTTTATTATATTCCTGCTGTGGTTCCGTGCAATGTTTTGACATTGTGGAAACTGCTATGGCTTCAACAACTATCTCGCATTTATTACGTCTATACATACATGTGATGTGATCAAGCTACATGAGTCGTTTGTCGACCTTGGTAAAAAAAAAAATGTTATGACAGATTTCAAATGAGCACAATCTCAGCATTACTGCTGTGAAAACCGCATGCTGATACCATCTTTAGTTCAAAAATTATGGAAGTCGGAACACAAAGAGATGTGATGAAGTGATGTGATGAAGTGGCCCTATTTTGGCCTGTATCTCCACATAAAAAGTCCCGACAAACGACTCATAGTTTAATAGCATCACATTCATGATTGTAGCCCAATTCCTTTGGTATTTTAGCAAGTAACCATTCCGAATTTGTAAATCCCACACTATGCGAAAAGACAACAGCATGTAGTTTACACTAAATTGGTACATTAAGCCTTGTCTAAAGTAATAGATAATCCTGTAATATAGAATCCATCAAAACACAGCAAACTGTAGTGTGGATTTTGATGGATTACTTGCAGGTTGGTTGATGTAGGTTGTTTAAAATGAAATGCTGTAGTTCTCCAAGTGATTTCTGCAATTCCAAGAGATTGCCATCCTTGCCAAGCGCTAGCTTATAATGGAGCAGCTGTTCAACACCACAGCTTTTGAACACCTGTCGTCCTGAAAACACTTGACAAAGCCCCTCCCTAGACTAACTCGCATGCATCTGCGCGGCCAAAATACAAGTCCATCTATTTATAAGCCTTGCATGCCTTAAGTGGTTTTGCGATGAGTCAGTTGATTCTCCGTCCAATTTGCAGATAAATCGCAATCACGAGCTAACCCCGTGGATAGATCCAGACACACTCCTACAGTAGTTAGCTCGTCTAGCATCAAAGAAGGTGAGATGTGCACATTTTTAATCTAAAGCCTTTCCTTCAAACATTCATAAAATCCATGCAAAAGTTAATGGACATGTAGTTGTACCTGCTCAATCCATATCATATTCATGCTGGCTCATTTCAAGTCTCCGTCTGTTTAGAAGAGGGTGATTAGAAAAGTTAGCGGTAGATTTCCTTGCACTGAGCAATGAACTAAAGACAAATCTGTTTGATCCTGTTTGGTTGAGTTGGCGTCAAACTTTGGTTGTTTTTTTTTTATTCTGATGGGTCTGTTACATGTAAGTGGTAAGTGAAAGCTGAAATTGAAGAGACGGTAAGGCATAAGTTGCCAGGAACAAAAAATTCATAAGCAAGGGTGTTTGGGGATTTTTGGGTTGTTTGTTGTAGTCTTTGTGTGCTATGAGCAGTACATGTACCTTGCAAAGCAATTTAGAAATGTAGTCATGTGACATCTATGTACTTATTTGAGCAAAGATAAAGAAATAAGAGGACTAGTTTGGTATAGACACATTTCTGTAAGTCAAGAGAATCAAGCTTGACATCCTACCTTTCCTTTTAATACTAGGTTTTGTTCTTTACTGTCAAAACTTTCCCTGATGAGAAATTCCATCTAAAGCAATCTAATATTTCCTACCTCTGTCCAGGTGTGGTATGGATTGTCGGCGACGACATAGTGCACAGTGCCCAACATGCCCTGGACTGCAAAATGTCGGTTCACTGGAAGGGCAAGAATGAGGCCAAGCTCAGAGACGTTCATAACTTGCTGACGGAATTGTCCGACAGTGGACCATCTCCTGAGCTTCTCATCGTTCACCTGGGAACAAACGACCTGATGGAACTTGACCAATTTTCCGTCAGGCACATCGTCACATTGTTCATGGGGGAGTGCGTGGAAAGGCTTCCAAAGACCAAGTTGGTGTGGTCACTGATCCTTCCCAGGATGTTTGATTTCGGTGCCAACTCTCAGTCTCCGGTCGAGAAGAAGAGGCGAACAGTCAATAGGTGGTCACGATCTCGAGGGAGGCTTTTAGGGGTATCCGTTCTGGACCATCCGCAGTTTGTTTGGAAAGACCTCAAATTATTCAACTCCGATGGGTTTCATCTTTCCTCTGACGGGAATAACCTGTTCCGAAAAAATCTCCAGGACTTCATCAAGTCTCAACAATAATCATCACATATTCCTGGGGTTTGTATTAATTCCATAAGGGGCTGAACTTGGCACTTGCGTATAAATGAGGATATCAAGCCTGCTTTGCTGTGCGAGATTTTACCTGATAAACGTGCTTTTCATTTTTGGTCGGTTGGCAAAAGTTGGAGTAATGTAACATTTCTGCCAGTTTTCTTAAATGGTGTATCAATTTTGTGCGCACACAACACACGCAGAGTCACAAAGTCTGCTGGAAGTACCGTACCATTGATGGTTGATGCAGCAACTCGAGTGTGGCTTCTCAGCAAGCACCCAGAGATTTAACTACTTCTTTGTTTTGATTTCACACGCAAGAAGAGGAAGATTGGTTGTTCCTCAATGGATGTATCCTTGTGTACCTTGATATATGCACATTGCTTTTGAAAAAATAATGTTTTCAAAATGTGTTTAATCTTTCTCTGTGTTCAATTTGAAATCACGATTTTCTTTGACAACTTCCGAATGTTTTAGTCTTTGTAAAATCGTTCTTCCAGATTAAACAGTCTACCACTGAGAAGTTGGCCTTAAAAATGTGATGATGAACAGGTGCTGTGGTTTTATTGAAGACGACTGAGGATAATTTGAGTGATTTTAATGATCATAGCATTTTGTAACACATGTATTTACATTTCTACCTCATTTTTATAATTTTGAAATTAAAGTTTTGCAAAGTTGGCGTTTGCGTAGTAGTGGTGAGTATGTTTTGTTGGCGCTTTAAAAAGCTGCTGATGAGTGAGTGTTAAAGACGTGTTGTTTGTATTATATTGCCCTGTTCAATGTTATAAACTTGTTCTGAATAAACAAATTTTAAGTGACATGGAAATACATTCATTGATTTGTGGTGCTTTATTAGCGTTCATGACTTCATAGCTTTCAACAAAAACATTAAATCTTTCACTTGTTAATACATTAAAGTAGTTTTCTAAAGCAGTAGGCGTAATTAACAAACATTTCAAAGCAAAATGTGTTATCTGAAATCACCTGCATTCATTATTAATCATTTGATATTTCGTAACCATTTTTCTTATTCCCAAATTTCCATGTTCACAGATGATTCCTGTAGTAAGTAAACCCATAACATCTGATTGTCTTCCAACTGTGTCAGTTTGCCAATTTTGTCCATAAGCATTTTCAGAATTCCCTTATCTCCCCTGTCCCCTAACCCCCCGCAATCTGTAGATCTGTGGTTTTGTGTGAGATGGGGACCATTCGCTTACTAATTTGCATAAACACTACATTTGCATCGCATTTGGAATGTTGATCCCAATGTGTGCGTGTCAGTGTGTAAACATAGTAAGTAAGGCAAAAAAGACCACTGGTTTGCTTTCATTAGTTTAGCTTTGCACTTACAAAAGTCATTACTTCTAGATTTTTGAAAGTCATCAATGTTGACATTTTTGTACGGTATGAGAGGTTGATTAATTCAAGATGACGTCAGAATTAACATTTAGGCATCCTTGTATCCAGGCATGCAACTTTTCCTCGGATCCCCTGATTTCCTCGTTTTTCATATGTCATGAATGCCATTACAATTTGAAAAACTCTGTACAAAGTTTCGTGTGGTTTGGCATTTCCTCGTTATTTTCTAAATTCCAAGTTGCATGCCTGTTGTATCAGACATTTAACGTTGGAATCGGAGTGCATAGTTTCTGTGGCATGTTTAACTTTTGATTAGGTTTCCTAGGATTCTGTATTGCCAAAGGTTTTGTGCATTAGCCCTAGAAATGTCACAACATCACTGCCTAAAACTATTTATTTTTTACCATGCTGAAACCATGCTTGCTTTTATGTAATTACCAGTGCCAGTAAATATGACATAATAATCGCATGTTCATCTCATGCTGATCACATGTTCATCTCATGTTGATCACATGTTCATCTCATGCTGATCACATGTTCATCTCATGCTGATCACATGTTCATGTCATGCTGATCACATGTTCATCTCATGCTGATCACATGTTCATCTTATGCTGATCACGTGTTCATCTCATGCTGATTGCATGTTCATCCCATGCTATTCGCATGTTCATCTGAGAGAAAAGTGAGATAAGTGGGTGCCTGCTTTCTCCGACATATTGAAGAAATTGAACTGGAGGGGGTAGAAACCAGTCTGGTTGTAAGAGCACTGAACGTCTGTTTCCATTGGCCCATCTGATCTTTCAAATTAAGGAATGTCTCCACCTGGAAGATGAACTGAATTTCCAACATCTGACATAAAATTTAGGACTTACCTTTGGAAGCAGATGTTTTGTTGGCTGCTGTGATTTATGATATGTTAGACCAGTAACCCTTACCCTAAATAAGTTCCTCACGCTTAACAAAAATACCTGATTGATTTCTTTTTTGTTTTACTAACAGCTTATTATTGGCCATATGCAGGTGAAAATAAAGTTATTTTATGTAACGTGAAATTTTTGTAACACTACATATTTTGATAGTTTTATGTGCATGCCGACCTATGGTGTATGAGCGGGTTTACTCTTTGTTGTGGCAAAGTTGTATTTTCACTTACTGTTGAATCGCTGTGTTTGTTATTTTGCACAATCATTGCTAAGTATTTATTTCCTGAACGTATCCTGCACTGTGATCCCTAGCTTTTATTGTTTTAGTCAATTCACACAAATGCACCTTTGTCGCTTGCTGACTTACATGTACTGCATCTTCTTCTCATCTGCCTTTCCTTCTTGTTGTACGCTGTGTCGCCTTTTATGTTATTTGAAGCTCAGAAGTTCACACATTTTAAGGATCTTTCCAGCTTGCCAGATATCAGATCAGATTGTTTCTCCATTTGCAGAACAGTTGAGTCTGTAATATTTAAACTCTTGCTACAGTAGACCTGAGACGTGATGTCACGCTTTGTTGACATACATGCGCTTTTCTGTGGGAGCTTGGATGGGAGATATGTATTGAAACAAAGCATGATGTCATAATGTCCTGGGTTTATAGAACCTTAACCTTTTAATTGCGGTACATCGAAGCTTTCCTTTATTGTAGCCGGCACCAACCACTCATAGCCAAAATTTTGGTGGGGGAAAAAAGTCAGCTTCAATCAGTTTTCCCCTGTCTTCAGCAATTTGTGAATTTCCTTCAGTTGTTTGTTATTACGGGTGGTCGATGTTCATGCTTTTGTGGTACAGCTTTAGTGTTTACACGCACACAAATGTTTGACTTTACTGGATTGAAGTTGATGTCTTTCTTTTCTGTCTTGTTTCTTGTTATGACAGGTTCAGGGCACAGCTGGGGGTCTGGATTCTAATCAGAACAGCCAGCAACTCTCCACAAAAGTCTCCTGCCTGTCCACCGATGGCTCTGATACCGAGACAACGTCTGCAATAACAGGAAAACCCATCCAAGCTGAATGGGATTCCTCACTTACCAAGGAAGAGTCTGGAGGGTTTAACTGCTCAGGGGGACAATCAGAGAGTTCGTCTTACAAGCAACCCTCGGGTCCATCGGTGGACAGGTTGGAAGTAGGGCCTACCAAGGGGCAGAAGAAGGCATCGTCAAGCTCACTCAAGGGGATAGTCATACCAGATGAACTGCTGCTGATGACTTGCATACCAGGTAATGAAATCTAACTCTACACTGGTCTTTTGGCCTCATGATGTCAGTCAGTCAGGAGGTCAGGTCAGAGAAAATACCTGCTACTGGTAACCTGTAAACCAGTACCACCTGTTTCAGGGTCGGGCGTCGGCGACTAAACCGGCAACCCCACTAGTCATCTCCATCTAGACTAGTGAGGAGGGTGGTTGGACACCCTGATAGAACTAAAAACAAGATCAATCTTTAAGGGCGCTGGTTCAGTTAAGAGCCAACAGCGGCCATCCAACACCCTGACAACTCGTCTTGCCAGCGCGTCAGGGTAGGCAGAAAACCCTCATGATAATTATGGATGGAACAATTAAAGGAGGTCGTAAAGCCCATGGCCATAACGGGCGCAACAATGGTTGCAAACTGTCCAGAAAACACGTTGAAGAGGACACTTTGTATGACGTTTTGCAGTCAAAGCCCCAGGGAAGCTGCAAGACTGATGTTCAACGCAATAAAACTGGTCAAATGATTAAATCTGAGATTAATATTTGTACATATAATGTGAGAACCATACGGACAGATGAAAGTTTGGAAAGCCTAATGGAGGAACTGGATGGTTTCAAATGGGATGTAATTGGGCTATCAGAAACCAAAATACATGGTGAAGGACTAACAGAACTGAAGGGAGGAACTTGGCTCTACAATAGAGGAAAAACAGAAGATGATAAAGATGCAAAAGGAATTGGCTTCCTGATCAATAGCAAATTCAAAGACTATGTGAAAGAAGTGAAAAACTACTCCAACAGAATAGCAACCCTAAAAGTACAGTTGACAGGACAAAATGAAATGTGCATCATAATGTGTATCTCAATAAGGAACACAGATATTCCATCGATTCTACAAAGAGAAGTAGAAGAGGCACTTAATTCAATGAAAGACAACAAAGCACCGGGCATTGATGAAATCACAAGCGACATCATTAAACAAGGAGGAGATGAGATTTTACAACAGTTAACCCAACTATTCAACCAGATATTTGAAACCCAGAAAATACCAACATCATGGAAAGAAGCAAAGATGATTCTTCTGTTCAAGAAAGGAGATAAAGCAGATGTAAAAAACTATCGTCCAATCAGCCTTCTGTCTCATCTATATAAGCTCTTCACAAAAATAATCCAGAACAGAATCAAAGATGCGCTCGACGACAACCAACCAAGAGAACAAGCTGGTTTCAGAGCTGGCTTCTCAACAACAGACCACCTACATGCAATCAATCAACTGATTGAAAAGGCTTGTGAATACCAACTCCAACTGTGCCTAGGATTTGTCGACTACCAGAAGGCATTCGACTCTGTCGAACATTCTGCCATGTTCGAGGCCTTGAGAAAGGTGAATGTTGATGAAGGATATGTCCGAATTCTAGAAGACATTTATACTGATGCAACTGCCCGTATTTATATTGACAACGATGTATCCAGGACTGTCAACATCCAGAGAGGCGTAAGGCAGGGCGACACCCTTTCTCCAAAGATATTTACTACAACTATAGAGGAAGTGTTTAGAAAGACGGACTTGGATAATGGTGTTAATATTGACGGAGAACCTCTCACAGACCTGCGATTCCCTGATGATGTGGCAATGATTTCAACAACTGTTAAAGGTATGGATGAGCAGCTATCCAGCTTAAACAAAGAGAGCAAGCTAATTGGCTTAACCATGCATAAAGACAAAACAAAGTACATGACAAACTTTGAGACCCAGGAAGACATTGAAATAGAGGGACGGAAACTAGAGAAGGTGAACAACTATAAGTACCTTGGACAGACACTGAAAATGGAGGACACCACGAGAGAAGAGGTGATGCTGAGAATCAAAGCAGGGTGGATGAAATTTGGTCAACACAAAGACATGCTAACAGACAACAAATTACCAATATCACTAAGGAAGAGACTATTCAATCAGTGTGTGCTATCCACTATGACTTATGGATCAGAAACTTGGTCATTAACTAAAGAACTTGAACAGAAACTCACAACAGCACAGAGAGCTATGGAAAGACAGATGCTTCACTTATCCCTACGAGATAGAGTAAAACATGAAGTAATTCGGCAGAAAACTGGGGTGAAAGATGTCATAGAGAAAGTCAGCGAAGCAAAATGGAGATGGGCAGGGCATGTAGCAAGAATTCAGGATAATAGATGGACATGCAGATTAACAGATTGGCAACCACGAATGGGAAAGCGAAGGAGAGGAAGACCAAAGAAAAGACGGAGAGATGATATAACTACATATATGGGAACAGCGACTTGGACTAGGACAGCCAGAAACAGAAGTGATTGGAAACGTCATGAGGAGGGCTTCATTCGACAGCGGATGGACGTAGCCTGATAGATAGATAGATAGATAGATAGATGTCAGTCCCCACATTTGAAGAGAGAAGAGTTGGGCTGTGCATCGGAACCGGGTGCCCGAGTACCCGACCGCTGATTGTCAGGAACCGGATCCAGATTACGGGATCGAGTACATATAACCAACGTCACCAATTACTTAGTGACTTCTCAGACAGTGAAGAAGACAGGTCTTGAATGCCATCTGTAGAGAATTTTCAAAATGAAAACCGGGCTACATCGAAATCCAAAACAGCTTTCACATTTTTAACACGCGACTGGTGACGCTTGCCAAAATTGCAGTTTACACCGTACCTTTAAATCTTTAAAGCCCTCCCAAAAACTTGCGGGAGCAAATTCTGGGGTTGAGTTTCCCGTACTGCCCGTAAATGCACACCACAAGAGAAAAGTGATGGATGCTGATACAGTTTCAAGAATTATTGAAATAATTTTGTTATTAATGAAACAAGGGTTTCTAGAAACTGCAAGAGCACTTGTGAGAACCTGTGATGAACTAAAATTTTAACACTGATATTGTTTTTTTGTCCATTTGTTGAACCAGATGAGCTCAAGGCGCTTTGCAAGGCATTACAGAGGAGATCATCGTGGGGTAGACAGCAACATTGGAGGATTCTACTGGGGTCCGAGATTGTTGTCAAAATGGATCAAGTCAGGTAGGGTGGCAGTCTGGTTCCCAATGCCCCTCCTGTGTTAAGAGTAGCCAAGTGGGGATGTGAGCCACGAGCTCCCTGAGGAAAGTGCACATGTAAACAAAAGTGTGATGTCATTGTGTCTTGGATATTCTCTCGTTATGTCTTGGGGTTATTCTCTTAGTAATTTAGCACTAGCAGAGCTGAATCACTCATCTTCGTATAAATTGGTCAGGTTTTCAATGTCATTTCAGTAGAATTTCAAGTGCTTTGTAGAGTGTACAGATGTTTATACCAATCATCTTCGAGATAGTTTTCGTCTGTCTGGGTTATCGGTGATATTTTCGGATGAAATGTTTCCATATGTATGCATTGCAGTTTGGGTCTTGTTTGCGTTTCTTACCTGATATGAAACCTAGGCTCAACTTCAGGCCTTTCCATCTGGAATAATCTGGCATCACAGCTTATTCCTGTCTAGATTTCAGGATTCCGAAATGGGCTTCCTACTGCGGCCCAAAATCTTGTGGATGTGTAGCCAGAGACAAAGGCTGGGGTCTTGAAAACCCCTAATTATGCGATGCTCTCGTAATGATGTAAATATTTTCTTTGCCCACAAACAGGCAGCAAGCTCATCTCAACTCCCAACTCTGTTACCAAGCCAACGCTGTGCTCAGGATCCTCAGCAGATACCGCAGCCTGGGCCTCGTCCATCTGTTGCCAGGCCAACAAGTGGACGGTTCCCTGTCGGTCAAGCAACAGATTGACTACATCCACAAGTTGCGGATCGCTGTGCCAAATTCCCAACAGTGCCGTTGTATTTGGCTCACCGGTAAGTAACAATACACCTGCCTGACAAACCTCCATAGACGAATTTCTAATTTGCATTAAAAAGAGAACCTTGATGGCTTTCTGTAATACCTAACTAATACCAGTTGGAAATTGTCTATTTTAGCTGCTAAAGCAGAAAAACATTACCTAGAAAACTTTGTTGAAACATAAATGAGTTAAAATAAGTTCAAAGTCATACAAGGACTACTGTCCACTATCCAGCCATTTAGAGTTTTTGAAATTATTTTAAAACTTTGAAATTGTTAACATAGAACTATAAAACGGAATCATTCTTTGTTTGCATATTTGCATGTTTTGCATTATTGAGAACTGCTGGCATCAAATTCTATCTTGAACCTGATCTCTCCAGCCATATGACTAGAACTTTAAAATAGATTTCTCATGTTTAAAAAAATTGTCGTATTGTCTTTACTCAGCTCTAACAAAAAAATCTCTCTTTTCATTGACATTTTTTTGACTCCAACCTGCCCCTGTCAAATTCTTTCTTGGACCTGTGTTTGTTTTTCAGAAGTAACTGACCAGAACATCCATATGGAATTCCTACGTTTATGTCAGAAGTTTATTCCTACATTTATGTCTAATTTTCCTTGTGCAACTGTAAACTTTTTGTTGTCTTTTTTTCCAGATCTACCCCTCTCAAATTCTGACCTGGATCAGTTCAAAGGCAGGAACATTAATGTCTACAATATCAAGACCCTGCTGGCCAAACTCCTTCCCGATGAGCCAGTCCAACAAGCGAGGGAGCCCTTCGTACATGACCAGTCCCAAGACCCGCCATCAGCGACCCGTGGTAGAGCAGTTGACAACTTCAGAAGGGAGTAACCGTTCAGAATCAACAAGTCGAAGATATTTATTTAATTGACAGGATCGATAGATTGATCTATTAAACCTATTAAACCTGCCCTATGATATCATGACCAATAACAGTTGTGATTAACGTCTGACTAATGTGAGGCGTTCTAGCAAAATGAGATGGATCTGGGCACAGTCTTGAGTGGAGAAAAATGAAAGGGAGAAAATAAGGTGATTTTGTTTTTGATTTGATTTTCAGATTGATTTATGTTTGTTATCGTTGGTATGTGTACTTCACATTTGTTAAAGAAATAGTAGAAATCTTTTGTGAATACACGTGTTTTTAAGGAAAAACAATTTGCATCTGTCATTTTCACGACTACAAAACCTGAAACTTTAAAAACCTTTTGCTCAGAATTTTACTTTTATGTAATGCAAACTTAAAACAGCCACAAGTTGTCAACGGAATGTCCGATTGTAGTGCAACAAACAGTATTGTAAGGAAAATGCTATTCTCTTTCCTAAGACCTGCAAACCCTCATTTTGACCTCTGCCCAGTTCTGTCTCTTTTTGCCAGAACGCCTCACAAATGTTCAATATGCGGCATTGGAGTGGCGTGGGTGTTGTCTCCTGCGTGCGCTGTGGGCGGCGACCTCACGGATCAGTTTGTTAAAGAAGTAATTGACTGGAGCAGAATTTGAACCATCAATGGTGTTTCAAAGTCCCTGGTTCGAATCCTGCTTCAGTTAGTTACTTATTTGTTTAATGCGAGATGAGTCTATTTCCAACTGTGTTTGATAATTGGCAAGTCTTTGTAAGCGAGGTTGTTTTAGAAGCTTAAAACCCTTAGAGACATGCTGGAAGAACATCCTTTAAGAACCGTTGAAGAAAGAGCAAAGTTCTTGACGCCCTGATCTTTTCACCAACATCAACTACAAAGAATTCCAACTATTTAACCATTCATGTGTACAAGGTATAAACCAGTGAATAACGTGACCTAGGCCAGTATGCAATACTGTCTCGACTGTTTTTTCTCTTAACATAACAAGCAGGTTTTGTTTGCAATTTATCCAAACATGAAGAGGTTGATATTTTCACTCGATTGGTTCTAGTATGCACTTTTGTCGAAGCAATATGCAATTTCTACAAATATCTAATGCAATCTTTCCATCTTGAGCTGTTTTCAACCGATAGTATATTTTGCTGCCTTTTTTAAACAAAAAATATTTTCCTCGCAACCAATAATCGCATCAATGCTTATTGTGCTTTAGATTGTGTAAGGAAACAACCTATGCACAAAGCATTGCAGTGGGAAGTCTTCCTGAAAATGTGTCAGCTTAGCCAGTAGCTAATGATTGATTCTGCACTTCGGTCACTATTACACAAATATAGCATGGTTTGAGGGGGGATAGTTGATATTAGCTCCCCGAGGTATTGGAAATTGACAACTTACCAGTACCGAGGGGAGCTAATATGAACTATCCACCTGAAATAAACCATGTTTATAGTTGTGTTACTATACCTCATACATATTCATTAATATTTTGTCGCGTTAGGCCAAAAAAAAAAGTAGTCGGTCTCTGGTCAGCGCGCGCGTCGATTTAAATCATGCGCGTCAACCTTTTTTTTTTCCAATATGTTCCGCGGTAGCTCCAACAGCGCCCTCTATTGCTGCACCTCCTCAATTTCTTTTACCAAAGAGCTCCAAGGAATGGGAAATTGCACCAAGGCAAATGATCAAGGGCACCAAGGCAAATTATGGAGGACACCAATGTACATGAGGACACCAAAACAAGCAAAATAGTACCCACCCTTGTCTGTACAATCCAAGCTTAAAAAAAAAAAAAAAAAAAAACGTCGCCGCATCAATTCTGGAACTTTGGTCTGACCAGAGACCGATTATTTTTTTTTTGGCCTTACGGTGAAATGTTGTGCGTGGGCTGCCATCTCTTCATTCCTTGTAGCTAGGGTGATGTTAGCATGTGTGCACTACCCCTGTGCGCTAGTTCCACATTGCTTCATAAAGCGCATGTGTAGTATAAAACAATGTGCGACAGAATAGTCCAAAAACAATTTACATTTTGTTCAGACGTAGATTTCTCGGAATTGGGGAGACATTTTAGAATTGTTTGAAGACATACCTATTAACTACAGCATCTTTGTGGAATATGGTGAAAACAGTGCTGAAAATAAAGCCTATATTTAGAAATGGCACTGGTTTAAAGAAAGATGGTCAAAAACCAGTTTGTCCACACGCAAGTCTATGAGATATGGTCAACACTATAGCACTGCATGCACAAAGAACTGCAGATGTACCAGACTGCGTAGACCAGCGTGTACCAATTTATGAAACATGCTTGACTACCAATGACTTATGTGTGGACAAATTAGGTTTTGACCATTTTCCTTAAATGGCTACTATTTCTGATCTTGAGCTTTATTTTCAATGCCGTTTTCACCATGCCGTTTTAATTTAGGACTATTTTAAAAGAATTACAACATGTCTCCCAATTTTGAGAAATCTGCCTTTGAAAAAGTGTAATTTTTTTTTGGGGGGGGGGGGATCTCTCGGTGGTCAACTACACGTGTGTATTTATGCTGTGCGGGAATTCCTGCGTGCACACTTGGTAAAATAGCAAAACTAGCAAATGACATGTGATGGTGAATGGACCAATGAGAATTCAGCTCTCCATCATGAATATGTATGAGGTATATATCTGCTCACTTTTTTTTCTGCTTAGCATGATATTGGACTCTGTTAACCATTTACTATATTACCACAAGCTATTTACCCATAGTAAGCAAGATCCTTAACTTCTGGTAAGCAGAGCTGTGAAATTAGGTAAGAGCTTGTTCTTGTGTACTGTAACATTTCAGCATTGTTGCATGCAGGCAAAGTACCCTAATTTGTTGGTGGTGTTTAGTTTTCTTTTCGATAAAGGGTGCACTTCTACACAGTGCAAGACACTAGATTTGTGATACTTTATAAAATATGTTTGCATCTTAAGTTGACTAGTTTACGTTTAGAGCTTTATAGATTCAGTTAAAATATCAGTATGTGACATTTTGTTTGTATGTAAATATGTTTACTATGTGTTTGTTTGTTTTTAATTGTAAATTCGGAACAGACCAATTACAAACCGAAGTATCAGTTTTGATATTTGAGTCACTTATGTACACCTGTTGGGCATTAGAAGTTAAAGAGTAAGTACCAATCTGAAAAGTTTGGAAATAATTTCCCTAGGTTTGCAGCATTGCTGATGTTGCTAGCATCTGATTTTGGGCGTTATACCTGGCTACATGGCATATATAGGTTTATGGTTTCTGAGTAGCGCCCCTTGAACAAAGACATTGATAAAATGGGGAACCGCCAACATAGGGCTGGCTAGCTCAGTTGGTAGCGCGCCGGAACGGCAATCCGGAGGTTGTTGGTTCACCCCCCCGCCCCCTTCAGTCAATATCTTTGTTCAACTTTAATAAAAAATTGAAATAATTTGTTTAAAGAATTTTTGAGCATACTTCAAAGCCACATTAATATAATGTATTTGAAGTGAAGCGCTTTTAGAACAAGCAGTCAGTGATAAAGTTTTATTAAATGGGGGTTAGGTAGTCGGAAGTTGAAGTAACAGTAGTTTAATGTCCACCCTTTTGCCCTCTAGGAATTCTGTAAAAGAAATGTTGTTCCTCCCCCCACCACCTTTTTGTATTGGCAACGTCAGGGAAAGTTTTGGGGGTGTTATCCCCCCCCCCCCTCCATGGACACGTTTTTACACTACCCGTACTACACAAAATGGTACTGATACCTATTTCTTATAACGTGGTTACATGGTTTGCGTGTTTAACCAAATGTTGTAACCTTTTATATATTCAAGTGCTTTTTGTGAGTGACACACACTTGGTAACGTAAAGCATTTCTCGAAATTCACTCCATCAATGCAGTAAATAATGGAGGCACCTTTAAATAAATGAAAAGTCACTTCAAAGGTCGGGAATTTGTCAGCAAACCGTGTCCGATCTGATGAAATTGAAACTAGTAGTCAACACACACTCGGTTTGCAGAGTGTCCACTTCCAGCGAAACACGTATTTTAGCTAGAAATCATGCTCAACAATGTTTGCTCTTCAATTAATAACCAAAGGCCCTACGGTTATTTTTTTTTAACCGAAATTGGATGATTTCTCCTTTTGCTTCTATTTCCTGTTGTAGATTATGAGGTGGTGGTGTGTTGAAATGGCCAGAATAAGTTGCCATCCAGCTTCAGTTACAGCATTAACATGTATGCTGTCCTACTTCGTGGATAAAAGCAAATACAATGTCGTAACTGGACATTTTTTATACCATATCTACCAGCCTGAGCAATGGTTCACATTCAAAACATTATGATTGGTGCTTTGCTGTAATTTGACACAAACAAATGCAAAATCTGTAGCAATATTTTCCTTTTTTGTATTTAATGTCTGAGCTCATGTTGATGTTGAGGCTGCTGTTGTCTTGTGAAGTGAATATTTCATAAATATTACGTTATTTTTTAAGTTTCGTTTTGATCATAGTCGATCATATTTCTGGTGTTTCTTATATCGATTGGATGTTGATTGATATTGTGTTTAATACTTGTGTTTTTACATTGACTGGTTCACTCTCCCTCCGTGTATATAAACTGGTTGGTTACCAGTGTAAACAGACTTGTATATAACTTGTATTTAATGTTTCATATATACGAAGGCAAGTAGCCGTTGAAGTTTGTTAATAAAAAGAACGTTTTACATTTAAAAGTGCAGTATAGTGTTGTCGTTTTTGCATGGTTTGGGAATCGGAATTGGGTTGTGTTCGTAGTAGGCCTAGTTGATACCTGTTGATAAAGAAATACGTGCTTTAGATTTGATTAAAAAACCGAAACCTTTATCGAGGCATACTGCCCAATCTCGCCTGAAAAAAACTGTCTTCCTATAGCCTACTAACGATTATGAAGGAACATGTCTTGGAACCAAAATTAAAGCTCGCCTGCACATATTTCCAACACGCAAAGATTAAAATACCCCGAACACATTTGTCATAGTTAATTTTCTGCATCACAAAACGTAATGATCATCAATTTCCATCTTTCTTTCAAGGAAACTTGCTAATGGATCCGCATGATTCATAACATCCATTGGCCATCGGTTGCCATTGAACCGAATAAAATTCGCCTATGAATTCATCGACATATTTCCTGTTAGGTTAATATTTTTCCCCATGGTCACTTTTCCCTGCTTTCAAAATGACTTCAAATTGGTAGGTTGTTCAAAGTCACTTGAAACTCTTCAAAGCGATATGAGATAAAAGCATTCATTCAGGAAAGAAAATTAGCTAGTGCGTTTGTGGACTCGCCTATCATAGGTTGCAGACCAGTAAATCGGTCCCCGAAATTGCCTACCCCGGCCAAATCACGATTTGCATTCCGTCAAAATCTTCAGTATTTGAGCATGCTGTGGGCCATGAACTTGAGGGTTTGTAAAAAAAATATGGGTGGAAGCCGTGCACAGGACTGTTAACTTGTAGTTCCGTTCAATTTGGATGAAATTGGGGCCCTTAGAGCAATCTCTATTTTGCAATGGAGTGTAGGCATCGTTTTTCAAAATGCGATGGGCTTCAGGACTATTTTCAGGGGGGATCATCTTCGGATGGAAATTTCTCCTAAAATGAGTCATCAGTTGATCCCCAAAAATTGAAAAGAAAATGAAAGATGATGAAATAAGCTTTAATCTGATGTGTGTCTCGAACACCTTGGAGAGTTGTGAGTATTTTTCCCGAATTTCTGAAGTGGGAGCATTTACCATTGGGTTCTATGGAAGTTATTTACTGGTCTGCAACCATCAATTTCTCGGCGAATTACGGTTAGTGCGCATGCGCAAGTAGCACGTGGTACGCGTTAGCTGGACTTCGACCCGCGCTTTTTATCAATGTGCGATCATCCATGAGTCAACCACTACTTGGCACGAATGCCACCCGGATCTGGGCTGTTGATTGCATGTTTTGCTTGTTTGCACCCGCTTACGTTGCCTTGTATCGTGTGTAACGCGACTACACGTCTTTTATTAAACCAAAGAATGGTTTAATCACAAGCAAAAATGAACCGATCACGTTAATTGAGTTCAGTTGTTGACGTGCCACGGGAGCAGAGAAGTCACCGTGCGTCGATCAGTCATCCGCCGGGAGCTCACGGTAGAAACATCCCCGCGCTGTCCGCTCAGCTCAAGCAGAGATGTTCGGTGCGTGTGTCGTGTTGTTGTCTGTTGCTTTGATGGGGGTTTTGGGAGAGCACAGTCAACCGTTCTTTGATCCCGATTGTTTCAGCAGTGACTGCTCGTGGTCGTGGGATGTGAGTAAATTTACAGATTTTCGATTGAACCATATTTACAAATTGATAGATTAGATGAGATAAATGGATAGATAAGAAGTTTATTATCCCTTGAGCTTTGAGGAACAATTACATTGGACATCAATAAAACCATTAATGTAAAAGTAAGAATATTTAAAAGCAAACCTACAAACAATCACTCTAAAAGATATAGTCCTTTATTATAAGGAACAAAGTGGCTGTCGTTACGGCAGCCATAATGTGATTTTCATCTGCTATCATTACGGCCTTGCAAAACATTGGGAATGTATACATTGCCATACCAACCAGTGTCGGGTAGCTCGATTGGTTAAATGCTTGAGTACTATGCCCAAGGCCCTGAAATCAAATCCCTGTTGTGCAAAACCTGGTTTTTTGGGGGTTTTTTTAGTGTCATTTATTATGTTTTTAATCCAGTGGCAGATGAAGGATGATGCAGAGGGGCGCCATGCCCCCCTGGCTGTGTCCGAAATGTTCTCAAATAAGACCACTTTCAACAGCCTCCCCTCCCCCCCCCCCCCCCCCCCCCCGATTCAAATTGTTTATTTTATTGAAGTAGAATATTTTTTCTTCATCGTGGAGGATTTTTTTAAGGCAGTGTATATTTTGCCGGAGACGGCAAACCTTTAGTAAACGTTAGTTTGCCGGATATGCACTGAACATGCGCAGTTACTGTTTTTTTGTACTTAAACATTTTCCGGTGACAAGTTTTAGTCTGGCTCCATGCCAAAATTATCGTTGTTACCTCGTATTCACAAGATGGGATTCAGACCATTTTATAATTTCGGACTTTATTTCCCTTTTAAAAAAATCCTCCAGAGCCACAAATCTGAAGAAAAAAAATGTAATACTCTGCAAAAAAAGGTTTGAGACATGTTAAAATAATAAAAGAAGAATATTCTTATTTATTTGGGGATGAGAAAAAAAACTTTAAAATGTGGTGCGGTCGGAATCGAACGCGAGTCATCCCGCTTACTAGAGCCTTTGCTTAACCATTACACCAAACGTGCTACACAACTTTTAGTGGGAATTTAATACATCTTATAATGCAGCCCTATCTTAAAGAATACAGCGCCCTCTGTTGATATGGATTACCGCCGGCAAACCTTTAGTAAACGTTAGTTTGCCGTCATTACCTCCGGCAAAATATCCACTATCTTTTTTTAAAGGGAAATAAAGCCATAGAACCATTCGGTTGATAGTCTGGTTCCAAGAGACAAAGATCCTGACGTTGCCATTAGGTCAGGGAACTAGATGGTTGACTGCCATAACAGTAGCCACAGCCTATAAGAAAATATCTCAGTTGAAAAAATAAAATAAACTGAGAAATATTGTTTTCAAACTTATTGCAGGTTTGTACACATTTTAAATTTCATTTTTATTTACTGTATTTAGTCATTTTTCATGTTGGGGGCTTCCTCTCCATGCACGTAGGGCGTGTTGCAACCCCCCCCCCCCCCCCCCCCATTTTCCCAGGCCAACAAAAGTGCGCCTCTCGCGGTTGTAAATGTGCCCCCTCGAGATGAAAACAAAACTGCCCCTCAAACGCACACGTGAAAGCAAATGATAGCACTTCAAATAAAATGTTCTCCTATCTTGTAATGGAAAACTGCCCCCCAAAAACACAAGTAACCCCTCTTGCAGTTTAACAACATTGTGCACCTTCTCGAGATGGAAAACTACCCCTCGAAAGCACAAATACCCCTCTCGCAATAATAAAATGGTGCCCCTCTCGAGATGGAAAATTGGCTATCAAAAGCAGCAGTGCCCCTCTCATGATAACACAAATGGTCTCATCTCTGCATAACTAGTCAAATTCATGGGCGGGCCCTGAGAGTTGACTGTCTGGGGGGGGGGGAGGGGAGGGTGTGCGGAAGGCCCAAGGGTGGATCTGGGGGGGGGCAATGGGGCCATGCCTCCCCCCCCCAAAAAAAAAAAATAAAAAGAACCCAAATTGTTTTGTTTTTCAAGTGACATCACAAAAAAGGCAGCTACTACTACACCACATCTTTTCCATCTTTTCCTAAAAAAAAAAATGGTTAAAGTGGTCAGAAATTGCCCCAGATTACACCACAGAGCATCTAGAATCCATTTTAAAAGTGGATAATTTGCATTCTCTTATAGGAACGGGATCTTAAACTCCACAATCACCCAGATACCTGGCAACAAAGTTCAGTGGTCTAGTAGTTTCAAGTTTGAGGAGTTCGTTGGTTTGAATTTCATTTGTGTTTACTGTTAGCTTGTGAATTTTGTTCTTCACATAAGCCCTACATGCTCGCAGAAAGCACCAAGTAAATAGTGCTTATAATATCTGAAAAGGTTGGTGTAGGTAGTAGTGAAGTATTAAGGGGCATGTCTCTCATTGGTACTCTCAATACTCTGTATGAGAGTCCCAAAAAATGAAAACATGCAACACAAGAAAATAGAATGGAACATGAAACAACCAGTCCAACACCCCTAGTATACTGCATCAATCAACTGTGTCAAAAGAAACATCTGGTATGGGTCTCTATTCCTACACATAATCTTCACAGACCACTGAAGGGTGATTCTTTTTTAACCAGTATTTGGGCATGTCTTAGGCTTCAAATTGATATCACTTGGCTTCACTCTCAGGTGCAAAATGTTGAAGAACATAATGTCTCCTTTAAAAATTGAATTAAGACTTCAAACTTGGCTGGTGAAATACTGAGGATGTTGTCTTTGCCTTGTGAAGGTTTTGGAGAATTTTATTAACTAAAGAGTGACTAAAGTTGGCCTGAATTTGTTTGCATGTTTTTCTGCACATTGGGGGGGGGGGGGGGGGGGGGGGGGGGGGGTGGGGGGGGGATGTTGCTGTGCCCCTCCCTGAAAGCATTGCACAGCTTGCATCATGTATTGTCCAATGGTGTCCAAAATTGACTGTCGGATGGTAGCCAGCTAACTAGTCCCTCCGTTTTTTTTATTTCATTATGACCGACTGGGAAAACAAATCTGGTCTGTCTTCCAGAGCAGAGAGAGTCTGCTCCCCCCTCTCAAATTTCAATCCAAAGCCCTCCCCCCGAACTCCAAACACACAAAAATGTTTGCTGTAAACGAAAATTAAATCACAAATGTCAATTAACAAATGAAACGGTTTCCAGCGAGGCATTATTATTCCCGTGCCTGGAACGAAGTGGTAGATATGTCTCTACTTCCTTGTGCCACACCTCACTGAACGACACATTTCCAGCTAGTTCCAGTCATCCCAACTTGACCTTGCTTTTGAAGAGGTCGTTGCCAGATACAACAGAAAGCGGCTCTCATTGTTGGTCTAAAGGTTGATTTCAGATCAGACTGAAATGTTTTTATGGTTTAATACTATTTTTGTTTATTTTAATTGAGACCTGTAAGTAATGCTTGAACAAAACGTTTGTGGAGTCATTAATGTACACATTCCTGCAGAGATTGCCATCGAGTGCTGTGATTGTTTACCAGTGGTGGATCCTGTGGTTAAGTTGCAGAGGGGCGCGCTCCACCCCCCCCCCCCCCCCCCCCCCCCCCACCGACTGAAATGTTTCTCAAATAAGACCATTTGTCACTAGGGAATTTCCGTTGGCCTTTTACATTCAACAAGTTAATGAAAACGTTACAAATTACAAATAAATATTACACATAAAAACACAATACTTTTTACTAACTATAAATTACCATGAAAGGAAGTCCACATTATGTCTTACTTTTACGGAGAAAATGTTTAAAAAACACTGTTTGCTTACATTTTTGCTTTGTTTTTTGTATTGCCCGTATTTCAGAGAATAAAGCTTTCCAATTATCAGTTCCCACACATTGAGAGCTGGCACGTTTAAAGCAACACTTAAAGAAATGTTTAACTTGAATCAAGTTTAGCTCTCCAACAGCTTAATTTTCAAGGATCAAAGTTTTTTTCCCCAAAATTTCTTCATAATGCGGTTGTAACACAAGACTGCAAATTGTCATGCTATTGTGTGCACTGATTTTTAATTATTTTTGTAGTAAATGGCGGAAGGGTTTTTGAAACCCGAAATGGTGCATTTCAGACGATTGAACTCCAAATACATGCGCTGACTCTTTTGGTTATATAAAGAAACAAATATTCATTGTGAGAGCAGATGAAGCAACGCAACAAACCCTTTGCAACAAAATAGTCATATTTCTTTTACAAATTCGTTCAAAGTAATGAAATGACTGAAGAATGTATATATTACAGAATTTTGATGTTTCCGTGTTATTTTTAATCGCTTACTACCCCGTCGACTGCTTTACATTTCCCTTGAAGTCAAGAGTGCGATATCTCAGGTGTGACACTCTTACATTTTTGGTTATTGCTCACATTTTTCCCTGGTTTTTCCCCTTTCGCAAACTCCATTCACGATACATTATAAAGAGGCACGTAGTACGGTACATAACAATGAATTGCTTTAACAGGATTTGGCTTTTGTTACTTAAATGAAAGAGGTGGAGTGCCAAGCAGTGTGTGGCACTGTATAAATTCAGTACATGTAGTTCGCAGTTACACCTGAAGGACATGTATTGTCCTACATAATGCTAAAGTTCTCTTGCCTAGAATGCAAACAATAGGCCTCGGCGCTCTAAAGCCATTAGGGAATTTGTGAGGGGTTTTCCCTGCTTCTCATAGTAAGAACAGTCCTGACCACAGGCAGTTCGTTACACATTGGTCAGTGTTCGTTCATTTTGTTGACCCCTGGTTTATCTAGTAATATTGTTTGTTTTCAGCTTTGCAAAATCGTGACAAGTAGTTAATTGTGTTCTTGAGGCATTCACAAGTTGACAAAATTTGACTGTAATTGTCCAGTCCCCCCCCCCCTTCAGTTTATGGAATGCTGCCTATGATATGTGTGCAGATTTGGAGGTTAATTATATGCAAAATATAAATAATCTTTCTGGTCTTCGGTTACCTGTTAAAAAATGTCAGCCGATTCATCAGTCAACAGCTTAGGGCTCAGTTCTGAACGAAACGATGT